ATATAACTTTCGGAATAATTTCGATCATAGCTCTAAACATATAAGCAAATCTTATGTTTAACATAACACTTTTGATGTTATATTGCACCTTTGAAGAACGAAATGTATTAACAGTTTCTAAGATGCTGTGGAATTTTATACTTATTATACATTTGAAGATACCTGTAGGATGACCAATTATCCGGATCACACTTGGTCGGTCTTCTCGTCTCTTTTTTCTATTTTCACCTTGTAATTTCTTCGTGCAACTCTGTTCTGTTTGTCTATCATTTCGATTGCAGAATGCTTCTTTCTCGGAATTTTAAGCCTAACATTTACAAAGGAAGAAACGAAGGGAAAAAAAATTTAATGTTGTACTCTTCTCTTCTCTCCTCTTATTAAAACTATAAAATAAACAAGTATCATTTTCTTTAGAGATTTCGAAACTTGAGATTCTTTTGCTAGAGTTTGTCAATTATTTAACTTAAAGTTTGTCAAACTTATTCTCAGCTTTATTAATAATTTCTTCAATGTGTTTATGTTTGTGATCTAAGGTATTTCTAATAGTTTCAGCTTTTCCCCAATAATTATTTCTTTGGATATATCTTTAGATAATCTGATTTTATTTAAATCCTTTAAAAGTTGTTGATTAATTATATTATATGGGTTTAAAGGTGATTCTTGAAACTTGATACTAAAAACTCCTTCATTCTTACGCCTGCGGATTTTTTTTCTATTTGGTACTCAATTAAACAATTTATAACCAATAAAATCTTAAAAATTAGGCTAAGAAGAAGATAAGAAATGATAAAAACAGCACTATTTTATTATTAATATGGCAGTATTAAATAAAAATTAGGATATTTCAAATTTTAATGATAAATAGAAATGAGGGAATAACGTTAATACATTTCCCTATAAATGCATTAACAAATTGATGAATGAACGAATGAACGAATGGATAATCCGTCTTATCAAACCATAAAAAAATAAAAGATTGTTTTAAAATATTATTTCAATTCTTCTTGAATAAAACTTGAAATCAAATAAAAAAAAAGATGACTAAAGAGATAAGATAAGAAATAAAAATTTTTTTTTAATTCAAGTATAAACCGAAATCTTATCAATTTCTCTCTCTCAAGATATTTCAAATCACTATAACGAACTCTTGAAACTAAGATTTTCCAATTAGATTCTGTTATCTATCTTTATGGACTTGTTATAGACTATTTCTATAAATTAGTAATATATCTGTTTTATTAAGATTCTCTGCTATATAAAAATTCTTTATGAAGCATACAATTTTATTTCTAAAATGGAAATTGAAAAATAAAAGTACCGCATTAAAATAAGAACGTTCTATTGTAGTTTAGCGTACTTGCATTCTCTTATTAAGAGGAAAGGCACGAGTGCTGTAAATGAGAATATACAGTCTATTTCTATACTTTAAACTATCGTTGTGTATTTTAAAAACTGTATTTTATGTTAATAAGACTTATTTCTTATGGAAAACTACAAACTTTAATTATACTTGATAAATTTATGCAAACAGAATACTACTATGTGATATTTCCTTAACAAACTAACTCCTATACTCTTAGCAAACGGATTTAGCTTCTTGTAATATTGGTAATAGTCTCTGCTTTCTTTTGATTTTCTTCATTATATACTATAGCGTATGATATGTAACAATGATTTATTTACGCTTAGTTATCCTTTTAGCATCCGTTGATTATGCAACTTAGTGTTTGTATTTTTGAAATAATTTCCAGACAAGTAAATATATAATATATATGTATTTTTGTTTGTATTAGAAATACACATATACAAGTTTTTTTACCTTTCCTTTTCTATTCTCCTACTTTTCCCGCCTTTATTCTTCTAGCTATAATTATAATAATAAACAACGAACAACGCTATTTAAAAATAGTAATACAATACAGGCCGTTTAATATTTGTTTACAAAGTTTATCATATATACAGCAGACTTATCTCACATTGCTGTTTTGATGGTAAGTTCGTTACTTAGGAAAAAAAAAACTTTATTAATAATCTCGTAATAAGAAGAAAAATAATACTTCTGATAAGCTAAAGGTATAATCTTTTAGTTAAAAAATAAACCTATTTTTGTTTATCGGTACTTTTTAAAAGGTAAGTTTTTCCAATAAAATAAACTGGTAATTAACTGAAAACAAAGATTTTGCTTTTATAAAAGGAATTAGAGTAAACAATAAAAGGTAAATAAAGTTTTAAAAACAGAAAGTTTAGTCTTAAACTACAAGTTAATTAATAAAAGAAAGAAAGTAAAAAAATAACGAAAAAAGTTATAAAAAGTCTAAAGAGTTAGCCTAATTATGAAAAAAAATCAAAGTTTCTCATCTTTTTTATTATACTTCTATTATACTATTCGTCTGATCTTTATTGTAAGATTTTCTAATCCTCTTTTCTTTTTTGTTCTTTTCCTCTTTATAGCTTTTCTTCTTTTTGCTCTTCATTATCTTTTTTATTGGTTTTTTTCTTTATACTCATCATCAAGCTCACAATTACCTCTTTCTTTCGTCATTAATAAATACACATTCAAGTATATAAGAAAAGAAAAAAGTAAGGTTTCCTCTTGGAAGAAAACTCTTAAAATGTGTTCAGTTGTTTACTTCAAAGATACATGTCTATTTTTTACGCGATACACTCATTAGTCAGCTTTTACTAATCATCTATATTGTTTGAAGATAAGAGGACTTTTTATTTCAAGAATTATGTAATAGAGAAGGCTTTCAATGAAAATAATACAATGAATATTTCCTTTCTTACTATTTTTTTATAGCTTGCTTTCAAAGTTATTTCTTTTTATCTTTACGATGATTTACTTGATGTTTTTTCAATTTTCCTAGCTATCAAAATTTCAATGCATAAGCAAAACAATGATATGCCATATTACATAATATAATTTGTAAACATCTGATACTGCTAGCCTATGACTTTTGATGAAATTAAGCTATTTTTTGAATTATAATTAAGTAGTTTTTTCCATTGCTGTCGGCTTTTTTTCGCAATAATAACATTAAATTCTAATTTTCTAGAATACAGTTTATCGTGTATCATTACCTGTATATACTACACAATTAAGTTTTATAAAATAGTCAAATTCTCTCATGAATAAACTGCAAAAAGCCATTTTTTGGTCTAGGCTTCCTTGAAAAGGAGTTGATTATGTTGAAGATTAGCTTCCTGAAGTCAATTCCGTACTTTTTAATATCCATCTCAAGTAATTCTATTTCCAGTGAAAATAGTAGAAAAGAGTAACAACTATAGCAAATTTGCCTTTTATTTTCTATATATATATATACAGTATATATACATATATATATATATCTGGTATATATTAGACACAATAATACCTTTTACCTTTATGTCTTTCCAGTAGAAAAATATATGCTAATTCTTCAAGCAGGATTGGTTTGAAGCATTTAGTTTCGTGAAGGACGTTTGGCAAATAATTCAAGGACAATAGAAAATCAACAGACATATCAATAATCTATAAACATATATACAGTATATACTAATATACTGTATAGCTTAGATATTGATGTATATGTTTACTAATGTATTAATTATTTTGTGATGATTAAGAGATGAAAGAAGCAATGATTATCTTTTAGTTTTTTCTTATCATTACTCTACTAAAGAATTCAATATCTGTATAAGAACATACACAGCGGATTGAAATAACGAAACTAAAGAAATACGAAAGACGGTGAACAAGATTCTCTATAGATCTGAATCAAATTTTAACCAATATGGTTTTAACTATCAAGCTAATGTATGCTATATGCCTGCCTATCATATTTATACGGTAAAATTATATACAGTATATATATATGGATAAAGTTGTATTATTTGTATTTTTATAATAATACAGATATGTCAAAACAAAACAATATCTTTATTAATATTGTTGTAGGGCTGATTTCTAATTTAATAAATAAGGAATCATTACTCTATAAAGAGACATACCTTTTTTTAATCGTTATAGTAAAGTAATGATTAATCTAAAAGTTAAAATAAAACCAGGAAATAAGCTCTTTTTTAAACCTGGCGTTGAGACTTTATTGGTGATTTCGTTTTTTAAAGATTCTTTTTCCTTATTATATAAGGAAACGACTTTATATTTATCCACAATGCATGCGTAAAATACATGTAGAATGATGGATAGGTCCGCTCCATTGTATCCTACAGTAACCTGAGTTAATTCTTTATCTATCTCTTTCTCTACAAGTCCTGCTGTTGAATGAATGCTTTTAGGCTTCCACGTTTTCTCTAGTTTCATTGACCGACCTTCATTCTCCATTGGAATCACTGTTAGAAATTTTTGAAAAATAGAGTAAAATATCGATATTAAGATGAAGACTGGATAAAACTTGAATTGGTTCTTATTGCCTAAAGTAGCTTTAGAAAGATTGGCTTCAAGGCTTTTTGACTTTTTTACAAAGATCACTTTTTTTGTTGTTAGGCAATCGCTTAGTTGAAAGTGTGTCTCTTTAAAGAAAAAAAAATTGCGACGTTTTACTATGCACAAAGAACTTTTCCCCCTATACCATAAAGATATTCGCTTTTCTTCTCTACTTAGTAGGGATTTGTCACAGCATGCTATACTACATAATTTCTAGTTGTCTTTAGTTAGAACTCGGCTAAACCGAAAGAACAAGTCTTTTAATAATTGTATATAAATTTATCAGGTGAATAAGGGTTTTTCGTCAAATCAAAAACTTTCAAAGGGATGATGTACAAAAGCAAGGTTATCCGTTACATCATGAAAAGTTATTTCAATTTATTGTTTCCTCTTAATAAAACCAAATTAATTAGTAAGTACTTGCTTCACAAGGGCTTATTATCCATATACTTCTTTTTCTACTAAGGTGTGACAGACGATTATGTTAGTGACGTCTATACGCAACCACAAACGTCTTACCGCCGCACCATTTCAGCGTTGTCTCTCCTAACAGCAACATTGTCCTTAAAAGTAAAATGTTTCGTTTGGGCTATACTCTATTTCTATGGCCTCTAGTTCTTACTAAGGATATCAATTTAGGCATATTATTACCATTCTCTGGACCAGAAAAGGATATCGGTCAGAGTATAGCCGGTGCTTCGCGTATTGCAATTGATAAAATCAACTCTGACAAGAATCTATTACCTGATAGAGAGATAAAATTCTTTTGGACTGATACAGCATGCTCAGCAGGACAAGGTTTATATAAAGTTGTTGATATGTGGTTTAAGTATGGAAAAAATTTACACGCCTTAATTGGAGGTTATTGTGATGCTGTATGCGAGCCTGTTGGACTTTTAGCCAGCCACTGGAATTTACCGTTAATATCCTACGGCTGTTCCAGCTCCAGTCTATCAAACAAAAATAGCTATCCAACAGTCTGTAGAACTGTTGGACCATTCTCAAAGCTAAGTCCAATGTTGGTTGCGGTTGCTCAATATTTCAATTGGAGGCGCATAGCGATAATTTCGTCAACTGAAAATGTCTGGCAATTGACATCTTTCCAGATAAAAGTTGAATTGGAAGCTAGTGGAGTTCATATTCCTGTTTTTCACAGTTTTGATCCTGGTCATGTAAAGATTACAGGAAAAGAAAAAGCTCTTCATAGTGCCATCTTGAAAGATGTTAAAGAGAAGGCGAGAAGTAATATGTTACCTTTATTTTAATAATTATCTTTTGATAGAAAAATAGACTCTAACCGTTAATAGCATAATATTTTTGATATTATTTCTCTTTAATACTCACAGAATCAAAAGGTTTTTTAAATATCAAAACCACATTTTACTAATTACAATCAACATCCACATATTGATAATGAAATATTTTTCAACTTAGTTGTAATCATCTGTGCGTACGGAGGAGACATTAGAGAGATGATGCTTTTCGCTAAAGGTCTAAATATGACCTCGTCCGGAAAATATGCTTTTATTACTATTAATTTACAGAGAGGTGATTCAAATGAGAAAATCTAATAATTATCGTTATTAGAATCATTATATTTTATTTAATTATAGGTGCCTATATAGGAGAATCAAGCTGGATGGGAGATGATGGAAGAGACGAGGAAGCGTTCGAAGCATTTATAGGTCTACTCAACGTCCATATTAATAAACCCAATACAGAAAAATATAAGGCTTTCGAAGACCTTGTGAGAATACGAAATCAGGAAGATCCTTTTCAAGGAAATTTTTATGAAACTATCGACGTTCATGCTGGAAGTTTGTACGATGCGGTTTATCTTTATGCTTTTGGCTTGAACAAAACTTTAGAAACGGGAGGAGATGAGTTTAATGGCAGTTTAGTTGCTAAAAATATGATTAACTTAACATATCCAGGTAAATTCTGATCATGTTTTATCTGTTCAATAATACATTTTTTTTAATAATCTCCTCTCCTCTCTTCCATACTTTCCTTTTCTTCCATCTTCACAATTTACACTTAAGGTATTGATGGATTAGTTAGTATCGATGAAACAGGAGATAGAAATCCCGATTATTCTCTCCAAGATTTCAAAAATGGTTTATTCGAAGATTTCGCCGAATATATATATTCGACAAAAACTTTTACAGTTAATTCCGATATTTTGATAATCTTTCCCGGAAATAAAAGCGTTCCTCCAAAAGACGGTCCCGATTGTGGATGGAACAATGAATTTTGTCCAGATGAAAAGGGTTAAAATAACAGACGAAATATTTCTCTTATTCATAAAAATGTTTCTTATTTTCCAGATAAAAGTTCCATCACAATAATAATTAGTTTTGTTTGCGCCATAGCAGTATCGTTTACAATACTTGGAATCGGCGTTACTACATACTTAAAGTATAATTTAATATTGTTAATTATTGAATTTTTATAATATAAAGATATCGAATTATTGAATTTTTCCATTAAAGAAAAAAGAACTACGAACATCAAATTCAACAAACCGAATTATGGAAGATTAATTATAATCAGCTAGAATTGATTGATGCTAAAAACGTGAAAAATTACAAAGTCATTTACAATTCAATTATTAGTTACATAATAAAATATTAAAAATACAACAAAATAAATAGGGAGGAATTATTAGAACCGCAAGCTCTAGTAGAATTATGTCCAGAATGACAGATGATTCCAGTAACGATGATACAAGCTATAGGGAACAAACATCTCAGCAAATATTCTCATGTATTGCTAGATATAAGGTATGTCAATGACTTTTGATATAGCAGTAAAAATAAAGAGTTACTTTTCAAATGTCTTTTTTCTACAAGGGTAAGACCGTGACCATAAAGAATATTGAGAATGACGATATCAGATTGACAAGACAACTGTTAGTAGAGCTAAAAGCGGTAATATTAATTTAAATAAATTCAATCTTGCAAAATATTTTAATAAATCGGAGTTATACATATTTTTTTCTTTACAGATGAGAGATTTAACTCATGACAATATCAATCAATTCGTTGGTCTTTGTCTTGAGAAACCACATGTAAGCTTCATTGAAAACTACTGCCCTAGAGGAAGTATTCAAGACGTCTTAGCCAGAGATGATAAATTAATAGATGAATTTCAATTTTCATTTGCAATTGATATAGCAAGTGTAAGGAAGGACTTTTTATAATTCTTTCGTACTAATAATGAAATTTGATGAAATTGAAGATTTTATTTTCATATTTCATATATAGGGTGTGGCCTACCTGCATAATAGTCCCTTACATTCCCACGGAAGACTAAAAAGTGGAAATTGTCTTGTTGACAGTCGATGGATTGTAAAGTTATCTGATTTTGGGTGTCCTTGGCTAAGAAAAAACGACTTAGGCTCAGAAGACTGTTTCTACCAAGGTATACATCAATATATATAGTATATAATAAATATTCACTAACGATGTTATTATAAGCTTATTTTTGGACGGCTCCCGAGCTATTAAGAGACGGTTGCTCCGCACTAAGAGGAACTCAGCAAGGCGACGCCTATTCTTATGGAATTATTCTTCAGGAAATAATTTCCAGAAATGTTCCATTCTATTCCGAAAACGCTATTAGTCCAAAAGGTAAAAAATAAAGGACAAACCAAGCACTTGTATTCTCTCAGTTAAATTTATAAAGTTAATATAACACCCAACTATTTCTTCTTTTCACTAGAAATTATTGAATGCATTAAGCATAAAACTGGTAATCCATTTAGACCAAGATTAACGGATACTAATTGCAACCCAAGCCTATTACAATTAATGATCAGCTGTTGGTCGGAGGAACCCGAAAAGAGACCAACTTTTTCAGAAATAAAGAAGGCATTAAAGAAAATGTCGGGCGGAAAGTATTTATTGTTCCCCATCTATATACTGTATAATACTTTATGAATATATTTTTACGTATAGGGAAACTAATGTGATGGACAAGATGGTACACATGTTGGAAAGATACGCCAATCAATTAGAAAGTGAAGTACTAGAGCGTACTAATGAACTTGCTGAGGAAAAGAAGAAAACTGACATGCTTTTATATAGGATGCTACCTAAGCAAGTTGCAGATGCCTTAAAATCAAATGAGGATGTTACACCGCGTTCTTACGAGAGTGTTACTATATACTTTTCAGATATTGTTGGTTTTACACAAATGGCTTCCGAAAGTACACCTTTACAGGTAAAATAATTTTTTTATATATACTAAAACTATATTGTTTACTCAAATATTCTAAAAGATATTTATATAAAAATAATTCTATTTAGGTTGTGGATTTTCTCAACGAGCTCTATACAAACTTTGACACTATTATAGATAATTACAAGGTTTATAAGGTATCTATTTTTGGGATTCGTTTAGCTGAAATTTTTTCTAGATGAGATACTAGGAAAAGTTGATTTGAAGCATTGAGGATTTTTAGCATTTAAATAGAGCTACTTATAAATCTCCTGATTTTTTTTACAGGTAGAAACTATTGGAGATGCTTACATGGTATAAATAAATCAGTGATTTTTTTCCTCGGCTACTCATGTAATATGATTCATTAATAACTAGGTAACTAGCGGCGTCCCTCAGGAATTCTCTACTCATGCCCCTGAAATAGCAACAATGGCACTTGATATTTTAAGTTGCTTGACAACTTTTCGAATAAAACATATGGAGGAAAAGAGAGTGTTCGTTCGTATTGGAATTCATTCAGGTCCGGTTGTTACAGGTAACGCTCACGAATTTCCATCATTATGATTCTCCTTTAATAGAAAGTCTATGTTACACTATAAATGCATACAGGTATAGTTGGGCAAAAGATGCCTAGATACTGTTTATTTGGTGATACAGTTAATACTGCATCGCGAATGGAGAGCACAAGTCTAGGTATTGTATATTAATCTAAGTACACCCTTTTGAATATACTCTTATATTCTGTATTACAATTTTAAAAGCTCTTCGGATTCAAGTAAGTGAGACTACAGGGTTTTTTCTCAGAGAGGATGGAAGTTTCTCTCTTGAAGAGAGGGGAGGTGTATCAATTAAGGGAAAGGGAACAATGAAAACATATTGGCTATTAGGCAAAACAGGTTTTACCAAAACTCTTCCATCACCTCCATCACCACCATTGAAACCCAAACAACATGTTGAAGAATAGAAGTGCATATTTACCCTTAGAAAAAAGAAAACTACATTTCAGTAAAATGTGCACGTTTGTACATTTTATATATCTAGTACAATTTTTGTATATAGAACTATCTACAATGGCAGAGATGCAGTAATTTTGAAGGAATCACTTGTGGTACGTGTTACGTAACTTTAAATTCTTTTTTTATTTAGAAAATCAGTCTGAAATAAAACTTACTATCGTTTAATTTACTTATGTAAATAAGTACAATAAAAAATATGTAACTATATATACAAAGCTTTTTGTTTTTCTTTTATTCCTTCGAACAAAATTCGTGAGCTGAATTGGAAAGAATTGAGAAAGTTGTACTAAATTTATACTTTGTTGAAAAGAAGGTCTTTATTTCCTTTGTAATGTAAGGAAAATAGTAAATTGTATACTTATATAAATTTATAGATATACTGTATATAATGTATATACAGTATCTGTAATAGTATACAGATATGTTGAAAGTTAGTTATGGTTTTTTTTTAATTGTTTCATAATGGTTTACTATCAAAATAAAAGTGGTACACTCTAATGATCTATTATTAATATATACTATATTATGTAACAAGTTAACCATATATATGTATATAGAATGATATAGATATAGTTTGAGGTGAACTTTCTTCCCTTGCTTCCTTTTTGCATAGACTTAGTCGAACTAATTGGAAACAAACAACAATTATTCTATATTTTATGGGTATTTTATATTCATTTTAGTATTTTATTACTATTATTACTATTATCATTAACATTAGACTTTATGAGGAAAATACAACATATTCTTTTCAACTAATTCATTGATTAGAGTTCAAAAAACTTTAATTCATTTTCTTTTCTTACTAACTAACATTCTAACTTAACAGCATTTTCGACTATTGCAACATCAATAAAAAATACTATACATGTAGAGCCAATTGATAAATCTATTACCTTTCTTTTTAGATTATTAATAGATATGTGAAAGCTCTTCAATATACAAGTATTTAAAAAGTAACATTCTCTCCGTATAGTGACATCTAGTAGCTATAAACCAAACCACAAATAAACATATTGACATATATATATATATATATATATATATATATATATTAAGACTGCTTTATGTTTGCGACTAGTGTTATAAATTTTTATTATTAGTAGATATTCTGATCCTGTGTTTGGCAACAAAGTTTACATTCAAATATTTATTATAGTTCTTTTTTTTAATAACAATACTAATTGATATATCCATATTGGTTATATATTGTCATTTTCTATTTATGGTCTAATCTCAATAAGGAAGTAAACATTGAAATAAAAACTTTAAACAGTATTCAATCAATGGGGACTAGAGAGACAAAGATATTGAAAGGTCATGGAGTAAATCATGAAGGAAGACATATATCATACTTAATATATCGTTCTTTTTAGGCAGCTAGTTAATTTCCTATATAATATTCTTTTATTGTATTAATGCTTGTAAATATCAAATAAATTTGTATTAACTTAAATATTTCTCTTTAATTAACTCTATTACATGGAAGTGTGTGAAAAATATTAGATTTCTCTAACAAATTAATAGCTTGGGTTTAATAGTGAACTAGATTTATATTTCTTCTCCTCCACACTCACTTAATACATACACACATATATATATATATATATATATATATATGTATTGATAATTTCTCCCATTATCACCACTAATGTTCAATTTCCAATTAATTTATATAAATACAAAATTCCTCTTCCAATTTGCTGCCAACCATTCTATAGAAAACCCGATGTGTTAGTTTTAAAAGAGGATTATTAATAGATAGATAGATAGATAGAGAAATAGTAAAATTTCAAGCTTTTTTCTATTATTTCATCAATCAAATAGAGTGAGTAATCTCTATAGGAAATTTATAAAATGATAGATCGCAGGATATTTCAATATTTACAAAGATAACAATTCGATTGCAAAACTTGATTCGTTTGTAATATAATCCAGTTATGAGCAATTTTTCAGTTGTAAATTACATAATTACCTATTATTAATAATTTATTAATATAATATAATATAAATCATTTTTTTTATATGATTCTTATTTTAAAAACGATCAATACGTATATTCAGATCATTTGAAATTCGATTCAATCCCTCCCCCCCTTAAATGACAAAGTAATGGATTTTCAACGGGTTATTGTATAATCATAAATAGCAGACCGCTAAAAGGTCTTTTGTGATAGACAAATCATCATTTTATCATTCTCGTTTTATATTTATTTTATATAATCCTTTCTTCATACTAAATATAAATATAAATATATAGGAGGATTTTTACCTAGTTTCAAATCCCCTCTTTATTACAAGATATAGCATCTTAACCTTGTATTATAACTTCTATGACACATATACATTATTTTATATTGTCTTTCCTGCTTTTTGTCTATTTTGATTGAGTTTATTTTGTTTGATTTACCTAATAATATATCACGATACATAGATTGTTAAGCTTATGCTCTTCATTTATTGATTTATTAATTAATACTCTTTTCCCACTTTGCTCTTGTCTTCTAAATTATTTATTGAGAAAAATAATACGTTCTCTTTTTGACCGATAGACAAAATCCATAATAGCAAAATATGGAGCGGAAATAACTTTAAAATTGGGTTAAAGTTTACAAGAAAAGGGAGAAAAGAGGTGGATTTTTTTAAATAAGGTAACAAAATAAATAATCCTTATATGAAGTGAAGTGTAATGCACTTAAAGTCGATGTTGTGTGATTAATTGACTGCATGCATTATAGATCGACAGCGTCTTTAAGAACGTAATCTAACGTATACTTCTCAAATAAGGTCACGTGGGATCCTGTTAAAAGCTTTAAATAAGTATGATAAATATTCAAAATTACTATAATTAGATAGTCAAGCTAATACTTGTACAATTCGTTTAATATTCGCAAAAAGTTCACAATTTCAAGGTTAGTGCTTTTATTTCATTACATGAGTTACTTTAAATGCATTGGACGTCAGTCTCGCTTGGGCGTCTTTCGCTTAACGCACCGTTAAGCGTTCCCAAAACATATTCTGTCTTTTTTTCCTTAATAGACAATTCTATGAAGATGGTTGAAATTGAGTAAAAGAAACATTCTGTTTTATTATTTCGTTTGTTTTCTTTGCTTTCCTTTTAAAGACGTGAGAGGGAAAGCTTGTATTAAATTGATCTAGTATTAAGCGCCATCTGTTGATAATCGCTAATAAGCAGAATACTAATGAAAAATAAAATATGATGTGCTATATCGTTTATTCAATATAGTTGGAAACAAAAGAGCAAAAACAAAAATTAAATGGCCTAAATATATAAAATGTCAATAGCAATCGGATGTAATAATATTGTAAATTGTGGTGGGAAACCAATCGACATATTGATTGTCTGAAGGCGGAAAGGAACTTTTAAAATCTACAAAGGAGACTAGAAAACGAGCGTTTATTATGCTATGAGAAAAGTCTAAAATAAAAGTTCAACGTAATAAGGTCAAGGGTGAAACAAAAAAACAGAAGAAAAAATAATAAAAAGGAAATAAAGAGAATAAGATTAAACGGGTATAAAAGACCGCAATCGGACAGCAAGCCAATTTCGACAATCGCCAATAATTTTGTCAAGCGGAGCGTTCTCTTTAGTACTATAAACGATTGATTGCCGTCTCTTTATTACTTGGTTTGGATCCCAGTTTTTTGTCCTGCTGTTGACGTCTGAAAGTATCTTTTCTATTTATTTCCTCTTGTCAAGAGCGTCTTTCGTCTAAAATAATAGAGGGGATTTTTTTCTCTGGAAAAGAATTGAAGATAAGAGTGGTAGAGGAGGGGTATAAGGGTATTTGGTGGGTTGTAAATGGCATGGAGAGCGGCCTCTAAATCGATAATGTTCCGTAAAATGTTATTGACAGGAAAAGCTCGTGTGTGCATTTGGATTCTGTATATAGTTTCGGTCTATTGAACAACTCACGCGAATCAAACGGACTACTTTATCCATTAGAACGATTATAAACATTTTTTTTCGGTTGGAAAGGTAATGGGGCTAAAATGATATATTAAATCACGTGGCATTTGTCTTTATAATTTGCTTAACGTTCTTTTCAAAGAAACGATATAAGATGAAGAAGGGGAGGGGCTACAGAACAGAAGCTGAGAAAAGTTCATACAGTATTTTGTTTGTCTCTTTGACTGGAGAGAAGAGAGCATATGAAGTGCGTAAATTAGAATGAAACAGATAGGAAATGAAAGAGCCTTATTTTCGAATAAGCCACGGCGGGTTGGCACAGTTGGCAAAACGTAATGAATTAGAGTGCGAGTAGGGCCCCATACTCAAGGGAGAAAAGTAACCCCTCAACCCAGCCTAATTTTTACAAGAGATATTGAGTGAATAATGCAAAAAAAACTACTAGCAAACAGCATTGGATAGTGGAGAATAAAAAAAGAGAGAAAGAAAGTGAAGAGAGTACGATTAGTAAAGACATTTCATTCCATTCTCTCTTTTTTCCTTTGACTTAAAGACTTGTTATAAGAGAGTGAATTTATGCTTGCAAACGTCGTTTCCTTTTTCTCTTCTTCCGTTGTCCAAACAAGCTAATTTATTTCCTTTACGCTTCTGTAAAGCCTATTAGTTATTTTCAGAGATTCTCCGTCGTTTCCAGACCTCTCCTATATTCTTTTCAAATATTTTTTCTCATAGACGTCGTCACGTGCTTCGCTTGACATATCACTTGGACTGATTGACACTTACATGCTTGTAGGAGGCGAGCGTAATTTAATCCTTTATTGTAGAATATATACTTTACTAATATATATGTAAATCGTATAAAAGAATATTATATATGCATGTATGTACCTCATGCGCCCCCCAGCCGTTGCGGACGTTGACGGGTTTTAATTGAAGCCGTTCGTGAATATTTAAAAAGAACGCCGTACAGCTAAGATATATACTGTACATAGGAAAAATATAGACAAACTTACTGTATATTGTATACATAGACGATTACGTATAATGTATACTATATCCATAATGATAAAAGGACGCTTTTTAGTTCTTTTATGATATAAAAAATAGCATTAAATTATTCTTCTATAAAATCAACAAATGTAACGCCCATCTTTCTATATAAATTTTTGTTATATTTTTAGTTGAAGGTTAAACTACAAGATATTTTTGGAAAAGGAAAAGATTTGAAAACTGAAATGAGTTGAAAGAAAAAAGAAAAAGAGAATAGAAGATATGAGAAGGTTGGATAGGTGCGGATAAAGAATCAGCGAGTACTCTACAAAGGAAAAAGTAATATATAACAAGGTTAACGGCAATGGTAAATTTAGCAATATGCAATATTATAAGCGATGACATCACCGCAAATATCAATATTCATCAACGTCGTTATTGCGAATGTTACTTTTATAAATAAACTTAGACAATGCTCGTGTTTTTTAAGCGTTCGATAATAAAACTAGCTTTAGTAGGCCTACGGATGAGTGTCTAATAAATTTTTAGTTGCCACTCTTCCTATTTTTCCAGTTTTTCTGTTTTACTTTTTCTATCAATTTTTCCTCCCTCCGTTAGTTGCATGAAAAAGAAAAGAAATTGAATAAACATAGACAATTCCCAGATGGCAATCAGTCATCTACAGCTAATCACCAAAGTCGGGTTGGATTTCGCTTTTACGCTAGACGGCGTTGTTGTCTCGTAAATACGCCATTCGGTTTAAACGGCTTCTATCAACAGATTTATGGCTTGTTTTTTCAAGATTAACCGTTTTGAATAAGTTGTTTTTGTTAATGAGCATTTCGAGGAATAGAATTTATGCAGTTGTATTTTTTTTTCTTATTTCGGTAATCTTTGTGAAGCAATTTCAAGAGTTAGAGAGTTCCGCTGAAGACTTTAGGCCTATGGGAAGACGCTTGGCTCAGATAAATGGGGTCAGAGGAGAACTGTCTCAAGTAGCATCGCCAACCCCAATCTATGGAATGCCACGACGCGTGAAAAAATTATCAAGAAGAATAAAAAAGAGAAGAAGAAGGGTTAATAGAAGAATAAGACCGACTAGACCATCTACTTTTGTTACGTCTGCTCATTTGAATAGTTTGGAGAAGCCAAGATACGACTATGGAAAACTTTGAATCTACATTTACTCATATTGTTTTATCTACAGCAGTCTTTCCTTCAATATATTTTCCACTCACAAAACTCTCTCTCTCTCTCTCCCATCCTCATTGTAAATTCATGAAGGAGTCCGAGGCGAGAAGGCGCACGATTCTTATTATTTTGGTCATCGGAGGATACCTCTCTCGACCGTTTATCATTTGTAATGAGACTGATGCGAATTTGCAATGTTGCTAAGAAACCGAAATCAAAGAATTTTCCTAATTTGAAATAAAAGAAGAAATAAGAGAAAAAATTTCAATATGCTCATCTAAGAAACTGATTTTTTTTCTCTATATTTCAAGAAAAGGATATATAAGAACATAGATAATGAAAGAAGAAGAACAAAATACGAAGGACTAAGAAAGAAGAAAGGGAATGAAACTGCTTAACGTTTTTTTTAAATACATATACTTGTACTATTTGTAAAAATAGAACAAAAAAAAAAAAGAGGAAGATTATCTCCTCGTTCCTGTGTGTTTTTCTTTATCCACTAACTATATAATAAATAAAAAAGGAAACGTATTTCTTGTTCAAAGACCATCTCTGGAGAGATAAATAGAGGCGCCCTCTATTTTCTACATATACACGGGTACATAACTGAAACAAATGTACACACAGTGCTTTTAGAGTAGAGATTGATTCCATTCTATAGATTATATATACATTTACAAGAGATACATTTATACGAGTAAATGCAATTTCATGAATAAATTAGTATTATGAGTAATAGTCATTTATAAAAATTTTTGTATTCAATCAGTCAAACTAAACACATCTATTTTACATTACTACGTTTATGAAAGGAAAACCTTTTTGAACATTTGCACTCGAAAACAGTTTGAATTACAAAACAATAGCGTCCAAATGTGAGTTCTATGAGTAAAGTCATATAAGTAAACAACAACAAAATATATACAGATGTATATAACACGATTATATTTAACTTGTTATAGACGAATTAAATAGGCCTGCATTATATATTTAATAAATAAGGAGCATAGAACAACGAATGATATTTCGTTTAATGACTTAAATTTCAAAGTCACCATACTTTCACGAGCACTTAATTCAGGGCAATAGACGATATATACATTTGTAAAGGTGACGCCTTTTTCTACATGCTGCTATCTTGAATAAATATTAGTGAGATAGCGAGGGGAATAATTGCTTGGGTGTGGCTGAAGGTGTCCTCTACCTGTTCAAGATCACTTAGCAATTTAATAAGTCATTCATATCAGTGCCTTTTATTAACCATTTGTATTTAAGAAAATGCCTTTTCACCTAACTATGGGAATTTATAGTGTCTGGGAAATTCTTTTTAAGCATATCTGTTCAATTTAGTGTTACGTAGAACGTTAGGTTTTGAATAAGATGGGGCGCGCCATCTGCTGCCAAAGAAGGCTCTGGGTGTTGATTGGCTGAAAACTATCTGGTCGCTAAAGCAGCAGGGTTACGATTATCCATGGACATTGACATATCCTCATTCATAAACCACAAGGTGCTTTTAGGCTAACGATTAACAACAGGTTTTACTTGCTGGTCACGATTTTGGCTTCGATAATATTATACTGCTTTACTTGTTGAAGAAGATAATTCATTTGTTTAGGATAAAAGATATATTAAAAAGACAGGATAAAAAAATTTAACAAGACAAAACACGTTAAACTCAATTTGTGAATATTTAGTAGAATATTGTCTTTATTAATCAGAGAGACCAAGTGGAATTTTGAATAATAAAAAAACAAAGTAAGGAATTTTTGAGAGCAGCGACTTTTTAAAGGTCAATTACTTTTATCAAAAAAGGATACGACGTTGTTCGAAATTTTAATATGAACGGCAAATTTGCCGTCTTAAGATGACGGATAAACCAACCTTACCAAGACCCCCAACAGTTAATGTCCTACCGGCCGAGGATGAGAGAGATGAAGGTGCCTGCGACCTGGAGGACAATAATACGCTCAAAGAAAGAGCCGAATCATCCGCGTCGATTGCTGGCACAAATGTAAACGAAGACTTGGATAAAGAGAGCTCAGTGTTCCGTCGTTTTGGTACTCAATCCCGAATAAATCTTGAACAGAAAGTACTTGAATGGGAAGAGGAAGAAAAGGAACGAAAAAATCAACATGAAGAAGGCCGTCTTGTTGATGGTGAATTGAAATTCGGTAATGACGAAGGGAGTAAGGATCCCCCTCCAGAAAGAGATTTAGCGCTATTCGAAGGAAACCCACTACCTGATCAGTATGGAAACTTATTTCCAGAGGATGGTTATGGAGTACCAATGGAAGAGATTGACCCTTATCTCCATTATAAGGCAAGCCTTTTAATAATTTATATCTATCCCTATAGATCTATGGCGTTAAAATTTCATTTTTCGCTAACAAAGCCCCTTATTTAGGTGTAAAGCACTTACTGCTGATGGTTCAGTTCAACTGAGCAACATTGGATTATACCTATTAATTTATGACATTCTATACGACTGTTATTTTAAAATTAACGTCTGTATTTAGTTTAAAATTTTTTTGCAGTCTGTCGTAAAGCATACCAATACTGCAATATGATGCTGTTTATACATGCGCGTGTCAATAATTACCTAGGTGCCGCAATTGCGTTCAATCACATTATTTTATTAATCTTTTGTAACAGGGGATTAACCGGCTTGTATAATTTTATGGCAACCGGTATAAAGCTAATGAGAATAGAAATCTTGGCCTCAATATACGGCCAGGAAAGAGAGTCTTGTAATTTTACAAATATTTACGTCACTAGTGTTATTCTTTTACTCATTTATTTTTTGTGAATTTCCTTTCATTTTCTCTCACAGAATCTTGTCAATCTTCTCCAAGTTCCTATTTTCTATAATTTATATCTTTATTCCGTATATCATAGTCTTTGTTTTTAGGTATGAAGCCACACCCACTTTTTTTAATACTAAGTGCCAAATAGCTACCCTTATTCCTTTCGTTAATCTTCTATAAGAATAGACTTTAACAGATTAAAGAACTCTGCAAGTTTTCTTTAAAACAGAGTAGAATACAGTTCCTTTAATAATGATGATTATCCTCTAATCTATGCTTCAGGGATATACCTTTGGGAATAGATTTAACATTCCTAAAGATCTCGTTCCTTAAGGTCCAGCCTATTTGTCAGATAAAAAATAAAAGACATGAAACAGTTTACAAAACATATGCGTTTCATAACTTCCTTTTGAAAATTGAGAACGATTATTTACGAAACATATTGAAACTCTCTACTTGCTTTATAAAATCTTATTAGACATATTTTCCTTTATATTCACAAATATTAAAATATGAATAAAACTCAAATAAACAATGAGAAATTGAAGAAATGATAAACAAATCTCTTTTAATTTGTACCCTCTTCAAAACTTCTAGTTACACCTTTTTATATTCTCCTTCTTTTTCACCCCTTTTTTTGAATCATGTTCAATCATGTCGTAATGTGATCATTACGATATCCTAGCGATTCGAGCAGTCGTTTCGAAGAAATCAATCTTTTTTAATTATTGATTTACTTTTTCTTTGTTACTTGATAGGCTAACCAAGTTCTTCAGAAATTTTGCAGTATAAAATACAAATAAATAGGAAGACAGTTATAGAATCAAATTGATTACAAATGGCCTAGAAAAGAATAGAGAGGGTTGAGCTATGTATAGATAGACGTAATATCATTTAGTTTGTCTCTTTGTATAAGTGTAAAAGAAAAGAAGAAAGAGATTATAATTTAAAATTTTATTAATTTTTAAAAGAAAGAAAAAGAGGATAATGATTAATTTAAATAGAATATTCTGTATACTGCATATATATATATATATATATATATATATATATATATACTATTAAATGTGGATCGTTAGCTTTTCATGATTTCTCACCATTCTCTTTCCATTCTGGCTAGACGTTTCAGTTTTAAACTTAGAAGAATAGAGAATATCTCTTTCTTCTCTTTAACAAATAATTTAGCACGTGAAATCTTATTAAATGTTGAAAAATCACTTAATTTAGTGCATTTCCTTAGGTATTATCCCTTTCCTTTCTTTCTATCATGGGTCTTTATAAATTTCTTAACCTCTTTTCCCTTTCTCTTTTTAAGAGAAACCCTTATATCAATCGCTCTTACCCATTTTAAAAATTCTTCCTTTTCCTCTCTTCATTTACAATTCCGTTAAAGTATTTTTTAACAAAAAATATTCAGTCGATTAATTGATCGCTTTTTTTATTAATGTATATGTACAATCTCTTCTTTCACCTACGTCAGAGAACGAATTTTTTAATGTAGGCCTAAGGTGCTAACTATAGCATAGAGGAATAACGTATCGTCCGCTTTGAAGTTTATAATAGGCAATTAAAGTAATGGTGAATAAATTTTCATATATATGCGTGTATATGTATAGATTAATATATATATATGCATATGTATGAGTTGAAAAAGAATTAAAAAAAGTTTTTTTTCGAATAAAAACGCCTTTTTTATTGATTAGTCAACGCCCATAAGCGTTATTTGTAAAGTCAGCAAACTTTCATAAATTGCCGGTTTTTTTTCAATTAATTTAACATTTTTATTCATCCTTGCTTCCTTTATCTCTTCCTTCTTTGTATGCGTCCTGATTTCTAGTCTATTTTATCTTATGTCATTTTTTTACCCTATTCAATCGGTTCTTTTATATCTTTTTGCGATGTTTGAAGAATCATTTAGATGGATTCATAACCGTATTAATTATCTATACGAACAACTCTTTTGGCATTTGCTATTCGAGATATTTGCTTTTGATTTTTAGTTGTTCCCTCTTCCCTATGGATTTAATTCGATATGTGACGATTGTTTCTATAAAATGAATTCATCAAAGTGACTTCTTCATGCAGAAATTATTAATAGACTTTTTACTTGATATATTAAACCGACTTGTAGTAATCAATAAAGTACTCGGGGAGAGAAACATTGCGAAAATTTTCATTATACATAGATATAAATAATATGTTAGTGCTAAACTAAGAAAAAAGCTCTGTTCTGTTCAGTTCTGTCTTATTATAGATTGTTGAACTAACTTCTATAACCAATACGTATAAGCATATAGTAGTGCCATGGTGAAGGTATTGGAGATCGATAATCGGATCTAGTCTGAATAAAAGATTGTCATTAAATGCAGTTTCATTTTACGTCATTTTCTTATTACATGTAGCGACTCTAAATCAGTATCCAATTGAAGATGAGACGTTTCTTTTTCAATAGTTAATTAATTGTTGGACGCCAATTTATAAGTTTATATTTAATTAATTTTCTCAAATGATCCTTTTCTTTGAAATATGATTATCAATAGATTAGTTTAATGAAGTCTTTGTTTTCATTAAAAACATTTTATATTAATAGATTAAAATATTTCAATTGTTTTTTTTTAAAGGTTCTTTTTTTAATAATTTATATTTTACTATTAATAATATTCCAAGATTTTTGAAAACATATTACAATATATTTGCCTAGCCGACTTTATAAATTAAACTCAAGTACAGGCTGGTCGGTAGTGTAAACTAGATTATATCAAAGAACGAAAAATTGCATTGAAATTGCCGAGCAACTGGAATTCTTTTCCAATTGTCCATTTTTTTTCATTTTTTTCTTACGTCTGGTACAGACTAAATAAACAATATTTTGTTCAATTAAGAGTTGCCGCTTGTTTACATAGTTATATATATTTACTAAGTAATGTAGGAGAAATATAAATATTTTGTTTTTTTATAAAAAAAAATATTAAATATTGAAAATGAAAACTAATCCACGTTAGAAATAAATAATTAGGTAATTAAAACTAATTTTATCAAAGACTTTGTATCTATTAAAAAGTATAAAGTATTCTCATAATACATATATATATATATATATAAATTTATATTTATGAATAGATATCTAAATATACATTTATACACTGCATTAATTTCAACTAGGCTTACATTGGGAGCAATATATATATATATATATATATATATTTATTTTTAATAAATATTTTAAAAATATGTATCATAGAAATATATTAATTTTATTGGATTAACAAATAATTAGGAGGATCTTAAGAGCTAAAGAATGAGACAGAGTGCGTGCGACTATTGAATAAAACTTATCGAACGTACATTGGAACGTTATAGAAATGAAAAGAATAAATGCGACTTTAGACGGATTATAAAATATATGCCCATTTAAACAAATACGCTAAGAGGGAGCCTTAAACACTTTTACTTATAACAGTTAGTCGAGAGGCCCTTTCTGAACTAATAAAAAATCGATTTTTGTATCCACAATAAATCAAAATAGAGATTTCAATGCTCTTTTTATTTTATTACTCGTTTATAGGCACTCCGTACTTGTTTATTTCTTGGCAAATATATATATATATATGTATATATCGTTACTGACTCATTGGAAGAAAATGAATGCATTTCCCTCTATTCAATTTTCTTATTATTTACTTACTAATTAGTAAAAACAATATTAAAAATATATTCTCTTTTAGTCGACAATAATACGGCATACATTTGAATAATTTTCCATATATGCTTTGTACAACGACATTGTTCATAATTTGTCTGTTTAATGAAAAGTAGATTGGCAAGGGGGACAAACCAATGAAAAAAAAAAACGCATTACGCTTGTACAAGGGGATTGTAAACACTCTATTCCCTCTTTTCGCTTTTTTCGTTAAATATTTGTCAAAAATGGACAAAAAAAGAATAACAAGCGAGAATACAAGTTGAGGGTTTATGGTGAAATGTTTAGGGGAAAGCTTTTCTCCATGGAAAAGTTGGGGGAGTAGTGAAAAAGCGGGCATAAGTACTTATGATGATAACGGATGCGTCGGTTAAGGGCTGACTGGTTTTCGGCGGTGGTGTTTTCCAACAATGACAATGTTTGCGGCGGCAGCGACGTTCTGACGAGATAGCTATTTAGTTTATATTATTTAGAAAAATATATACTCAAGCTGTTGTAAAGTGCTAAGTAAGTAAATAGGCCTTAAGAATATTAATTAAGCAGAGTTGAGCACAAAAAAAGCTAGAAGTGAGAATATGATTAGTAATTAAGCTCAAATTAACAAACATGTTGAAGAACTAGATCAATGTGAACTGGATCTGCTTGTAACGCTCATTCATTAACCAGGCAATAATCAATGATCACTTCTAAAACTTATTGTTTCTGATGATATACATCATGGACGTCCAGCGCCGTCTATAAGTCGACGCTTGGGCAGTCGCCGGAGTTTGTCACGTCGGATAAATAAGAAGACAATAAATAGAGGAAAATATACTCTTTCTTATTCGTTTATTTAATACTTATTAAAAAAGAGAACGATACATTTAAAACAAGAAATCGTTAATAAAAAAAACCAAGTTGGCAAGAAGAACTGGCGTTTGTAAATTATGAATAAAGCTTATAGTTTAAATAGAGAATAAGCCAGTATGGAATTTGAACTTAGCTCAGTGAGATCGGATCTTTTAGAGGAAATTGATTGCGATGAATCCTCAAAACTAACAGATGGATTTGCAGACGTTGAACTTCAAGTTACAAATACAGAAGAAGATGACAACAATAAAATAATATCGATACCAGTTGAATCTCCTTCGTATTACGTACCACCGATAGTTAGTCCCGAAGAGATGGAAGTTAAAGTTGTCGGTAAAGAGGTAAAAACAGTTTTAGCGACAAAGGAAAGAAAAAAGAGGAAACGGAGGGCAGGCTGGGATATGGAACAGATAACTACAGATGATGATGGTGACGTTGTTCAATGGTGCGGTTGTACATGGCCAGAGCTCGAATTTCCTCCCCGACAACCAGGGGTGAGAGGCAAAACTATACATATGTCTAAAATATATATTGTATATCGTAAAAAAATGAAAAAATAGGCAACAAATGTAGAATAATTTTATTATATGAAACATAAAATGAAGGAATGTTAAAAAGCGATTAAAAAGTATACGGAATATCGATAGAACAAAAATAATAATATCCTTCTATCATTGAGTGTTTTCTTTTTGAAAACTTGACGAAGTATTTGTAAAGGAATCATAGAGTTTTTCCCCTATCATTAACTGTACTATTAGTATTAAGTAAATGACATAATTACGTGTGGTAGGATCATTTGGAAAGTTGATTGTAAGTATCGTATGATTCCAATGCGGTTGACTATAACAAGGCTTTTAATTGACAATAGTTTACATAATTAAATAAGTTTCAAGAAAATGTTATAATATATAATTCATAGAGTGAAACAGACAAAAAGAATTCATATATTTTCAAACGCATAGAAAGAAAGAAAATGTATATATTTTTTAAAAGGATAATAGAAAACTAACGGAAAGGAGACGTCGTTTTGTTTTAAAAAAAAATTGTGGCGTCTACCTAAAAGTAATTACTACTGTGTGCGTCACTTTTCTTTTTCTTTTCGTTCTTCATAGCCATAACTTATTAAATAAAATTATTTAATGTATAATTCTCTTATTATGCATAGTAATTATATTTATTTTTTTATCCACAGACTTTCATCGTAATTGCAAAACGCTTCAAAAGAAATACAATATTCCGATTTTCGGCAACCAACTCCTTCTTTATATTTAGTCCATGGAATCCGTTTCGCAGATTGGCCATTTATATAGCTACAAACCAATACTTTGACTATTTTGTCATGTTGACCATCCTCGTCAATTGCGTCTTTCTCGCACTGAATGAGAATCAGACGACAAGAATCGCTGAGTAAGTAAATTTCTATTAAATGTTATTTATTTAATGAGTGAAGGGAGGAGGGCATGTATAAGATTTTTACAAGAAAGAGATGATAAGATTTCTTTTTTGATGGTATTCAATTTAACATATGGTCCCTATTAATCATTCTTCTAAGCGGAGTAAATGAATGGAAAATAATTATCTATATAAGAGAAGCTTACTAGGGTAATGCTGTTATGAAGCCGAAGCAATTAACTACAAAAACTGAACGTTCTGCAAAATGTCGCTATCTCCCATGGGTCGGCTTTGACAAAATTACGTTCTTTCATAGGCAATTTCTCTAATAGTTTCTATGTACGCGGTTTTGTAATATTATATAGATGGAGCAATAAAAACGCAGTTCGAAATCGCTGCTGCACCGCAATCATCCATCACACAACTCCAGTGTTGGATTTCACACGAATTTTCCCATTCCAATTGCGGCCATTAGAACTAAATTCGGCCTTCAACTCTGTTTAATATTCATAGACAGTCCTAATTAATTAATACTTATGCTCTTCCTTTACACTCTTATAATTTCATTCTATATTCTTCTTCTTGAAACTCTATTGATCTAAAATATACCAAAGTACATATACGTCTAAACTTTACTGTTTCATAATAAAAAATAGACAGAGACGCCGTTTGACAACTAATTAACCAAAACAAAAAAAATAATTATTTTCTTTGTTCAATAAGATATAAAACGTCTAGTATAATTGATTCTATAACTGATTATTCAATTTTCTCTTCTTTTTTTTTAAAAAAAAATATAGGTACGTCTTTCTTGCAATTTACACATTGGAAGCAATTATTAAAATAACAGCGCGAGGATTTTTTGTACATAGATTTACGTACTTGAGAGATGGATGGAATTGGCTTGATTTTTTAGTAATAGTCAGCGCGTAAGTAAAATTAGAATTAAATAGAGTAAACTATTTAATAATTATATATAAATACATATGTATATACTGTATATATATATTAATTGTTTTATAGGTATCTAACGATAATACTCGAATCGCTTAAAGTGTTGGATATCGGAAGTATCGCGGGTCTACGAACGTTTAGGGTTTTCAGAATATTGAAAACGGTTTCAATTGTGCCAGGTACAGATCAATCTAAGCTAAATATATATGTTATAAAAATATTAACGTGTACCTAATCACCTTTCAAAAAACATTACATTCAATTTCTAGAATGTATCGATTTGTTTCTATTAAAGTTATTTACTTTAGAAAGTTGTCCTAAATTTTTTTAGCAAACAAGCAAACAAAAGTCTTTATATCCGGGTATTTTCGGGAAGACTAAGATGCTTGCCTAAATAATTAGCGAATTCTTTCAAATTACTAACTTCACTATTTTCGAATTACAGATCTCAAGACTATTATTGGTGCTTTATTGAAGTCTATGCGCATGATCATTGAAGTCATTATACTCATTTCGTTCTGTATGGTGGTGTTTGCCTTGTTTGGTTTGCAAGTATATTTGGGAGTTTTAAGGCAAAAATGCGTTAAAGACCCAATTTATCCTATTTCACATGGAGATTATGACTTACATATAAAGAATTCGTCCAATTGGCAGATCGATCAGCAAGGTCAATATTTCATATGTGGCAACATAAGTAGTGCAGGGTAGGCAAACATCACTTTGAATTATGCAAGAGATTGCTTTTGTATGAATAGGAATGTTATCCAAAAATATATTTTTTTCATTTAATTAATCTAGAGCGTGTCCGTCGAATTACACTTGCTTACCAGATATAGGAGAAAATCCTAATTGGGGCTATACGAATTTCGACCATTTCGGATGGTCTATGCTCAATTCATTACAACTAATCACCCTAGATTTTTGGGAAGATCCTTATAATAAAGTTATTCACGCGAACGGACCATGGAATATAGTCTTCTTTATATTCGTCGTTTTCTTTGGATCTTTCTATTTGGTCAACTTGATGTTAGCTGTTGTATCAATGGCCTACGAAGAGGAGGCGAAGAACGCCGGAAAGGTTTGTTTAACCTTCTTCTTCCTTTCACTTATTTGTAGCCAAACACAATTTTCATTCTATAAATAGTAAACGAATATTATGACAGGATTTAGATCTTCATGTTTCTTTTTTACCATATGTACGTATAAATTTACTACGAAGCTGATTAGCATGATATTATTAACGCATATACTTACTTATTGTTATTCTAAACATTATAACTATTATTACGTATTGAGCTATGACCTATGTCCTCCATTCCTCGACCCCGCCTTTTTTATATTTTGAATAATTTTTGCATCTATTATAATAATAGTGTCTGCAAAAGATAAGTTTATAGAATGCGTATGTTGGTCACAAAATGACATATTTAAATGAAAAATTCACGTTTGTTTATATACTTTATATATACAGTATATATATATGTGTATATACTGTATATATAAAGTATATGTGTTATATATAGAAGAGTAGCTTCCTCTTTTTTTAATTACAATTGATTTTAATATGAAAAGAAAAAAGAAGAAATAGAATTGTGAATTGTAAATTATAAAGTGAGTGGGAAAGTATAGGATAATAAAAGTAGAAAGAGAGGGAAACTTTATATTTCCTTATTCCTTTCTTTTATTATTGAATGAATTATAAATAATAGAGATAACAATTGGAGAAAAAAATAAGCATGCTAAATGAAGTTTAGTTTAAATGTTTTAAGAGATAAATCAAAGAGTAAATTTTTTTTATCGTGCATGATTTAGCACAATATATGTCAATTTTTATACAATAATTGATAAGGAATTGAAGAATGATTAACTCAGCGTCCTGGTGTATTCTCACAGGAAAAGGAAAGAGAGAGCGAAAAAGAAAAATCTAAAATTTCTACTGCTGATGAAACTGTTGGCGAGTCAGCTCAGAAGAATGACGAGGAGAGTGAGGAGAAAGATCAAATTAAAAATACTACTGAAAAAGATCAGCCAACTCCTAACTCTAAAGTGAATGATTTTTTCTTTTCGAAAATTAATCACTCCAATTAACATATTCAATCCTTTTTCGTCTTTCAATTTAATAGCCTGAAGATGATGATACGCATACTGAAAAATCTGCTAAAGACAAACGAAAAGAGAGAATGAAGAATCAAGGTACTATGGACTCTGGTATGGGTAGTGATGACAAGCTAGACAAAGCAGATAATAACGATAGTAAATTCAATAAGACTGATGGAGAAAAGGTATTTGTTTATCTCTTATTGTCTTTTTAAAGACTATTAACAGCGTCCATGACCTTTGTTATAATTTCTATTTCTCGCGTTCGATAAATACTTAGGCCTTTCATTATAAATGCCACTCCTCAATCTTTTCTTAATTTATTTTTTTTCTTTCTAAACAGAAAAAATCCCATACCCAAAAAATTCCAAAAGTAAAAATAAGAGGTTTGTAAAACTTTATTCCCTCTTTTCCTTCTTTTATCATTTTATTAAGAAGATTCTTTTCAGAAGTAAATAATATATCTTAATATTAGATATAATTGTTAAATATTTTTTTTTAAAAAAACAAAAGAAAGAATAAAAAAAAGTATTAAAAAAAATAATTGTGTAAGACGTCCTTTTTTTTTTTTTAATTTTTATTTATTTATTATTTTTACATCTTTCATTGTTTTAATTCTTTTTTTTTTTTAAAAAAAAATATTTATATTAATAATATAAAAAGATAAAAAGGATTAGAAATAAAATGTAAAAATAGAGAAAAAAATTAAGAAAGAGAAGAAAAAAAAATTGATGAATAAATAAATATAAGAATAAGTTAACTGTTTTATATTTATATATACGTTTATATACAATATATATATATATATATATATATATTGTGTATTATCGTACGAGTATATGTAAATATAAAATATTAATATTCATAAAATTTAAATTAATAAAATATAAATTTTCGGTACGCTGTTTTTATTAATAGCGCAGAAAAATGAATCTACAGACTCCCGAACCAATTATATTATAAAATGTAAAGGTTTCATTTAGTTTCTGAATGTTTTTTTTTATTTATTTTCATTCAATATTTCCATTTTTTTCATTCAATATTTTTTACTATTATCGCACCCGGTTACTTTATTATTTTTTTTAAATTCTTATTTTTTAATAACTTATTCAGTTTTTTTTTTATATTAAATTTAATTTTTTCAAAAATTGCACTCTATCCTAGGAAATCTTCTCATTTGTCTTTTCTTTTTATTCATATTGGTAACAAAAACTATTCATTCATCAGTGAATTATATGGTATACCGAATATTTTTCCAACTTTTCAAAATTCTTTCAAATATTTATATATCCGTTATATAAATTTTTATACGAGGTTTTTATATATACACTAAGTATTAATAAATGGGATGGAAATCGAATATAATTTTAATGGATAATATAAAAGCAAATAGACTACAACGCCATCTTTTGTTCGCAAATGACTAAGAATATTATTATTCTGCTTTATATAAAGAAAAAAAGAAACAAAAGAATTATATATGATTTCCTTAATTATTTTATTTCTATATTTTTGGTATCTTTGGTATCATTTTATTTACTTTGTTGTTTTTTTTTGAGCTTTTTTCTATGTCGCACTACAGCAACTTCTTCGGACGAAGACAGTGATCTCGGTTCAGGTGCAGTTTTTTCTTGCATGAAATGAGCTTTTTATAATCTTAATTTTGCTTCTTATTTTATAAAATTAGAAACATAAAATATAAAAATTAATAAAATAAATAAATAAATAGATTAATGATAATAATTTCTATAAGAATGTATATATTTATATTTCTAATTTTAATTCATAAAGAAATAAAGGGTAGAATAAAAATAAGCACAGACCGCTATTTTTTCACCTGCTGTTTATTTTTCTTCTTGATTTCAGTTTCATGTTTACTAACCAACAATTTTTATTATTGAATTATAATTATATATGATTTCTAGCTTTTAATTAATATCTATATATACAGTATATAAATTTATATATGTATATATTAGATTATCTTAAATATCGATTAGAGAATATTATGAATAATTTATAAATTAATTAAAAGTAATATGTTAAATTTAAAATTAAGTGGAAGACAGTAGGTCTATGTTTATTCAATAACGTTATCTAGCGATTCAGTTTTCAAGAGGAATAATAAGATTAATCAATTACTTATTGTGCTAATTATATGATGTGCTGTTTTATTATTATTATTTTGTTTCGTTTGTTTGGTTGTTTCATTTAAGTTAAATTTACATCTTGCAGTGCTTAAATTGTTACCTTTTTTTATCACAGCAAACAATATTATTAATTAAAAAGTTATTAATTAATTGATTAATTAATTTATTAATAAGTATTGTTAAAATTATATTTTATAATCATTTTTTTGAAATGCTTAATGTACTTAATATAGAAATATACGGAATATATTAATATCTATAAATTGTATGTTTTGGTTTTTGTTTCTTTTATATAGATGCTGATTCGGATGATGAACTATTAGATAGAAACTGCGAGTGCTGCTCGACATGTTGCTCTTCGAATTTTGTAACGTGGCTGAGAATACAAAATTTTCTCTTCAAAATTGTCTCCGATGTTATATTTGAAATATTCATCACTATTTGTATTTTGGCTAATACGTTAATTATGGCTTTAGAACATCACGAAATGAATAGTCATTACGTTTTGACTCTTCAAGTGTCCAACTATATATTTACTTCAATATTCGTAGCTGAGGCTCTATTAAAACTATTCGCTTACTCCAAAGTATACTTCAAGTCGGCTTGGAATCTCTTTGACGCTGTTGTGGTAATTGCCAGTATCATTGATTTAGGACTCGAGAGTGTAAAAGGCTTAAGTGTAATTAGGACTTTTCGTCTACTCCGTTTGTTACGTGTATTCAAATTGGCTCAGACATGGCAGACAATGAGAATGTTACTTCAGATTATCCTAAGTACTCTTGGAGCGTTGGGACATTTGACGCTTATTTTATGCATTGTTATCTATATATTTGCAGTAATTGGTATGCAATTATTTAGAGATAGTTACTCACCCAGTAAATTCTATCCAGATGAGAAACCAAGGTAATTATTGATATAGTCAATGAATAAAATATCTTTATTGATTGGCGACAATTACAATAATAACTTCTTTCTCTCCTCCTCTCCACCTTTTTTATAGCAAAAAAAATATGCATTTAAAAATCGCTTTTCAACAAAGATTATCTTTGATTAATTATATCGATTTCTATTTATTCCTTTGTTTCCGTTTTTTAACATACAAATAATATATATATATTTCTTCTTTGCAATTTATATTATATAGATGGAATTTCGACGATTTTGGCCATTCAATTATCCTAGTTTTTCGGATATTGTGTGGGGAATGGATAGAACCCTTGTGGGATTGTATGAGAGCGGCTGGACAAACCTGTATGGTTGTTTTTATGCCAACATTAATTTTGGGTAATTTTATGGTTTTGAGTCTTTTCCTTGCTCTCTTGCTCAACTCTTTCGCCAGCGATTCCCTAAAGAGAGACCAGGATGTTAAAGAGGATTCAAGGATGAGACAGGGTTGGAAACGAATTCAATCTCTATTTAAAAAGAGATCCGTCGAACCAGATAATAATAAGCCAAAAAAGTTATCGGTAGCCGATATTGCACAGGTCCTACGACAGAATCAACTTTCAAAATCAAGTGAAAAGCTTAACGTAACTGATTCTTCGTCCATAAACAATTTAGTTCCGTCCGTATCTGTCACGAACGTTGACGGTAAACATTATCTCTATTTCCGTTTTATTCTTTTTCTACACATACCAATTGAAATGCTTTAATTATTTTTACAGAAACTAGTAAAGATAAACCAAAACAAAATGGGGAAGTCACTCCAACTAGTGATTTAGATACTAGTCAACCACAGTCTTCCCCTGCGAATGGTTCTGTCCACCAGGATAATGAAGAGATGAAAAGCACAAAGAGTAAATTGTTTCTAAGCCTACAACAGAGCAAGATAGAAAATTCTAACGATTCGGAGAATACGGACGCAAAATCGAGTAGTACACCTCGTTCTATTTTTGAAATTGAGGAGGAAAGAAGAAGAAACGAACAAGAGGAAGAGGAACAAGACAAAGCAATACAAGACTGTTGTCCTGCAATATGCTATTCAAAGTAAGACTCGATTTTTTCTCTTTCACTCTTTCCTAGCTTATTATCTTATCTTTCCTCTTTAAATTTAATTAAATATATCATATAGATTAAGAAATTCATTAATATTTTACAATTTTCTCAGAATAAAATTATGCAATACTCTTCAAAATTCTAAACACGCACCGAAGTGGAATAAGATGAGGGAAATATGCTTTACGATTACAGAGAATAAAATATTTGAATATACAATCCTCTTTATTATCTTTGCAAGTAGTATTTCACTGGTAAGAATTCAAAATTAATCAATTAATAAATATTAATTAATATATTTTTTGTCATATTATTTCAAGTGCTTTGAGGATGTATACCTGGATGACCCGGATAGAAAGCAATTAAAGGATGCTCTATACTATTTAAATATTATCTTTGTAATAATATTCACAGTTGAAATGTTACTTAAATGGGTTGCCATTGGATTTAAGAAATATTTCAGTAGTTTTTGGACCCTTTTAGATTTTGCTATTGTTGTGGTCAGTAATAATAATTAATCATTTTTAAAACTTTTCATCATTAGACGAATTCTTTTATCAATAAACTATTACATTATTATACAGATATCAATTATCAGTTTGGCAGCTGACTCAATTGGTGCATCGTCTATCTCCTCTTTTAAATCGTTGAGAACATTAAGAGCTTTAAGACCTTTACGAGCTATATCGCGATGGCAAGGAATGAGAGTACGTAAAATCTGTATGTGATGATATAAATTCTAATAAAATGCTCAATTAGATCGTTGTTAATGCTTTGATGTACGCAATTCCATCCATCTTTAACGTATTGCTAGTCTGTTTTGTATTCTGGTTGGTATTCAGTATTGCAGGTGTTCAGGTATTATATCATACATATTGTATTTAATAATTCTTTGGTATTTAAAATTTTCTGCAAATTTAATAATTAGCTACTCGGCGGAAAGTTCTACAGATGTGTTGATAGCAATGATGTGAAAATAGCAAATACAACCTATATACCCGACAAAAAGACATGTCTTGCTGAAGGTCTACGATGGAAAAATGCTCCAATACATTTTGATAATGTATTACACGGCTATCTAGCGTTATTTCAAGTAGCGACCTTTGAAGGTTGGATGGAAATTATGGAGGATGCCGTAGACTCAACTGATGTAACAAATTATTTCATTTGTTTTCAATTATTCATCATTGTTATTATTATTGTTATTGCTATTAATTGTATTATTTTTATTTTAGATTGACTTACAACCGATTAGAGAAAATAATTTAGGCTACTATGCATATTTTGTAGTATTCATTCTGGTTGGATCGTTTTTTACTTTGAATTTATTCATTGGTGTTATTATTGATAACTTTAATATGCTCAAGAAAAAAGTAAGTTTACTTATCTTCCTTTTAAATATCAACTAATAATTGATTTATTATCCCTTTGTCAGTACGAAGGCAGTTATTTAGATATGTTTCTAACTTCAAGTCAGAAGAATTACATGAATACAATGAAGAAACTCGGCAATAAAAAACCTCAGAAAACCATTAAACGCCCAAAGGTTATTGTTAATTATAATAATTATGAAAAAAACAACTTTATGTATTATGTAATTCATAACGATTAACATATCATTTTGTCTTTATATTTTTAGCATAAAATTCAAGCTTTTATCTTTGATGTTGCTATTAGCACAAAATTTGAATTAGCTGTTGTAGTGCTAATTCTATTAAACATGCTTTGTATGGCAATTGAACACTACAAGCAATCTCAAGCAGTTACAGATGCTTTAGAAGTTATTAATTTAATATTTGTAACAATATTTACTTTGGAAGCTGCAGTAAAGATATTCGGTTTAAGATGGCATTACTTTAGAAGAGCTTGGAACGTTTTCGATTTTATAATTGTTGTCTTATCAATAGTTGGTAAGGATGTGTTTACTTTTATGAATCTTTCAATTTAGAGCTATTACTACCGTCATGATAATGTCAACTATAAATGATTCTCAACATCTTCGTCTGTTTTTCATTTCTATTTTGTATGATAGTTTAACTTGTATGCTTTTAAAGAATTATGGTATTCTATACAAATTTAGCATATTATTTGTATATAGTATATAGTAGATATTTTTACCTTCATCTGTATATATATACAGTATATAATTAAGTAGCAAAATATAACAAATGAACGAAAAGATATACATAAGAAAATATATACCTCACTATAATTTTTGCAGATAGTGCCGCTGGTAATTATACAATTTTTTGTCATTGTACATATCAATATATATGTTTGTATATATACCAATATATATATATATATAGAAATATATATATATATATACTAAAGAGTTGTCTCACCGCAAAACATGCTTTGAACGTATATTTGTAAACATTAAACGTCTTTTATTGTTTTTATTTTTTAGAATTTTTGTGTTTTTATTCCTCTCTCTCTCTCTCAAATTTCTTAATCTCTCAATGTTATTTCTTTCTTTTCCTTTTCCTATTGAAAGGAAAAGAAGAGAATAACAAAATAGCCTCTTTCTATATTTTTTACCCTATAAAAAAAGAGACTTTGATACAATAATGGAAATTTTTTTACACTTCTTTGTTTTTTCAAATTTGGCTTTGTTTTTTTTAAAAAAAAACAAAAATAACTTTTATGCATTAAAAAGAATTGAAAAAGAACAAGTATTTAAAATTTCTTAAATCTTTTAAGTTTATATCACTAGGTGGCGCACTATACAAGCACTATTACAAGTACAATATTTTTTATTGCAATTGTGAAACAAACAAGATTGTTACAGCCTATGTATGTTAAGTACACGTTATAAGCAATTCACAAACTGTACTGGTTTAATTGTTAAATGTTGTTGTTGCTTTGTTGAAAGTGCTATATGTTTTTTAGTTTTTTTTTTCGATGGCGTCTAAAGAAGAGAAGAAAGATGAATGAACGAGTGAATGAATGAATGCTTATCATTTACGAACAACAAGCGATAACATAATATAAAATTTTTGCTATCTTTTCTTTTAGGTGTCGTCTTATCGGATGTTCTTCGATCTGTCTTCATAAATCCAACTTTGTTAAGAGTAGTAAGAGTATTCCGAATTGGCCGAGTTCTAAGACTTATTAAAGTTGCAAAAGGAATAAGGAAATTATTGTTCGCCCTCGTAATATCTCTTCCAGCTTTATTCAACATATTTATGCTATTATTCTTGATTATGTTTATCTATGCTATCTTTGGTATGAGTCAATTTGGGAAAATTAAACATGGAGATCATATTGACGACATTATGAACTTTCAAACATTCCCCAATGCTTTGTTACTGCTGTTCCGTTTAACAACGGCGGCTGGATGGAATGATGTTTTGTATCCCATGCTGGTATCGGAGGCTCCTGATTGTAATACAACCCATTGGCAAAGGCCGGATGGTAGATGGGAAAAGACCAATGGGGGAAATTGCTCCAATTCATTTATTGCCATTGCGTTTATGGTGTCCTATATATTTATCACTTATTTAATTATAATTAATATGTACATTGCTATAATACTTGAAAATTTCCACCAAGCTCACGATCAAGAAGAGGTTGGTATTACCGAAGATGACTTTGACATGTTTTATATGGTTTGGGAGAAGTATGATCCGCATGCTACCCAATTTATTAAATATGAACATTTGTCGGACTTTGTGGGTGATTTAGATCCACCTTTAGGAATTTCTAAGCCAAATGAAATAGCATTAGTGTCCTTCGACTTACCAATTGTGGAAGGAGACCGTCTCCATTGTTTAGATATACTTATTGCATTGGTTCGTCATGTTTTGGGAGAAGTAGAAGTGACCAACGAGTTCCAACAACTTAAACAACAAATGGAGAGCAAATTTAAGGAACAATTCCCAACACGAGTACAATTCCTTCAAACGACAACTACAATGAGAAGGAAAAAAGAAGATGTAGCTGCTAGAACTTTGCAACGAGCTTGGAAAAAGCACAAAGCCGAGGTAAGTATTAGGAGGATTACTCAGATGGCTATGGATCAAAAAAATAAAAGCCTAACCAGATCATCTAGTATCTGGAGTCAGAGGAGAGACTCTCAAGCATCGCAAGCAGGAAGCTTTGCAATAGCTCAAAGAAGAGCGTCTAAACTATCAAATAGGCTTAAAGTACCGACAGCTGATACAAGTATATCATTGCCTTCAGAGAAGAATGAAGATGATCTCTAAAATAAAAATTGATTACAAAATAGAAATGAGAAGAGTTTCAAGTGAAAAAAAAGATATATTTACACTAATGAATAATAAATCTAAGAAGATAAACCTAAAAACGAAACAAACTAACTAAAAAAGAAGGAGAAACAAAATTTGTCCTGCAGCAAAAAAACTATTAATTTTTTTTCTCTTTTTTTTTCTTTATCAAATAGTTTCTTTTTCATTTTTCATTTTTTCCTCGTTTTCTCTTCTTTGTTATCCTTTTTTTTCAAAAAATTAACAAAAAGTGACGAAGAGAAGGGAAAAAATAACAAGAAAAAGGAAAAATTATGAAGCGATTATATGTTTAATTTTTTTAGTTTAATTCTATTAAAAAACAAAAACAAACAACACAAACAAAACAAACAAAAAAAAATAAGAAATTTTCTTCTTTACAAAAACTCTGAATGCAGAAATCATAGACTGCTACGTTGTTGAGAGTATTACGTAGTGCAAAATCTTGAATACTGCACAAGCAACTTCAAAAACGCAATGAAATTGTGTGTGATCAAAGCATTTCATTTGTCTTCCTTTTAGATTTTTTTGCTTATATAAACAAATGTATATTTATATATAAAGTATATACATTTACATATAAATATATATATATATATATACACTCTACTATTATTATTATTTTCAAGGTGTATTAAATTATTCTATCTTTTTCCTAAAACTGTTCCAGTTTATTGCTGTATATTAAGTCAAACTGTACATTTTTCTATAGAAGTATGAAATATATTATAAGCTAAGAGAAAGAGACTAAAGATGAAAGTGTCCACTGAGCTTTAAGTTAAGAAATGAAAATTCAGTCATTCTAGAATATATGGGAGTTAATCCGAATATTAAAACCATGAAAAATGTTTGCCAACCGTTCGCTCAGGTTAAAAATCCAATGAAAAAATATTTAATATTCATTATTATCTCTTATTTTTTTATTTTATTTCTATTTAGGTTAACCAAATAATATTTTATGAAGCAATTGCTTCTCTTTCAATTTGTTTAACAAGCGACAAACGACCATGAATAGACTATGAATATCTAGATAAGAATATTAAAATGTATATAATAGTCATAAGGAGATATATAATAATATAAAAAAATTGTTAAAGTTAACATTTATAGGCCTGTTTATTTTTTTGCATAACATAATAACAAATAGGATGATACATCAATCAATAAGAGAACATTTATCATAAAAATGTAATAGTACACATGATAGTAGTCTTAAATGTTAAAAACTGAATATATTCCCAAAGCATAAATATTTATTATAATTCAAAAGATACAAAATAGGTTATCTTATACTTTAAATATTAATAAACTATTTCCAAAAAAATGAATAAACTAATGGCTAAACATTCTGTTTTCTGTATTTAATTAATTTCTTTTTTTTTGGATCAATTTGCGTCTTACTTTGAATATAATGGCAAATATACGTCTGGGAGTGTAGATTGTCTCATATAAAAGGATTATAGATTAAATATTGATGAATTAAAAATTATTAGACCAAGTTTAAATATTCCACCGAGATTTTACACAGATATAATATATAGCAAAGACTATTTTAGGGTATATAATGTCATATTGACGAATTAAATTTGTTGTTAAATATGCAAAAGAAGGGTAAATAGGCCAATGTGATTAGAAACAAATATCTGAAAGAGATAAAAGAAATATAGATAAACATAGACCAGCCAAATTAAATACATTCAGTTTGAAAAACTCTACTATATTAAAGGAATTCTATTAATATTCTCCCTTAAACGATCATACATAATCAATGAAAGAGAAAGGAGCTTTGAGTAGAGCTGTTCAAGGAGTAAACTTTTCTTATTGTCGGCTTTATTATCATTCAATATCTTTATAATAATATTCAAATTACTATCCCGATTGTTGGATAAATTTCATTTTCTGAATGAACGTTTTTCAAACAAATAAATACCTTACTAATCGAAACGACCTATACAGTAAAATTTTCAATAGTTAACTGATCGATGATTAATTATTTCTATTTACTTTTGCCAGAAAGCTTGATATTACAGTTTATTTATTCGTCACCTCTTTTATACTTGCATTACCCAGCGACGTTATGTATTTTAGTAAATAGGACATTAGGAGGTCAGAAAAATTTCATAAATTTATAACTCATTGATCTAAAATTCAAGGAGTAGAGAATATTGGGAAAAGTGAAGAAAGATTTTTCCTACCTAATGTTCTTCCATGAATTTATCGGTTTTTTTAAAAGTTTACCGATCGTTTCGTCAATGAACACATACACAATTGACAAACCTATTCAAATTATGTTTTCGAATTGATCTTAAACTTTTTATGTTCATTATTACAAAACATATGAAGAGGGAAATTAGAACAGAAATTTTTATTCCTCTGTAGAATGAAAATTCCAATAGATGGCGACTATCAAATTCAATAGTAATAAATTTATATAACATCATAGTTCAAATATAAAATAATACTATGTTTCCAATGCGACTTTTTCCCATAGAATATAAATATCAGGCGCAAAAATAAGAATATTACAACAACAAACCAACATTGACCCTATTTGCTATTCACTTGAAAATATAAAATATTCAAATTTTTTGAATATCTATTACTGGAAATTAGCTATATACTAAAATTAACAAAACTTTATGTAAATAAATTACACAATATGAAAACACGGGGAAAATAGTTTCATTCCAAAATACTAGATGGCGTATTCAAGACAACGGTTATGACGCTCATAATTAATTTTGCACTCTATTAAGATTAGGTTGCATATAGTTATAAACATATATATATATTCAGTATATATATACCGCAAATAGAATTATATCTGTATTTTGATATGGTGCCATGGAAACAAGAAACGGAAAAGTTATTAGTTCATAATAATTAGATTTAGACTTTTTTAATTACTTTATTAATTGTTCACTGGAGAAAATTAATTAGAAGAGAATAATTGAATATATCTGTAAAATATATATAGTTTACTTGTAAATATGCTATTATCATGGTATTACAATGAAGGGACGGTAAATGACTTAAGGTAATGACTTAAAAACACCAAGAAAATGTACCTTTTCATTCACATCTGTATCTTAATTAAAATAACAAAACACCGAGTCCATTTAGATAATGCGTAGTACAGTCTCCTATTTTTCAAATATTACGTATTTCTACCTATAATCAAGGATAAAAAAAGGCTATTTCTCAAAGTAAGAATATTCCCTTTTGAGAACGTAAGTAGTGAGAATTCTATTATTAATTCCTTTATGCAAAGTAAAAAGGAAAACTTATCTAATTCCTTTTGAAATTTGATATAATCTCTTAAGTAAAATATTCTTTCAGTAGATAACAAAAGTTGAAGGAACCAGAAAATATACCTTTCTACATATTTTTGAGGAGATAATATAAAGAAATAAGGCAAAGTAGAAATATCCATTTAGAGATAATTTCTGTTTGATATATAATTATTGTATTACACTTAGAGGATTCGCTAAATTTAGAATTAAGAATGTTTAATATATTTTAATTTTTCCTTTTCAAAGAAAGTATTGTTTTTTTTATTACTTTGCTTTTGTTTGTACATACATATATAGATACAGTATTTCACAAGTGATAATTGAACTATTTGCTATTGATTTATTCAAGTAAAACATACTACTTGAGTAAATAAACATGGATAAAATAAATAGAAAATAGAACTACATGAGTTATTGGTAAGATTCAAATTTTTTCAAGAATATGAAAATATTCTGTATGTAATGAAAGACCTAAATAAGATAAGATTTGTATTACTAATACTATTGTCTTATTTATATCATTTTAAGAGGTAATAAACAAGAAAAATCCCTTAATTAATTATTAGAATTGTTGTTGTTTTTATTCGTTTATAAGTATTTTAAAAGCCTAGACTGATCATAAATTGCACTTTGTCATTTTGTAAAAGAGGCTTGTCTTTCTTCTAAATGTATTGAATTTATCGTAGAACATAGAGAGTTATATATAATATATTTATTTATATATTATTGAACGTCATTTACATTTCTCTTTATCGTTGAATGCTAAGTGTTAAAAACTCTCAAGTGCAAGAGTTTGTAATTATATTTGTGCAGGTTTCTCTTTTCAAATTGTGATTTTTTAAACCGATGACTTTTCGTCCGTGTTTTCTTTATCACCTCTATTCACGTTCATTGATTCCTGATAGCCATTGAGAAACTTTTTTGCCATTGTGGAATTTAAACACTGGATTACTTCCTCTTCTTTCTCCATAACGCTTTTAGCTTCTTCATAAAGAGTCTCTATCCTCTTCACAACGTCCGGCAGTACCGATAAATCAATGCGAAAGAAACCATGAAATGGATAATCCAGATCAGCCAGGACAAAACACAGCATACTAACCTATATATACATATATATATATATCTATATTAATAAAGTATATACTGTATATATATACATATGATAAAGGTATATATATATGTCGATTAATATTGAAATACAGAAAAAACCACTTTAAATAATTAACTATGCTATATTAGTTAAAAAAATTATATCTTTAAAGCTTACAGAGAAAATTGTTAATTCACACATAGCCAATTCCATTCTTCTTGATTGGGCGTCAACGACTGTCACACCAAAAAGTGCAGCCAATCCTAAACTTTCCAAAAATATCCATCTTCGATGGAGAAATATTATTAAATACTAGTTAATGAATTATGGAAAAATATTACTTAATTGGGTGAATTCGACTATGTATTGTACCCATTCGATCAACACAAATATTATTTAGTTCGATAATGTAACTGATCATCTTGTCGCAAAGTACACTGTTGACGTTAAATTTTGTTTCGGGATGAAGTGAAGCGTCTCTCAAGATGTCGATAATGTTCCATATTTGAACTAGTTATTAAATTATATTAAAGTAATCTTCAAGTGGGGTAAAATTAATAGGAAATAAGTCTAAACCTTTGATATCAATGGGAGGTTGATTTCTAAACGATTCCACATCTTTGTCATTTTGCAGTTGAAGAATAGTGAAAATTGCTTCGTTCTTAACTGATTTGTATAAAGCCAATAAATGCTTTTGAGTTGGTAATTTTAACGATTTTGACATTGTTAAAATCTGATCAAGTAAACTAAATTCGTGAGTGACTTTAGTCAGAATTTCCGTTTGTTTGCCATAGGTTTGTTGGAACATAAAACCAAAAGATAAAGCATAAACTAAACCGGCTGGTGCTAAAGATAAGAAAATTAGAATTATTAGAAAAATGAAATTTTTTCGCAAGTTAATTAAATATAGAACCTAGGAAACATGAAATTCCTGTATTGATATCTGGTTTTTTCACTTCTGGCCATAAACAATCAATCATAGGCGTATAAATGAATAGTAAGATAGTACAACAGACAAGAGAAGCAATTGGTGGAATAGCTATTGCTATAAGATTTTTTGGATGGTTTGTATTTAGAATGAAATCGTCTAATACCTGGAAAAGAGAGAAAAAAAAATCTAATACATATAGACAGAATAATATATTAAATAAATCAATAGCACTCTAATTATTAATTAAATGCTAAAAAAATAAGTCCAGGAAATCATTTTTAGATCATGCAACAAAAAAAAAAGAAAATTTTCCTTTTCTGCAAAAATACTAATGATCAATTTATAATATTTTACACTATCTGCAACTCTCATAATTGAATATGAATAATTCTATTCTCTTTGTTTAATATTCATTAACCTTTCGTTAACCTACCTCTAAATCAAAATCTGAATAAAGAGCTCGTTTAGTAATGTTTTCATTATGAACTTCATTACCATTACATTCCCTTTTCATGTTTTCAATTTCCTCTTCCGAGTAGGAGGTCGGTTGTAAATCTTTCCTTCCAAATTGACAATCTTTTATGAAATCTTTCAACCATAAACAGAATAGGCCTAAGTGTTTTTATAGTTTTAAAACAGCAAACATTTATTGAAAGAAGTTGCAGACTGTAAAATGCAAAAGAGTAGCAAATTGTTTTTAACTTACCAAAAAATATTATACATGTCAAACCGAAAGGCGGTATAAATATCTCCCATAGGCTTGGTCTGTCATTAGGATCCAATTTGCCAGTACAATAACCTTTTTGGCCACTCTCAGGTTCGGGAATATGTAAATTAGAAGCAAGAATACGTCTTAGAGATCCTTTAGAAATATTCATTATTGGTGGAAAACAGGTTGTAACTTCTACCTGCTTATACTAAAAATATGTAGTCGTAACTGCAAGCCTGTAATCTATAGATTTGACGTTCGTTCCAGTAGGCGGTTCTAATTATCATGCATATATAATTTTAGCTGTTCTTGATCTATTAATTATAATGAATTATAAATACTTTTGATCTATGCATTATTATCAAAATTAGAAATTGGAAATATTGGAATTTTTTAAGAAAAGACTGGTAACAAGACAGGAACTTGCATCAATAAATGAAAAGATCGCTGTAAAAATAAAATAAAGTCTTTTCAAATATTCTTCGAATTCAGATCGAATTATAGATAAAAAAGAGTAATTTCATTCAATAGAATAATGCGAACATAGGAAAGAATAATACAGAAATTTGGAATGTAAAAGAAATAGAAGATAGATAAATAGATAGATACATTGAGAAACAGAGAGAGAGAGAGAGAGAGAGAGAGAGAGAGAAAGAGAAAGAAAAGGATAGAGAGAGTGTAGAAGGAGAAAATAGAGCAAAAAGGAAATACTGGAAGGGTGGCTAGTTTACTTCCTAAGTTGTTTAATTAGTTGATAGAAATATTGAACGTATGAAGGGTTCATACGATTTTTATATTCTACTTTTAGCAAGAAAGCTTTTCTCTGCATTTCAAGGAACGTCTCTTTCTTACATTAAATTCTTTTTTGTCATTAATAAAATACATAATCCATACATATTTTATTGAGTAAGCATTACGTTCTTATTAGTATTAGTATAAAAAATATTCTCCTCATTCCAGTTTTCTTTGTTAAACCTCTCTATAAATTTGAAAAGAAGCATAAACGATTAATAACTAGGACTTGAGACCTTATTTTTCCTTTTTTAGTCTGGTCAATAGCTTTTATTTATGTATTTTATACAATAATAATTTATTAGGTAAAGTAGATAAATCAAGTAGAACATAGTGAGAAAGAGGAGGGGTTAAAAGTGCTTGTGCTCAAAATGTGCAAATAGTTTATTGTTTAAGAGTTGTTTCTTTGTTTTCCCTTCAAGTAGTAATTAAGGTGATTATTATATTAATTCATTTTGTACTGAACGCTGTATTATTGTATTTACTTTTACATTAACATTTCAAAAGTTTTGTAGTTTAAATCTAAAACATTTTCTTTACTGTTGGATACTTGGCTGTGATATTTAAGCCGAATGACGAAGCTATATAAAACATCTTTTCAATTCTTGTGATGGCGTCGGGTAGAACAGAGAGATCAATGCGAAAAAATCCGGAGAAAGGCGAATCTAAATCTGATACTACATAACATAGTAACGAAATAGAAAATACGGTAATGATACACATAATTAATTCCATTCTGTATGATTGTGCTGTCAAGAGAAGAATTCCAAAGAAGGAGAAAAATCCAAGTGTTTCCAGAAATGCCCATCTATTGTTCAAATGCATAAAAAATGTAAATATTTATATATTATAGTCATATTTAACTAACTTTAGCGGATGTATTCTTGCGTGAAGTAGTCCCATCCTATCGCTACATATGCTATTCAAGTGTAGTATATGAGAAATGATTTTATCGACTATAATTCTATCGATACTAAATATTTCTTTTGAGTCCGATTGTATTCTTCTTAGAATATCTAAAACATTCCATATTTCGGCTGAATAAAATAAATAAAGACATTAATTACTTATTTATTAGATTATTCACTATTTTTCTGTTTTTAGATTATATCATTTATTCAATTTAACCAACTTTTTACATCGATTCTTGATTTGTTCTGAAAACTCTCCGGTTCTCTATCTTCGATTTGTAGGATCATGAAGATCGCCTCCGCTTTAATCGCCCTATAGATTGCCATACGATCTTGAATGTTAGGAAGATGAATTTTTGAGGCAAGAGTTGCAATTTGATCTATTAAGCCTAATTCGTAGGTTATTTTTCGGAGAACTTCCCCCTGTTTTCCTAAAGCTTGTTGGAAAGCGAAGCCAAATGATGTCGCGTAAACTAAGCCAGCCGGGGCAAGAAAGCAAGCAATAGCTAACGTAGAAAAGAAAAAAGGAATAAAATATTCACATAAAATAATAAGACGCTACCTTCGTTGATATCTGGAGGAGTTGCAAAAGATGATTTTGGCCAGAAAATATCTATTAACGGTTGATATAAATATAAAGTAAACGGACATAATGACAAAGAGATAAGGGCTGGGAAGGAAATTCGAAACAACTCCTTAGGTCGGTTGTGATAAGAATTCATTGATCGAATTACTTCCAAGTCAAAAGAGGAAAGAAAAGTTTTATCCTCTTCCTCCTCAGGTATAACATCTTCTGCTTGATTTCTTTTTAAAGAATCTGGACTGGATAATATCGAAGTTTCAAAAGTACTTGTGGATTCTGTTGGTGAAACATTAATTTTTCGGATAGTTTTCAAACCACTAAAATTTTTCCAAGCAGGTAAGAAAGAAGTTCTAAGGCAAAAGCCAAATATTTTACGTAGTTTTGCTCGAACAACATGCCTTTGGGACGATATAGAAAGGCCAGTAAGACCTAAAAAAGAGTTTAATTTTTTCATCTTACTTGTATAGTAGTATTTGATAAATCAACCTACCTAAAACAATCAGAACTAGAAGAATGAAAGGTGGCAAAATAATTTCCCACATCGAAGGTCTCTGTTCTGGTTCCGCCTCTGGAGAGACAGTTCCTTCAGCATTTGTCTCTGGTTTAGCAGTAGTTTCTGGTTTAGTTTCACTTTCTACCTCAGATTCTGGTTTGTTCTCTGGTTTTGTTTCGCTTTCGGTCTCTGATTCGGGTTTTGTCTCTTTTTCTGGCTCTGTTTCAACTTTGGTTTCTGGTTCGCCTTCAACTTTAGTTTCTGGTTCGCCTTCAACTTTAGTTTCTGGTTCACCTTCAACCTTAGTTTCAGGTTCAGCCGCTCGCTTTTCTCTATAAAAATACGACTCATCCACTGATGATGAAGCTGATGAATTATTTTTGTAAACATTTTATTATGAGAGAAAATATTGCAACTCATTATACATTACCATCAATTACGGCAAGATGACTTTTCACCAGACAGCAAATAAATAGAAGACAAACTAGGCTGATCTTTTTCATACTTAGCGCCAAAGTCTATAACGTACGAATGAAAGCTTAATGTTTTTTCCAAACGCTGATAAAATAACGATCAATTATTATAATGAGACATTTATAGAAGGTAAAGTAAAATCATAAGGAAATAGAGATTAAAGGAAAAGTAACTATTTTTTCCGATAAATTCAAATCATATATTAACTTTTCAATTAGTATTTACAAATTGTTTATGTTTTTAAACAAATTTAATAGTTTACTTCCGACTTTAGAGGAAATTGCTTTTAAATAGTAAATTACCTAACAAAGAGCTTTTCAACGGAGTAAATGTCTTTATTAAACAAATTCAAATAATAAATTACCTATATTATCTATTGTTTGCTTTTATTTTTTTAAAGAAAACACTGATCTCTATTGTACTTCTCACTCATGACGTAGGTTAATTACCTATAGATGACGCCCCCTTCCAGCAGAAGAGAAGCACCATCTGCCTTTTAAATTTTCTTAATAAAAAATATAAAGTACTGATTAAAAAGGTAATTCCATTAGTATTTTTAATAATCAAATAATTTAACTGTTGTTGGCTATCTTTAATCAATAACATATTTCAAATAGAAGTTTAATAAATTAATTACGTAATCGAACAAAATGCACTTGAGAGTTTATTATCAACTAGGTGGCATAGTTATATAAAATTCTATTTCTGAATTATAAATAGAAGGAGAGAAGTGCTTTTTTTTATTTTATCTATATTTGCACTGTTAATTTCAGAAACATCTATTAATAGGAATAAGAAAATGCTAACATCAAAAAGAGCGTGTCTTTTAAGTTGTAAAAAGTAGCTCTTTCTAAGAATCAAAACCTCTATCTCTCAAAAAGTTCTGAATAAGACTAAATTGTACGTATCATAAACATGTTGAGTGCAAAAAGCTTTTTACAATGTATAAAATAACGATTATAACTATATAATAGGTAAGAAAAGATCAATTTTGAATAAATTCAATTGTTCTAATTAAAAAAGATTAATATTCTGTATTTTGCATTTAACAATAAAAAATTCAATATAATAAAATTGAATAAACTTGTTGTTTAGATCTATTCAATGCTTTGTACGTATGAATGAATGAGTGAATGAATGAATGAATATGTAAATATGTATATATATATATGTGTGTGTGCATATATATTCTGATATACTGTATATTCACATATAATAAATTATTTAATTAATAGATTTTCAAGTATCTGTTTGCCACCCAAATAGAGAATTAAATAACCGTTTACTTTTCAAACATCAGTGAATTCCATTTAATTTAAAGATTGATTAGTGGTAATTGGTCTATTTTCCAATAATTTTTCCATTTATGTCGACAAATCTTTAAAAGGTAAAAAAAAAAAAGACTTCTATTAAATGAAATAAAAATATTGTTATTTTGTTATTTTTCTATATCATTTTTTGTTGTTTTCTTTTTTTTTAATTGCAGTTTTTAATAATTAATTTGAATTAACATTTAAACAAAAAATGCTGAATTAATCAATTTGAAACTATACTTTTATTTTTTTTTCTAAATATCTAAATTATTCATGACTAAAAATAATATTTAGAACATTTAGTACAGTTGTCTATAATCTGTAGATTATAAACGAATATAAAGAGGATGATTCCCCATTTCTTACTTTTTGCTCTTTTATCCACCCACTCACTAGCCTATCCTCCTACACCGTTCCCTTTTTCGCTTTTTTTTCGATTAAAGGAATATATCTATAAATAATTAAGGATAATAAAGAGAGGATGATTATTTCTTTTTTTTGTTTTACAATATATTACTCTATATTTAAAGATTTTCAAACCATAAATAATCGTAAAAAAAGAAAGAGTAAAGTATAAGGAAATTGTAGAAGTAAAAGGTTAAAATATGGATTTTTTTTTACTGTTGACAATCTTGTCAGAATGTTAATTTACAATAACAAACTAAACTAATACGTTTTCATATACTGTATAGTACATTTATTCAAAACGAGGTTAATAGGTCGACTGAAGTGGATAAATGTAATTGGATTAGATTATTATTCTAAATATGGGATACGTGAGAACGTGACATACATAATTAGTACATTATGTGACAAATCATAAATGAATATTTGGATTTTAATTTTCCAAATGTGCAGCAGAGAAAACTACTTTTCATTGAGTAACGATAAGATAAAGTAGTTTTGTGTAAAGAATATTTTATTCTCTCTTTTCTTTATGCATAAATAATGAATATACCGGTGAATTTGTCCTATGTATTATTTTTCATATCCACTATCATATAGCAGATACTGAATAAATAGCTATCTTCTTTACTATTATATCTATATATAAAATGGAAATTATTCTCATTACCCAGAACAAAGAGAAAAAGAAAAAGCCATTTAAGATCGTATATGGTCAACAGAGCGAACCATATAACCTTTCCTTTCTATTGAATTATATGTCCATAGTCTATAATCGCTATGAGAGTTTTCCTAAAAGAAAGTTTATATTTATTCTGTATACGATACAGTTTTTATAAGGCAAATAGTTAAAGAGGCTAAAATTAGTCGTTAACAGCGAAATAGTGTCATCTCTGTTAAAGTAGTTCTAGGAAAAATCTACATTTTGTAAACTTGGTAATGATAACTAACAAAAAAAGGAGCTAAAATCTTTGTATAAAATATTCAAACTGTTCTTTAAATTATTCATAAAAAACTTAATAAATAACATTATTTTCTTAATGAATGATCAACTAATGATAAAATATAGACATACATATACTGTTGTATTTAAATAAAGTTTCTCTATTCCATACGACTTTAACCTTCAAATGTTAAACGCTTAAAGAAATTCAAGATCATAGAACTATAAATAAGAGGATCTTCAAAAGAAATAATTATCAATAATAATTAGCTTGAGAAGAAAACGGTCTAGATCTTTAGGATGTGAAGTTATATTTTATTTAAAGATACGGAATGTGATTAACGTCTTTTTTCTAATTCTTAGAAAGTTATGTAACTAGAGATATAATATTAATGATTAAAGTGATTTATATCAAAATGAGTCATTATTGTAATTTGAAATAAATATTATACATATATACTGTATACACAGTATGTAGACAAGCTCTATCTAGAGGATAACAGAATATACATATCATGAAGGGAGCGTCTATAGACTAATATTTGTTGAAGTATAAATAAAGAAAAACAATAATATTTCATAAATAATATTGTTACTCTGAAAAATATTTTGTTGGTTACTTAGGCAGTTTGTATTCTATCAATATTAAATATAAAAAAAAAAACAAAATTAAAGCGAATATATTCTCCCATATCCTTCCAAAGGATTCACAATTAAGAGAATAATCAGTAATTTAACGTTTCTTTCCTAAACTATACGAAGAGCTGGAAAAATGAAAAAAATATAATATTAACAATATATAAACAGCGGTATACTTTTTATGTCTACATTTGGAAAAATATAGAAAAAGAACAAAATTACAAACTGTTGAAATGTAAAGAATTTTTCTGTGTAATAATTGATAAGGATCTTTAGATATTAGATTGGCCTAATGCTCTTATTCAAATTAAAATTTACGTATAACACAATTAATGCTCTATTATTTATAACAACTAGATTTTTTGTTAATAAAATAAAAGAACAAGCGATCAATTCGTTTTTCGTATGTTTTTTTTGTTTTTAATCAGTTAAATAGATTTAATGAAAAATATTTCTTAATTTATAATACTTTTTAATTAAAATATAGGCTTAATCCATTAAAATACAATTTTACTGTTATAAAATACTTGTCTGAAAATAAGAATATTGCTGTATATTTTAATAATTAATTAATATACAGAGTTTCTATTATTTGTTTTCTATTAAGGTAACTTGTATATAATGAACTTGAAAATTGTTAAATACATAAATTATAGTTAATATAATTAATTGTTTTGTTAAAATTTAGTTAATTCTCTTTATGTTTAAAAATTGAGTAAAGACTGAAAAAGTAAGCAATTCTTGCTGTTTGTTTGAAGAATATTTCTGAAAGGCAGCATATTCATTTGCAAATAGAATGTATAATGTATATACAAAGTACACAAACAATGTAAGATATACCTATACCTCGACTTTCACACACACAAACGCATATATGTAAATTCATATAGAAGGTTTTGAACATAGTATGTATTTGCAATAGAAGAGAAGAAATATATATATATATATTACTTATATTCTCCTTAAAATGACATGTATATTTAAGCTTTAGATAAAAAAAGAAGAATCTTTGATTTTTTTCAGGCTTTTGTTAAGCTTTATTTTATCTTTACTGAACTGAATGACTTATTTATTATTGGATTTTAGGTAAAAATGTTTAAATATAAATTAGTATATATATATATATATATATATATGTATTTAAATTTATATATATATGTATATGTATTTATATTGTATATATAATAATATATACGATATGGTATATATTTATAGTAAATACATAAAGAATCTTTATAGATATTGTATATATAAAAACATATACTCTTCTGTATATTCGTAAACTCAGGAATCTTGTTCGTCCACCCAGTCCTTTGAAGATTCGCCCGTTTCAGCGTTAATAAGGACTTCTGGTTCTTTGAGTCTCAAGTGTTTTGAAAACTGCAATTAAAAGTAATGATATTAACGTGTGGATGAAAGAGATAAATTAATTAGAATTATCAGCTAAAAACCTCTTCATTCTTTAGAGATGATGTTTTCCATACAAACCCGCTAATCATATCAGCTATAACCATTTTTAATGTATCGTCATATATAACCGACATGTCTATACCGCTATTTTCATCTGTGCAGCCTCCGTAGTAGTAGGCTAATTCCTTAAGTGACTGTTTTGCATACTGATCATAGAGAGAATCAACTTTTGCATTAACAGAAAGGTTCTCCTCGTAAACCAGATCGGACTGCATTTCATTGAGAATGTTTAAAAAGTTGATGTAATCCTCTTTATCGAGGTCTTCACAGGATATATTTGGAAATTTATGAGTAGTATAGGCGTTGGCTAGCCTAGTACAGCAAAAGAGGGCATATAAGTATAATTTCTCGTCTCGATTCACTTCAGTACCACATACGTTGTTAATTTGCTCTGGAGGAGGATAATCAGCCTAAATCGGAAGATGAAATAAATATTTTAATATTTAGAGATTATTAAAAAAATTATTTTTTATCGTAAAGAGAAAAAAACATTAAATATTTCAATAATAATAAGCGCATTATTCGAAAGCTAGCACATTTGCAAATACGGCAAAGAGTGCTCATTAGAGCTGTCACAATTTCTTTAACCCTGTTAAAAGAGAAAACAAAAATCAAGATAGAGTACCATTTTTTTGCTCCTCTTTTCGACTACTGCCCTTGAATTTCGTTAACCATTATAATAATTAAAATCAACAATTGGCCTTTGAATAGAAAATCTACCTCATGAAATATACAAATATAAATTCACTCTTTGCAGGCCTATTTCATTTATCCCACGCTTTGAAACGAATTTCAGGCAACTGGTAGCCTGATACAATGACATCTCTCGTTATTAAGTCCTTTAATGAACACTCAGAGCACGAAATAACGATTTATGTTATTGAAAAGGTTTATTACTGATGCAAAGGATTCTAGAGATTTCTATTTTGAACAGTTGTTGACGTCAGTATTAACTTACATTTGTGATGAAAAAACAACTCTTTAAACGGAGGATTGAACTCCCCGGGGTGTTATTTCCTTTTTGCTTCATATCATTTTATGAAACTATAGCTATTATTTATATTTAACCCCAATATGAAGAAAAAACGACAAAAACCATGTAAAAGAATCAGTATCAGGGAGGCCTCCTGTTAATAATTTTTGAAATCTATACCTTAAAAAGAAATAAGCGACGTTCATCCAATTCGCATATATTATCTATTGACTGCACAGTTAGGAACAATAGGGAAATCTAAATTAAATGTCAATGCAAATATCGACGCATATCAAAATCAATATGGTTTATTGATGAATTTCAAAGCTTCATGCTCATACAATCCAGCACTTGAATGTTGCTTACATAAAAAAATTCTTAGGAAATTGTTTTTGAAGCAGCACTATTAAGATAACCTCGATTTCGATTCTGGTCGATTTTTTTAACGGAAGGAATCAATTGAAAAATCAATCTTATATATTCTGGATTTAGCCGAGTTCTCACATCCATTTTTATCTATACAGTTAATAAGCGTCTAATCGAAGCTTCTTTCTTCTCGAACTCTTTCAAACTTATTGACAGTTGAACTAAAAATGGGCAATGTAATATTATGAGTAGAGAAGCGATCAATTAAGGTTGTACAATTAATGGGACGATCTTAAAGTGCTTTATCCGATACCACTGTGTGTATCTAGTCAATATTTAATGAGGTGAAAAATGTCACGATCCTCTATTATAACGGCATGCGCCTGACTAGAGTTCATCTAGAAATAAGTGAATCTTAAAACTTCATATTTTCACTGTAATTTTTGCTCCACCTTCACCGCTTATTTGAAATAGCTCTTATTCAAATAGAGGCGCTGCCACGTGGGGCGTCAAATCAATAAAATATAACTATATTATACAGTTCTTATATCTAAAAATAAATTGCCTTATTTTTCATAGTAAGCCTTACCTTATCTTCCATTTCAGCTACATCACCAACTTTTTGTTGCGTACATAGATTACCCATTATAATCTTTTTTCTTTATTCTTCTTTCCTTCCTTTGTTCTATAAACTTTAATCTCTACTCCTTCTTTTAATCCCTTATCAGGGACCAAGATATTGTAGTTGAAAATACAAGAGGCGAATCAAGTTAGACTATGGAGAAGCAATGAGGAAATTGAGAATAAGCAGAAGTAGGATAAGCAGAGGAAGAAGGAGAAGAAGAAAACGATGATGGTGGCTTCGAGAAGACAGAGAGAGAAGAAAAGTTTATTTAAAGAAACTCAGACTTATTGTTGATTCAGTAGAAAGTAGAAGTAGAAGAAGAGTAGAAGAAGGAGAAGAAGAAGTAAAAGAAGAATAAGAAGTAGTCGTAGTGGTAGTAGTAGTAGTAGTAGTAATAGCAGAGGAAGATGAAGTTAGGTAACAGAAGAAAAAAATTTCTTTTTTTGGTCAAATTACCGATTAGTAAACTTGTAGAATTTGAGCACCCTCATGACAATTAACGTTTTGTAATCTATAGAATGATAGAGTTGTTAACAGGCATTCCTCATTTGTAAGCAATCATTCATCAATTTAGCGGAAATACAACGCAGTACTTACTGAGGATAAAATAAGTGAGCTTTTACGTCCAGGTGTCGTTCCAGTTTGCGATCTGCCGTCGATTCATTCCTTTACTTATAATATATAATATATGTATAAAAATACATATGTATATATTGTGTGTATATACAAAACAAGCTGTATATTATATATCTTTATATATATTTATATACAGTACATATATAGAGATAATTTTTCTAATTCTCTCTCCTATACTATAAAATATAAATTGCATGCAGAATTTTTCCCTAAAGCGTCTAAAGTAATTTGTTATTTACGATATAATGCTTTTGCTGTATAGAAATTTTGTAACCTATTTATTCCTATATACATCTATAGTTACAGGTTTAAACTTAAACAATAATTCGAATACAGAAAATCAATTAATATTCTAAAAACTTTGTCCCAAAACAACAGATGGCGTGCGCTCTTCATGTAAATATTTAGACTGGCTCTTGAAAAATGTTCAATAGCTGTTCGTTTTTACCTCTATAATTGCAATCTTTTAATTCTATATAATAATCGATTAACTTCCTTTTAGTTTCGTCGCTAAGACTATCCCGGTTTTTAATTAGTTCTTCCAAGTTCATCGTCTTCACTTGTTTGCCATCCGACGATCTTCTGGGAAAACGATCGTTATCGGATATCAAAGAAATGAATTCCTCTTCGTCTAGTTCAACGTTTTCCCTTCTATATGCTTCTAATTTATTAATAAAACGCTTGATGTCTTCCTGGGTACCAATATTTTTTCGTTCTTCACTCTTAATTAAACGCTTTCTTTGTTCTCTTTTTTTCATAAAAGTTTCCCGTCCATCGAGAATATTATCAGTAAATGCATCACTAACTGCAGTAGATAATAATTTAGGTTCCCGCCTAGATTTTAACGGTCTCTTTTGAGCATCTTTTCTCTCCTCTTGTATTCTCGTATGGGATGAAAAGCCAAGCGTTGTTTCGCTTCTTTTATGGCCTTTTTCAGAAGGTTTTAGACTTTGCTCAGCAGCAGTTGCGGGACGTTTATTGACAACTGTTAATTTAGCAGGCAATTCCAAAGTAGTATCCTCCGATATAACAGGTATTGAGGATGGAATTGAGGGACGCCTTTTCTTCTTTGTGATTGCTCTCTTTGATTTTTGTGACTTTGTTTCTGTTCTCGAATATTCATTTACCTTTAGTCTATAGGCTGCTGCTGATATTCTCAACGAATTATTGACATGATGTTGATAAATAACGGGTAAAAGCTTTCCATCATCATCCATCTTTTTAAATCTTCTAACATCAGAAGCCGTTAAATAGGATTTAATTCTGTCAACTCTTTGTCGTAGTCTTCTATGATAACTTTGCATTTCTTTTGAATCCAATTTCAAAAGGCTCATAGAATACGATTTTTCCAAATGCAATTTGTTTAGGCTTGTTTCCAATATCCTCATTTCTTTGACATTTCTACCGATCGCTCTCATCAATTGATCACTTCTCTCTACTGTTGATCCTTCGCTCATATTTATCTTGGCTTATCTCTTTCTATATCTTTTTAACTAACGTTTCACATATAATAATTAATTTATGCCTTATTTGTGTTCCAATCATAGAGACGTCCAATTAATAAACCAAAGAGTATTCTGCTCTCATATAGCACATTTGCCCATTTGAGCACTCCTATATGTTTTTATTAGTAATATTCTATAAACTGCAAAAAGAAGCCTTTCAACAATAGATATCCGTACTAAGCCTAGATAGATCAGTAATCCGCCTGTAAGCTTTCAACAAATGATTTACAGAGCATTCATAATAGGTTAATGTTCGAAAAGTTGTCCAACGACACTTTTGATAGGAAGAGTAGCTTGAGTCTAATGAGCAACCGATACTTTATATATCAATCATAATTATAAAATTCGAATAAAAGTAAAGTTGACTGATTATTAATTGTAGTATTATATTACTCTAATACTGTATAAGTATTTAAAATTACTATACGCTTGTATAAGTTTTACTCGTAATCAAACAATGAGACGTAAAAAGGGAAAAAAGGAGAAAAACATACGGCCTGAGTGGAATCTATACATTTATTTCATTATTAATATTCTCGATCCTTATTGATTGAGTAGATAGATATCTTCCTCTCTTTTTTAATTTATTATGTTTTTTATATATGTATTTTATTGACTCTTTTTCTTTTGTTTTTTTTTACAGAATTTTGCAAGTTATAAATACAAAACTTAACTTATTAAGAAAGTTATAGTAAACTTCTCTCCTTTCTTTTATAAATACTAACAATTACATTAGATAACATGTCAACATTATTTACATATACTTTCTTTTATTTAGCTCTTAAGAATACCTCATAAATTAGATTATAAAAAAGCATAAAGATATAGTTGTCATTTAGTTTTCTATAATAAAAAAACTAACTATTTCTTTTTATTATTACAACTATTTAGTTAATTTTTTATTCCTCTTTTATTTACTTAAAAGAAAGGTTAACTTTGTATAAATATGTCTTTTCTTTTTAGTAACTACGTTTTAATGTAATAATCCTATTCAATATTATCCCTCTGACCTCCCGCTAGCTATAATACTACAATAACTCTTATAATAATTGCCGACAATTGCAAAACCCTTCCATCGCCCCCTCCCTCTCAGTTCACTCCTCCAAAAACATTACTAGCTTTTTTAATCAATGTTATTTAATCTTACGTATTCATACGTAGTGAATAGAATTTATTTTTGCATTTGTTCAAAACAAATAGATCAGTCTAATAAAAACTATTCTATGCACACAGTACTTGTGTTTTTTTTTGTTTGTTAACAATGTAGAGGAACCTCATTCAGGTCCTTATTATAAGTTAATTGAAGAACTTATTAATAATTATCGAAGGAATAAAGCAGAGACTAATAGTTTATTTATCATACTATGCAAGTATAAGAGCTACAATGTAAAAGAATGTAACAAAATTGTAAACCTAACTGTCTGTTGTACTGTTTTCTAGCCTGACGATATTTTATTTTTGCCTGTTAAGTTCATTTTTTTAACAGAAGATAGTAATTTTAAATATCTTAAAATATATATTAAGTATACAAAGAAATTTGAGCTTTATATATTCTACACAAATAGTTGACTACTTGTCCTAATTTCTTAATTAATTAATTAATTAAAGTAATCAACTTAGTTTGATACACCACAAGGGTGTAATACTAGTCTCTTTGCACATTTCAATCTGTAAATAAATCTTTTTAAACTTCACGTTCGTTCCTTCTACTCTTAGCAATCGTCTACCTCTTTTTCACCCATTTTCCCAAGTCTATACCATTAGGCAATTAAACGAATATAAATATTAAATAATAAATTATTTAAATGATAATCAAATAAGACTATAGCCTTATTATTCAAAATGTCTTATTTTCACAGCTTGCTATATTTTAATTGTAATAAATGAAGAGAAAAGAGATACGGTGAAAGTTTTAATCAACCTTCACGATTTGTATTAATTAAAATTTAAAAAAAAAACACTCCAACATAAAAAAAGAACTTAACAGCTTGAAATGTCCAGAGTATGAAATTGATGACTTTTTGTAAGTATACTATATACTTTCTATCTACAAAATATATAGAAGTATATATTGTTTTGAAATTATACAGGTTAAATATGAGAGCAATAATTGATTACGTAAAAGAAAGGATTTATTTCTAATATAAATATTAAAATAATAAAATATAATATTGTAGAAGTTGGAATTATTGTTTTACATGGTTTTCCTTTATTATCTTCAAACCATACAAGTAATTAATCGTAATTTATGTGCGAAATCTTGTAAAACAACCTGTTGAAATTATCATGCATTAGATGATTAATGCCATAGGAGAATATTTGCTTTAATATAATTTTCAATTATTGTAAATTTCGTCTTTTTGCTTCAAGACTAGTGTATACTGGATAAAAATTATATTATAGATTTAATAGACGTTTATTGATCGAGATTTGGTCATTACCTCAGCTTTAACAACTTTCAATCAACTTGACTTTGAACTCAATTCTTGACCTAGTACTTTCACTTTCTAAGCTGACAATTGGCAAACGATCTCTATACTGTTATAAAGCTCATTTTTTGTGTAGAAAAAGAAAGTAGATCCTCATTAGCAAAAAGCTTCTCACAATTAAAAAGTGCTCATGAAAAGTATAAAAGCCCATAACAGTCCAGTCACACGTTTATCAACTCCATTCCGATACAGAAAATTGCTTCAATTTAACGACAACCGTAATCAGAGATTCGGACAATCATGCAGTCAGAATTTACTTCGAAGAATTTAGACAAACAATGTCTTTGGAATGCTCAACAGTCTCTTGAAGTAGATTCTACAGAAAATAACAATATACCTGGAGCAATGATCAAAAATGGTAATTTGGTATTGAAAGCAGAAAAGTCGAAAGAATTATCTACAATTCAGAGCGAAGTCATTTATTCTATATTGTCAACATCTGTAGATACTAATGACTGTGTGCCGACATCTTGTTCTCTCAGGTTTAAAGAAGATGGTTGCAGTAAAGTTGAAGGAGATGCCGGCACACTGGCTGACTTGATTCTTGATGCTGAAACAGAAAACCCAATACCCGATGATCTTAACGCAGGGAAGGAGGAAAGTAAAAGTAAAAGCAAGAAGCATTGGTTTCTGAATTGGTGTTGCGGTACATTTCGTCATGTAAAAATCTGGGAAAGGAGTTCAGGTTATAAATATAATAGAATTGACGAAGAATAAAACGGCGAGTTTTGTAATTTACTTCCAGTTATAATGTTTAACCAGTTTATACAGTTTACATATTTTAAATTCTATAAATAAAGGACTATTTTTTTAAAATACTTACCGATTTACCTACAATTCTTTTTCAACAATATCAAGTTTACTCTTGTTTTCATAAATAATAAATTAAACCATACCTATAATAATCGGATGTTTGCTGAAGAGTACTCAGCATATTCTTAAAAGGTTTACATAGCAAGAACAATCCTACTGTAAGCTTTATATGTAAAAAACAAAAGGTGCTCCATTCGCAATTTAAGAAATAATTATTTTGATGATGACATAAATTCCCTGAGTTCTTCAAAGACTAAGTTAGCTAAAACATGCTGAAATCAATATCTTTTCATTGAGAGATAATTGATGAAATGGCAGCTTTTTAAATAATGCAACGTTTAATCGACTGTTTCAAACCTAATGAATGAGAAATTTCTTTTTTTTTTGTTTTTGTTTTTGTAATGGAACAAACGTAAAGGGAAGATGATAAGGATGATTATAGACTCTTCTTATTATTAGTATGATTCATTTTTCACTATTAATGTAAAAGTAATCAAAAGGAAAAAAAACAATTAGAAAAATAACAATTCATTTTGTTTTGGCTGCGTGTAACGAGAGTTTAATGATGATAATGTTTTCAAATTATCATCGTTATCTTCTGCTTTTTTAGTAGTCATCCTCGCTGATACACTGATTAACGAGATCCTCTAAGTTAGGATTTTCCATTGCTGCTGCCACTCTTTCTTTATCATTTAGTTGCTTGTTAACTAATTTTGAAAGGATAAAAAAAAAGATTACTGAACAGTTGAAAGTATATATAAAAAAAATGGCTTTCTTTAATCATTTTACTTTCTCTTTCCGTTTCGTGAGTTCCTTCTTTAATTAGTATATCCAATTTATGCTTATGCGGCAAATTCTTTTCTATCTTTACTCTCATGCATAGGCCTATTTTTGGAGGAAAATTAAGAATAACCTTGCACTTGTAACCTATGTAGTATACCAACCAATTAATGTTGCTAAACTACAATGTGGAACTGTTGGAGTAAATAATATATTTAATAGAAATGTACCATCTTCTGAAAGAGCAACTTGAACATCTTCTTCCCTTACTACCTCCAACTCCTCAAGCGTTTCCGGTTTTTCAGGGTCCTTTATAGTTCGAATAATATCTGAAATCAACATTATTTGAAAAGTGGATCGATCTAATTAACACATACCAAATACTGTAGAAACAAGTTCGTCGTGATTCTGACTGTCGTTCATTTTCAATTATAAACGGTGAAATATATGTATTTATAATTTTAATATTTATTTAGAGTATGAGCGATATTAAGTAAACTTAAAGGTTGGACAGCTGAAAAAAAAATATTTCTAAATTAAAGGTACTTGCAAAAGAGCAATCAATAAATTGTATTAATTAATGCAATAATAATAAAATTTCTACTAAACCACTTTTTGTAAGAAAATTAATATTACATACTAAGATAGGCAAGCATAAGTGAAGGTTAAAGTCGATATAGAGTACCTCTAACGCCATCTGAAGGATTTACGACAAAAAATTGGAAGTAAGAATCGAATTCGTTTTAATAAACTTGGAAATATAATTAATAATGAAATGAATTTATAGAAAATTTCATCTTATTTCTCTAATTACAAGTTTTTAACGAAATAGTTAAAAATATTCATAAATTAGATTAATCCAAGAAATATATAATAAAAGACAATAAACTTGTATAAATATAAATATATATATATTTAAATTATGTTTAAATTAATTATTGGAAACCGCAAAAAAACTGCAAATTGATAATTTGTTATTCTATTATAGACATTATTCATTTACTCAAATTTTTCATTAGATTTATAGTCTTTATTAAGTTATTAAATTAAGGAAGTATGTAAATAAAATATATACACTTATATCGTTCAGTAATTGCAGTATATATATGCAGTAAATAAGACTCCTTTGAGCAGATTAAAGTCAAAGATTTATGGAGCAACTAAACTAATTCAGTTAGGTAAAGTCGGCAGAAATATTCAGGGGTAGCACACATGATCAAATAATTCATCCTGAAAATATTGATTTTGTTAATTATTTGTTGTAATAAATTAAATTAAGCTGTTAATTACGTCAGCTTTCTTTTCTTCTAAGATTTTTGCTTCGTAAATATGTGGATATAAATCTTTTAGAATGGACTTTGGCAATCTATCAATAGGTTGTTTAGTTAAAGATCTGTCTGGTGTGGAATACTGATCTAATATTTCAGTTAACCTGTAACAGAGAAGGATTTAGAGAGTAACTATTAAAGATCCCGTTATTAGAACAAGATTTATATATATATTTATAAATATTTATATATTGTTTACTCTCCCTTACTTATTCGATTTATTTGCAGTCTTCTTATCATCATCTGAATGAGCAGATGCTCCGTAAGGCTCAATCCTCTGCATGGTCCTTCCATCAGATTTTATTCTCGTAATGTGTACTTGAGGATAATCGTTCAGTGGCGTCTTAATTGGTGTGACAATTTTGGGGCCATTTACTGGTCTAAATGAACTCCGATTACGGTCCTCAGAGAGCTTAGTTGGAGACTGCGGGGGTAATTTTACAAATTCTACTCGTGAATTTTCATCATTTTGAAAAGGGGGTGGGGAAAAATCTCTTTTGGCGCTCTGAATCTTAGATTTTTCCTGCCTTGGTGAATTAACTACTGGAGGTTGGGGAGAATAGTCTCTTGTCTTTATAACAACAGGTCGTACAATACTCTTTGGTATATATTGGCTAGGGTGTATGGTAGCTGGATCAACAGGCTCATCTAGTTGTTGAGTTTTAACACGTTTTCCAGTTACTCGAAGAATTTCAAATTTAGGTAGATCATAGCCTTCTGGTTGGAAAATTTGAGCTATTTCTCCGCTATTTGTCTTATCAATTGGCCTCTTTTCTTTTTGTTTTCTAGTTTCTTTATCTTTATGCTTTACGGGTGGAGGTAACAATTCAATACGTTCACTGGGAGCAATTTCCGTAAAATCAACTTGTTGATGTATCTGATTAATTGGAGGTGATTTTATCTCTGATGAAGCAGCAGGTGAAATAGGTGGTAATGTTGTATCGGGAGAATACAAATCACTTAGAACGCCTTCTGTTTCCTCTATCACTCTTCTATCATCCGAATAAACTTTGTCAATAATCTTACCATTATTTAGAGTTTCAAACCATTCTTCGTATTGCCTGTTTGCTTTTATCTTCAAGATTTTCTTTCGTGATCTTTTCTTACTTAGAAATAATTTGCAATGGGATCTCTTAATGAACAATATAACTAGGATAAAGACTACTATCAGAGATCCTAAGATCACAATGATAAAAGCCCAAGGCGGAAGAGGTAGTTGCATTTGATTGTCTGTCGTAGGCGGTTTATTTGTTGTCGATACAACAAACGGAGTAGGCGATTTTAGAACCTTATAAGGACAATATTATTAACATTATTAACAGTTTATTATTAGTATATCACATAAATACCGTACGTCCAACAATCTTAGACTGTATAGAGGAATTTCCAACTTTATTCATAATTTCCGAGACTCGTTTTGCAGGTACTGTTGTCGATTTTTCCATCACCTCAAAAACAATCTCAGCAGCCAATTTTTTATATTTCTTTGTTTCTTCAATACTCTTAACCTTTATAAGTAAAATGGAATTATTAATATTAAAAATTTCTTGAAATTAATAATTCTATTTAATGGAAATTGTAAATCAACCTTAATTTTAATATCTGAAGTTGATCTTTTCAATTTCTCTTCAGGATTTAAGCCTTTTTTGTACAAATCTTCCAAAGCTAATTAGATTTATTAAAATTATTAAATTACATTCATTTTAAATTATATTTTTTTTATATTCTTCTCTTGAAATTTTACCTTTTTTCATGCCATTTAAAAAGCTATCCGTTTTAATTATTGATATTTTTTCATTGGTTAAAAGGCCTACAACGATTACTGTTAACGTTTCAGAGTCAACACTCCCATCAGTAGGTTTTATAGGTGTTTTTGTGTTTGTAATAGAATTTTTAGGACTATTTGGAATAGTAATAGGATAAGTATTTTTAGTATAGTCATTTTCAGCAGTCTGGGTAGATTGATAATTTAAATTTGGTGTAGTTTTTTTTAAATTGTCTTTAATTGATGTTTGATAATTAAATGAATAATTTCCATTATCAACTTTGGTTGTTGGTGATGAAGCAGCAAGAGTTTTAACAGAAATTTGCTGTGTTGTTGGTATATTTTTAACTGTTGTTTTCGCCTCAGAAGTAAAATAGCTCGTAGATTTCGTACTATAGTCAATTTTCATAGTGTTTGTAAAATTAACAACACTCGCAGTTTGTAATTTATTAACATTCGTAGTGTATGTCTTTGACACTTTATCCTTCTCTTTAGTGCCATAGGAGAATGTTGTATATTCCGGTGTTACGTTCGGAGGATAACTTTTGCCACTGTTGGCATCATTTGCAGTTGTTTTATTATCTAGATTAATAGTGTTGGAAAACTCATTGTCATTTGAAGGTGTAACAATGGGTGATCCTTCTTGTGTTACAATCGACGTTTCAGAACTATCTGTAGTCGTAATCTCACTACTTGAAGTGTTAACAGTTTTAATTTCCTCTTTTTCTGTTGTTTGCAAGTAGTCAATAGTTACGTTTCCTGGCTTCACTGTACTCTTCGGTGCAGAAATTAGCGTTGTTGAATTCTCAAAATCACTTTTATTGCTTCCGCTAATCGTCGTTGTAGGGTGAAACATTTCTGTTATCGAAGTAGGATTGATAGTACTCTTTGAAATCTGCTTACTAGTGGCCTCAGTTACATTATTATTGTTATTGTTCGAAGGTGTAGTTAAAGCTGATGTTGATTTGTCTTTAACGGAGCTTTCTGATGTAATTAAACTATCATCTGCTAACTGACTCATGGTAACTGTAGATGAACCAACTGTTGTTGGATGAAAGGAAGACTTAGTACTAGAATCATCTGTTTGCGTTGATAAATCCATTGAACTATTGATTTTATCGGTATAATTAAATTCATTAGCTATTCCAGGTATCGATTCTGTAGATACAACTCTCACAGTCTTCGTAAATTCTGGCCTATCAGTTCGTTTCTCAGTTGAGCTTGCGTTGGAAACGGATGGGGTCGTTGGATACCTAATACCTCTTGTAATGTTGTCATATTTTTTTGTGACAGTAGTATAATTTGCAAGGTTAGGCGTTGTTGCACTAGTCACATTAAATATCTCCGATGACACAGATGTTGTTTGATTTAACGAAAGTGTAAAATTATTAGTATTTGAATAATACAATGGAGTTGTAAAATTGACACTATTCGTAATATTTGAAGATGAACGTAGATTTTTAATTGTTGTTTGAACAGATGATTTCACTGAGTAATCTGAAGTTGTTGTAAAGGATTTATTCATTTTTGTAGAATAGGTTGTGTTAACTTGTTGAGTATTATTATAATCGAATAATTGATTAACTGTAGTTTTAGCAAATGTCTCATTTTGTACAAAATTAGTAGTTGTTAAATTTTGAATAAGCTGAACGTCAGAAGTGGTTGATTTATTAAGGCGGGAACTAACGGTCGATTCGTTATTATATAAATAAGATTGAGTAGGATTGGTATAATATTCAGTTTTTTCAGGTTTACTTTCTGTTCCATTAGATGTGTTATTTATGGAAAAGTAGCCTTTAGTATTATCCCTTAACGCTAACGTCGAATTATAGGGCGATTTTGATGACGTCTCTCCTTCCGAGCTATTTAGATTTTTTGAAGTGGTAAAAGAATAAGTTATGGTATTATTGGTAGTAGGAAAAGGAGTTGTTTTTCTTGTGTATTTCTCTGTGTGATTATTCTCGTTATAAATAGTAGAAGACTGACTCTCCGAGGAGATTTTACTAAAAGGAGGGACGGACGTGACATTTGCAGTTGATTCGTTAGTAACTTGTTTGGACGGATAGTCATTTGTCCTCGTATCACTGTTAACCGCATCCAGAAGGCCAGTAGTTAAGAATTTAACAGTAGTGCCATTATTTTGGACAAAAGATGGCTTATTTGTAACGAAATTCGTTCCGTTAAAAGACGAATTTTCTGTCGAATATTAGAAAAGATTTATTCATAAAGATTCATTTATTAATATATTACTAATTAAGAATAAATACCCGAAAATCTCTTATCTCGATGTCTAATTCGAAATTTAGGATTTTCTAAAATATCCACTACATTTTCAACAACAAAGACCGTTGTTATCCAAAACAATAGTGTAAATATCCAAAATAAGTTTAAAATTGATACATTCCATCGCCACATCACATTGAGAAACTATTCAACGGTCAGCTGTTGATTATTGATTGTTTAAAAGCAGTTGGCTAATGGGGCCTATAAAAATCATAAAGGCAAAAAATATACTGAAATATTTACCGGGAAAAATCAATCCTTAATTTTATTTTTAGCTAACCGAATGGTTCAAAGATATAATAGTTTAATAGTTATACAGAAACGCACAAGTTTTACTATAAGAATATACATATTATATGTGAATGTTTCTATCAATAACGTAAATTCACAAACAAACAACATAAAAAATACAGGCATTTTTTGTGTAGCATGTTTATTTCAAAATGTATTTAATTAGAGGTTTCTTGAACCGTTTTCTCCGCCGATGTTTCTCTGAATGAAGAAAGATATTCAATTATTTCTCTCATTTGAAATGTATCATAATTATTGTTTAATAAACGATTGAAGAGGTTGAAAAGAAAAATTCACTTACTCATCATTTTCCTCAGATTTTTTATCATTGGTAGAGACGTTCAACTCTGGAATTTCTTTTTCCGATGAATTATTCGCTGATTCTAGAGAAAAGAAATATTCTATCATAAGTATATATATACTGTATATATATATATATATATATATATATATATTTGTTTTTCAGACTTTTAAACCTTTCAAATGGATGCCAAACTGAGCGATAACAAATTATATATACTTTATATATTCATTACAAGATAAGCGTTCTTTTTATAAGGCATCCAAATACTAATTACTGCTTGCTCTCCAGACCTAGTCTAAAGGATTTCCTGGAAACAACCGTAAAATTTTTTAAAACGAAGACAATTAAGCCAGTAATTATTTAAGTTTGATATTACTAATCATGCTAAAACTAGCTTACACATTCAGTAATTGATCTTATCAGTTATCGTATCATTTAATAGCGAGTAATCCATTCCTTTTTATGAGGTTGCTTTTCGTATTCATCATCAGTGCCATAAAAGTTAATAAAACATGCAAAAAGATAAGCAGCGCATTCACAATTTATCACAAGACATAAGCTTATTGTTTATATCATTACTTGAGTTTTGAGTTTCCTCAATATTTTCATCTAATTTATCAAGAAAATTATCTTCTTCTATGGAACTATTATATTCCGATGGTAAATCTTTATTAATTTCATTCTCTGGCTTCTCTTCAGTATAAACTTTTGTGTCTAAAAACATTTTCCCTTCATATTCTACCTCTTTTTCTTGTATGTCTTTTTCTTCTTCATCTCTTTCTTTTACCAATACTAATTCTGTATTTGTATCGCCGAATTTTTTCTCAGTTATTTCTTGTTCTTTTTCAGCTTCTTCATCCTTTTCTAATTCTTCACTTATTACATTAGACCTTTCGTCTATGTCGTCAAAATTCGATTGTTGAAGTTCTTCTTCTACAGTCATTTGATGTTGAGTCTCTAGGTTAGTGTCCTCTTGACAAGTTTCTATTGTATTCGGTTGTTTTAGTGCATATTCCTCTTCTATATTATCTTTGTTCGCGTGGTCTTCTCTTTGCGGATCAATATTATGATCTTCTTGTGAAAGATGTGAAATTTTTTCATCTCTTTCTTCCTCCTCCTCAACTATTTCATCTTTTCTTAAAGCTTCTTTGCTTTTATCTATACCTTTTTCCGAAAGTTCTTCTGCAAGTCGAATTTTATTGTTATCAGAGTAATCTTCGAAAGTAGTTATTAGCGGTGATTGCAAAGACTCTTTTGGCTCTTCGAGATTAGGGATATTTTCCTTTTCGTTTTCACGATCGGATTTTGAAAGATCCTCTGTAACACTTGGGGATTCTGTAAGTTTATAAGAGTCACCTAATTGGTCTTTCTCACAAGTATTTTCATCTAATTTCTCTTCATTGTTGTGATCGTTGTCTAAAACATCTGTAATTAATTCCCTTGACTCGTTAAAATTGTTATCTTTAGTTTCTGTTCCCGAAAGTTGGTGATTGTTTTCATAATGTGGTGCTAATTCTTCAGAAGTTATACTATTATTACTGGACTCTTTTAATTCGGATAGCAAATCTCCCGGATCTGATAGGGGTAATTCATTTTTATTCATATTAGAGTTGTCTATTTCATTCGACGACTGTAATTGATCGTCTAATTCGATTGAAATATTTCTCTTGTCTTCTGCACTATTACGAGAATTTTCAATTTCCCTTTCGTCTTTATTGCTTAACACCTCATAGCTATCAATTGATCCGTTCTTTGATTTGATATTATTACAGAAATTATCCTCTGTTTCGATGTTTTCTTTTTCCAGTTGTACTATAGCATTCTCTGAATGATCATTAGAACTCTCTTGTTCTTGATCAATAAGTGGTTTTTCATAATTCTCAATCGATAGCTCCCTTGAAATTGGGATTTTACAATGTGTCTCATTACTGCTAATATCCAAATTGTTATCCTCTTCGGAATCGTTAGAATCAATCTCTTCATTGCTATCATAATACGGATTATTTATTGAATTGGCCTTTTCGGTATCATCTTCATAAGAAAATGTGGTTCTAGTTAGAGTTCGGTCTTTGTCGTTTTTATTCTCATGTATCTTTTCATCAACATCTTTAATTTCTGATTCACTTGGCTGCGAATAATCATGAGATGTCGACAAATCATCTTCTTGATTAACTGAACAGTTTTCCCCGTTACTTTCTTCCGTATTCTCTTGCATCTTAAGTGTACTTTTATTGAATTTTACAGATTCAAGGATTCCGCCCTTGTTTTCTAAAATTTCATTATCAAGTCCAAACTCTTCATTGTCAAAAGAATTATTTGGCTCGGTCATTTCTGTTATTACAGACAATGTTCTACGATAATCAATACTATCCGAATCATCGCTATCATCTTCAAACTCTCCATAATAATCTTTAATAAGTTTTACAAGTAAAAAAAAAAAGAAGAAATTTCTAGAGTAAGAATCGCCTAAACTCTTTTACGTAAGTAGTGTCACATTATCTAGCGACTGTCTCTATATTTAGTATTATTATCTACTATATCGTAAACGATAATTCTTTATATTAATATCTTGCATAACTATAACAACATAAATAATTAAGAAAATATAAAAATACCTGAATACTCTTGATGCTCCATGAGTTTCTAAGGAAGAGGACAAAAAAGATGAGTAAGGAAAATTAAAATTTAAAAACATACTATATTACTATACATAAAATAATTTTTTCAATTCTATTGCTAAATTATAAGCTTGAATCATATTTTTAATTTAATACTGTTTAATAATAGTATATAGTGTAGTTAATAATTTCATGTACATACTTTACTATAGTCACTCTCCTCGAATGCTGTGTTACGGTTAGAAAGATACTTTTTAAATGAAGAAATACAAACTATAATTAAGGATTTTACCTTTCTGAAAATTTCCGCTCTTTGTCCTTACATACTTCCTGATGATATCTTCTCTTCCAATTACCGATAGGGCTTTTTCTATTTGTTTTCCTTCAGACAAGCCAATTTTTTCGGCTATCGTCTGAATACATATCATAGCTGATTCAACTTCACTATCATAAGTTTTTATTTCGTCAATATCCTCCTTAGTTAAATCGAAGTGAGTAGCCAATTTCTGCCAATCAGAGCCAAGTTTATCCGCTATCTTTGTTAATTTCAAATCGTTTATGTCAATTTTCTCCTCTTCAAATGGGTCTTTTTCAGCAAGAGTGTTATCTTGAAGAAAAACACGATAATTTTTTTCATATCCTAACACTTTTATATAGAATGTAAATACGCTTTCTATGAATATATATGAAATATATATACTGTATGTATCTATACATATATACATATATAAAAAACTACAAATATATTGATATTTACAGTATATTTATAAATGTTTAGTTTCTTTTTATACTAAAACAAAAAGTTGAAATATAAAGAGATCTAATTAGCTTACCGGGAAGCTGTAAATTATTGATTATTGCTTCTTTTGGCTCGGAAAATTGCTCTTTAAAGTTTTCTTCAAGAGTTTCATGTTCTATTTAAATAGTGTGATAAAATAGGATAATGTATAATATAAAATTGGTATACTATACTATATCTATTCAATATACATTGTAATTATATACAATATATTTTAATATAAAGTCTATATTAAGGTATAAAGGTTAAAAAAATGCTACATTATATATGAATTTTGCTATTTAATAATCATAAAAAAAATTAACCTTGATCAAATTCAGGATATAATAAGCTTTTAATTTCACAATCACCTAACTGATCAGCAATGAAATTTAAGGCGTCTACGTATGACATTTTAGGCAAATTGTCGTCATTTTCAATTTTAATAGGAGGTTTAACATTATTAATTTCAGGAAAGAACTCCTCTTCTTCAAGTTCATCTAAAAAGCCAAGACTCAAAGAAATTTTCATAAACCCTTATAAGCTCGTTGAATTAACAAAACGTGTTTTTCACAAAAGCTTAATCATACTATTGAAAAATTGGTTATTTAAAAAAAACCTTACCTGCTATTGGCTTTTCATCATTCTCATTATTTTCTTTTAGGGAAGAACTCTTTTTTATGACGTTAAAGAAAAAAAAAAGAATTTCATATAGTAGAGATATTTTTAACAAAGAAAAATAAAATAATATTTCTTTTCTTGTCTATTCACCGTATTATTTTGATTATTATCACCATTTCTGTTGTTAAGATCATTTATTGGTGTATCTTTTTCTTTTTCCTCTTTTTCTTCTTCTTCTTCTTCCTTTTCATTTTCCTCATAGGCCAAACTTTTTAACTCTAAATCGGTGATATAATCGATAATAACGTCTTCTCGACCGATTTTCTTAAGCGCCTTTACAAACTCTTTGCCTGTAATAAGAAACGATAATCGTTAATATTTTTCCATTTTCCTCTATACTGTTTATTATCTAAATAAGAATTGTACTATACCTGTTACAGGTGGATCGACGCTCAATAAATAGTGAAAGTAAACCAGTGCCTTTTCTCCGTGATAATCGTATGAAGCTTGAATGTTTTTTATTTCTGCATTATCGGAATTTAAACGATAGGCTAACTTTTCCCAATCGTCTCCCAAAGATCCTGCAATATCCGTTAATTTTAAGTCAAGTTCATCGAGATTTAATTTATTTGAAGATTTTATATTTGGTTCTGTAGTTCCGGTTAGTGCCTGTTGAACATCTTCAATTCCTATGTTATTGATAGATTCATCGAGATTATCAATAACATTATTCTCTTCGTCGATTTCCTTTTCAATATTATTATCACTATCAGAATCACTGAATTCATTGGATAATGGAAAATGGATAGGCAGGGTGCATATTATCTCTTTGATAGATGATTTCTTATTAGATTTCTTAACAAGATTGATAAAACCTTCGTCTTTCTTTCGATAATCTCTTATTCGCAAATTAATAGACAATCTATTTTCAACGAAAGGTCTAAATGCCATAGCGATGCCTTCCTTGGATTTAGATACTATTTCAAAGTTCTCACTAACTTCGACACCAATTTCCCAGCCTTCACCCACTTCAATTAATTTCGAAGTGACAATTTTTTCAAAATTCTCTTGCCCTTCTAGGGTCTTATCAAGTTTATCATCACTGATGCAAAATAGACGTAACTGTCCCCTATATTTGCTAAAACGTTTCGAAAAACAAACGAAATTTACTAAATAAGGAATGGAACTTATTCTATTATATAATCGATTAATAAGATCATGATTAAATCCATTATCGATTAATATCCAAAATTTTCCAGGATAAATTGTCTTAAAGTGAGCGCAATTTTTAGAATAAGTTATTTCCGTCGTCCCCGTAATATCTTCCCATTTGACATTCCTTTCTAATAGATGAATATAGAAAATTAAATACGTATAGTTATCAAAATTGAAAGATATTTATATTATATTACCATCAAGACTGCAAAATAATCTTACGGATTCTAGTTGCTTAGAATCTAGCTTCGTTGTACCAAGAGGTAAAGAAATTGTTATTTCTCTATGAAACTTTCGTTTACTGGGTTCAAGGCTGACAATAGGACTAGATATAACTCCAGGTTTCAGGCATTGATCCAGAAGAGCTCTTTTAATAATTTGAGCTTGTATACCTGCTTGAATTGTTTTTGTGACAGCTCCTATTTTAAAAAATATATTAGAACTGGAATTAACTTGGACGTATTACTAAGATAACTATTCCATATGGTACCTTTTGGGAAATTAATTTGGACGTTAGATTCGGCGTGAGCAACTAGAATTCCGCCCTCTTGTCCCAAGAGTTTAGTGCGTTGCCTTAATAATGATACTAAAGCGAAATATTTTGGTAAGCTATTCGTTTTAATTCGGACGACGTTTCTGTTATAAACGCTTTCAGCCTCTCTAAAACCTGTTCCAAATATTATTTCATATTTTAATATAGTGACAAATATTATAGCATAATGTTTTCACCCTTAAATATTTCATCAATATTTTTAGGTCTACGCTCCTCGCTAATGTTTTTATGTTCAATCCAATCAACCCCATTATCGCTTCTTAATACTGCAATTTCCCTTTGCCCATCTTCTAATGAAGCGAAATGAGGAACCTCAATTATTATTTCTCTATAAAGAGGAATTAATTAAGTCTAAGATCAAATTTTACGGAGAAAAAGTATTAAATGAAAATATCTTTTACCCATCGAAATCCAAGGCATTGGGGGATAATTCTAAAATCCTACACGCTAATCCTTCATTTTGAAGAAGGGGAGGTGGCGACGATAGTTGATCTTTTTTCACGAATTTTAAAATAAATTTCGTCGGATTGGAAATGACATTAGGTTGGACAATTATCCTCAGTCCGGAATATCGCTTACAGACCATTATTGCCCCATTAGCATCAGCTATAAAAGATATGAGGAATCTGCAAAGCATTATATTAATATAAAATATGTTTATTAATCTATCAATGGAATGTTAAAATGAGGAAAATAAAATGTATATTATATAGTTACTCCGAAATGGTTCTCTCTGATTCCAAACCGTTTTCAAATATTGCTGCATTCTCCATTGTACAAACGTCAGCTGTTATCTGTTCTTCCTAAAGTAGTTAAAGGTATATTAATAAATATAAATATAGTCTTTTCACCTTAGAACAATTTACTTTTTGTGTAGGTTTATAGAAAAAAAGATAAGCGTGCAAGTGTAGTTTATCAGATAAAGACGATAGTATAATATAGATACCAGTTTATTACTGTTAATAACATACTGCTTAAGTATATGGTAAGAGTATTAAATAAAAAAAACAGCAGCCAGTTAATTACGAGTATTAAAAACTTTGTTAATTAAAAAAAAATGTGTTAAAAAAGCAGCTAATACATTTTTTATGTTGTTTTGCTTTTTTTGTTCTTCTAGTATAAAAAAATATAACAAAGCTAACGAAATTATTTTTTAATACTAAACCGGTGAGTTGTGTAAATCAACGACCGCGTAATTTGACCTTTCTTCTGTAAAAGTTATTATTTTCGATGGATCTAAAGTATAGTCCTGAAAATTTTAATAGAACTTTAATTACAGGTTAATTGAGTAGTTAATTAATTATTATTTAATTTAAATTAAAGTAAAAACTAGTCAAAGAAGACTTTGATGAAGAAAAAAAGCATATAAGTACTGTATAAACTATATATCCCCTCTTTATATATTTATCATTTTCTTACCGTGTAAGTCATGAAGGTTTCCAATTGTTGATTATTTGTTGTAATAAATGTGCTTTCATCTTTTAAAGAGAAAAACAAATATAGATATTTAATGGTTGTAAAAATAATTTTCTGTCATTCAGAATTTATGACGTCATATAAACCTTCCGAATCTATTTCCGAGTGAGTGTCCTCTTCCATTGTATCAGGCATATGAGGAGTGTAAGAAACGTTAGACTCTTTGACCACTACATCCGTTTTATCCTTGAGCCCTTCTGCTATACTAACATATGAACATTTCCTGGCAATTGACAAGGCTGTCTGTCCATCCTATATTTTTAAGAGTATTAAAAGCAAACTTTAATAAAAGTAAATTAATTTGTTAATGGTCGTGTGCGTCCTTTATTTCCCTTTCTAAGAATATTACTGAGTAATATTTTCTAAATGCCTATTTCAAAATATTAGATACTTATTATATACTATGTTTATATGTATAAAACATTTATATTATACATACGTATAGGATAAAATAGGGAGTTGTAATTAAATCAAATATTACCTTGTTAATACGGTTTGCATCAGCCCCTTTTTGCAATAATATGTTTATAGTTAGGGCGTTTCCTTGTTGAGCTGCAAGATGAAGTGGAGAATAATCCAATTCTGTTGACGCTTCAAAATTTGACCCATGCTTTAATAATAGTTTGATCATGCCAATACTTCCATAATAGCACGCAGTATGCAAAGGCGTAAAACCAGCATTAGACTTTTCTTCTAATTTTGATCCTGAATTAATCAGTAATTCGCCAGATTCAGTTTCATCTTTTTCGGCACAAAGATGAAGAGGCGTTAGACCATTTCTACTTCTACAATTTGGGTCAGCACCACTTTTAATTAATAGTTTCGTTACATTGGTATTGCCTTCTACGGATGAATAATGTAAAGGCCTGTATTCAGTTCTTGTAGAAGCATTAGGATCAGCTTTTCTCTTTAAAAGTTGATTAACTATGGAAGGATAACCCCTTTTGGCTGCAATGTGCAACGCCTGCATACCATTTTTCGCTTTCAGATTAACTTTTGCATCTTTATCCAGTAATAATTGGATAGCTTTTGCTTTTCTATAGTGGCATGCGACGTGAAGGGGTGTAAGCTCGTTTACGCCTCTAGAATTTGGGTCTGCCCCTTTCTTCAAGAGCAATTCTATAACTCTTGGATTGCCCATTTTGGCAGCTAAGTGCAAGGCCGTCAGTTTTGTGCTAGTCTTTAACTCAGGGTTGCTATGATATTTCAATAAGATTTTTATCGTATCTACTTGGCCGCGTCTTATAGCAACGTGCAATGGTGTAAATTCATTATCCATTTTTTCGTCAACTGCTGCTCCACCCTTTAAAAGACACTCTGCGGCCTTCCAATCCCCTAAATCAGCAGACAAGTGAAGAGGCGTTTCGCCCTGGTTTGCCTTTGCATTAATTTGGGAACCCAATTTAATAAGTAGTTTAACGGTCTGCAATTTACCTCCAATAACTGCTGTATGTAAAGGAGTCTGACCAATTCTGGTTTTAGCATTAGGATCAGCGCCTTTGTCTATTAATTTCTTAACTATTTCGTTAAAACCATACCAAGCCGCCACATGAAGGGCAGTTAGTCCACTCTGTAAAATATACATGTTTAAATATATATATATATATATCATAATAAGAGAGAAGAGAGGTGAGAGAAAAGTAGAGATTATTTTTAGACAAGTTTGTCGAGATTGAGACAATTAATTGAAAATAAAAGGTAAAGAGTTTTTTTGTAAACAAAGTTCGTTTCTAACCTCAGCCGTTGCGTTAATTACCGCACCATAACTCAGAAGAAGTTCTATAATGCGAATTCTTTCCTTTTTACAGGCAATATGTAGCGGTGTAAAGCCATTCTATAAAAATAAAACAAAAATTATATACAAGCTCCATACCATTATTATTATTATTATCGCAATTATTCAAATTTTTGTCTATTTCAATTATTATCACTATTACCCGAGCTCTTGGATCTACTTTACAATTGCAGCTAAGGAGAAGCTTTGCTGTTTCATAACTTCCGCAATGCGACGCAACATGAAGTGCGGTTAAATAATCCTGTTAAAAAAAACCCCATGATTAGATAAATAAATGAAACAGTAATCGGATAAAAGAATAAAAGTATATTAAAATAACTGATTTAAAACAAAAATAAACTTATTAGATGGATTTAAATCAAGAAGAAAGTCGTAAGATAAAACTTTTTAAGTTAGTTTTTCTTCTTTCTGTCTTATATTAACAATTTATTGATTTCTAAAGAGAAAGAAATAAATTTTTGAGCTTTGTTCTCTTTCCCTTGCCTCTTATTTTTATTATTTTCTATACAAGTTATGTAGGTTTATAAAGTTAATAGTCTTACAATTGCAACATCTTCAACTGGAGCTTTGTGGTAAATCAATAACCTTGCACAATCATAGTGATTTCCTTGAGATGCCATATGAAGTGGAGTCAATTTACTCTTGGATTTTGCATTGACCTCTGCCCCTCTTTCTAACAGCTTTTCAACAATCGCAACTTGTCCTGATCTTGAAGCGCAATGAAGAGGTGTGAGCTTATCCTTAAAAGGAAGTTATAAGTTCAAGGTATTGAAAATATTCTTTTTTAGCTTAAAAATGAAATACATACCGTTGTGATAACTTCCATATTAGCTCCATTATCTAACAATATGATAACTGATTCTAGTTTGTTACATTTGCTTGCAACATGTAGTGGAGTAACTTTGTTCTAAATAAATCAAGTGTTAAGTAGCTAACGATGTTTGTTTATACGGCAAAAGTTGTTCAAGTATTACCTTTGCTTCAATATTAATATTTGCACCATTCTCAATAAGATATTCTAGGATATCCGTACTATTATATTGGCAAGCAATGTGTAAGGCTGTAAAGCCATTCTAGTCGAAGGAAAAAAATCACATAAATTGTGATAAATGACAAATGAAAGTCAATAAATTTAAAGCTTAAAATCGTACTGGTGTTTTATCGTTAATCGAACATCGCCCGGTTTCAATAAGAAGAGCGGCCGCTGGCCTATCGTTCTTCCTTGATGCTGAATGCAATGCCGTATGTCGGGATTTCTTGCTCATCTTGTCCCAAGTTAAAAGAGTGTTAGTTGCTTCAATATTCTTTTGTGTTACAGCTACATCTAAAGGTCTAAATCCATTCTGGAAGATAAAATTATCTCCTTGAATTAATATGCTATAGCTTTATCGCAATTATCTTTAATTGTTTGTCAGAGTAGGGATAAAGAGGTTATCGGACGTGAACAATATGTATATTGATTTTCTCGTTACCTTAGTTGTTAGTTGAGGTTTAGCTCCTTTCGAAAGCAGGTATGTGATCATGTCCGGAAAATTCTCCTCCGCGGCTAAATAGATTGGAGTAAATCCCTCCTTGAATTGTAAAAAGTACACGATACAAGGTATTTAGCAAGAGGTTAAAGAAATTCATAATATAAATACATTTGATTGGCAGTTAATTTTCGCGTTGTGTTCAACAAGAACCTTAATTACTTCCAATTTGCCATAGCGGCTAGCTATATGAAGTGGAGTAAATCCATCCTAAAAGAAGTCATAGTTTTACACAAAAATAATAATGAAAGGCTAAAGGGTAATAGCATTTCTATATTATTCCCTACTAGTGTTTGCAGTTCTATATCCGCCTTGTTCCTCAATAGTTCCTCAACAATATCCTTGTAGCCCTTGTGACAAGCAACATGCAGGGCGGTGTGTCCTATCTATAGAAAAAAAAGTATGAGAAATCCTAGTAAACATGATAGATCTTGTATCTATACTTAAAAACAATTGATGAGAGTTTTTTTCAGAGAACTTACAATATTTTTTGCATTTGGATCTACTCCACCTTCCTTTAAAATCTTTGAAACTTTTTTGAGATTTCCTTCCCTGCAGGCAAGAAATAATTGTTCTCCATCTTCTTCCTCCATGGAATCTATCTTGGAGGCCATTATCTGTTTTTATATTTGAGGTTCAGATTTTTTGTTTTTAGATGTAGAGAAATTGTCTTTTTGTTCATACAACAATGGAAATGGTGTACACAACAGGCCCAGTATTCGGTACCTAAAGATTGGCCAATAATGGTATATTAACTGCCTAATTGCCTGCTCCATATATTAATACTGTGGAACAGTTTGTGTACACTCTGTCTCCTGATATAGAGCTATAATTTGGCCTAAGATAGTAAGGAAAAATGTAATTTTATACTTACGCTATTAAAGTCCCGGGATAAATTTGTTGAAAATGAATTTCCTTTTCCCATTTCTTCATCACGCCTAAGAATAAAGTATAACGAGAGAAGATCCAAGCTAATAGAACTCAATGTATTCGAGTTTAAAGAAGTTTTCTTAAGCATCGCTTAAGACGGCAAAGAAAAGCGACAACCGCAAATCAGACTCCTGTCTGCAATTGAATTACACTGCAAAAAGATTGAAAAAGAGGGGGTGTGGTAGTTTGTAGAGGGGTGGAAGGATTAGGATGCTATATATTTTCTCTTTTCCGTTTAACAGTTGGTCGATTCTTTTCGATTTCTCAAGGAAGGATATGATAAGCTAAACTTCTGAGAATTCTCTTTAATAAAGGAAATCATCATTATCTATCCTATTTCACTGACCGCTGCATCTTTCTAAACAATTATTTTATTTATTGGATTGTAATACAGCAAAGGGAATGGGCTTTATTCAAAATTGGAGTGTATTTCAAGAGAAAGAGATTATTAAATCGGTCCATTTCCTTCTTTCGATTTAACGTAAGCATTTAAGTGACATAAACCATTTTGTTAATAAATAATGCAACATACTCCATATTAGTTAAAAAAAAAATTCCCCGCTCAAACTACGTGTCCCGATTTAATAATGAAACTTTATGTAAAAAGTTGCATTTTGTAATCCTATACTGTTTAAAAATCGTGCCTAAGATATTTAAAGAACAGTAATGGAACTAATTGTCTTAATTTTTATGAATATATTTATATATTTCAGAACTTAAAATATACTTATTAACGCTAAACCTTTATAAATATGTATACAGTTCTTTATAACAAATACACTATAAGTTTAGAAAACAGCTTTAATCATATGTTTAATATAAATCTATCTATTTACGTACAGATCAATATTTCTTTCTTTAGTTGTTTTTTACAAACCAAAGGGATTACTGATAATTTTTTCATCTTTGAAACGATTGAACAAGTGGAGGGGAGGATATATATATACAAACATTTGTATATATAAATGCTGTATATTATTAGCTTTATAACAAAAGAAAACTAACAATGACAAATTAATGGAGAAATTATTAAGAAAAAGATACATAGAAATGAGGAAAAGAAAAAAGTGAAGGAGGATAAAATAGAAAAGAAAGAAGAAAAATGAATAATGAAAAACGTAGATCATTTTTCAAAGACATTATACGAGCGATAGCAAATATATGCACACTTCTCCAATGCTTTAAGAGTTTACATTGTACTTTTGTTCTTCGATTTCTTCACCAGTAGCACTGAACTAGTTAATTTCCTCTTAATCTATTTTTATATCTGAAGCGGATGTTTAAAGTGCAAAAAATTTCGAGAGAAACACCATTTAGTTTAAAAGGAACAATATTCAATTTCTCTCTTTTAACTTATTTAAAAAAGTAATTTCTACTTTAATAAGAATCGTAAATAGATCTTAAGTCGTTTTAACTATTCATAGAAAATGGATGCTTGTAAATGGATTTAATAAGATTCATATGAATTTAATATTACTTCTGAAATAATAAATTTTCTATTCAATAATTTCAAAAGAATCTGAAAGACTTTTATTTGAATTAAATGAATAAATCTATTCCATCTGCAGACCACATAAGGAGAACTTTATAAAAGGAGGAAAACTCATTGTAATAATGTACAACTTGGCGCCTACAACTCCATCTAGAGATCATTTTTTTTTAGATAGAATCAGTCAAAGAGAATACAAGCGTGATGTCTGGCGATGAAAGTCACACGGCTGGTAAAGTTTTTTTCAATCTTTTTTGTTATGTTTTATTCGTTTAAGTTTACTTTCTATTTTGTAATTATTGACGTTTTATTTAAAAAAATGTTTGTCAGAAATGTTTTTACCTATATCAAATTCAAATGTGGATACAAAATATCTAGGAAAATAGAGATATAGAGAAATAAAGAGAGAGAGAGAGAGAGGTGGGGGAGGGGAGGAGGTCGAGACAAATAGAAATAGATTGTTTTCACGAAATTTTATATAGTTTCCTTAACAGATCAAAACAAAGAGTCTAAATAGAATTTTTCATCATGATATCTATATTGTGTATGTTTATATATGCAAATAATTCTATTTGTCTAGAAATAGCAACATTCAGCTATGACATAAATATATATGTATATATAAATTTATATATACAGTATATACATATGTATATAGATAGATATACAGCTATAATTGTATTTAAGAACAGTACTTGCAGGTATATATAAATAGACGTGATTTCTATCAGTTGGTGCTTGCGCAAAATGTATTAAATTTTCAATATCTAGACAGCCATGTAAAGAGAAGATCGAAATATATTATAATTGCACCGTTACTGCTGTCTGCCAATTCCAATATCACCATGATAATTAAGTAGCTAAACAATGGTACAGGAAATATGTAACAGTTATTCTACTTCTTGTTTTAATATATCTGTAAAAATAAGAAAGATTACAACATTTTCGTAGAAATGATGTATACAAGAAGAGAAAGCATACTAAAAGTATTGTTTAAAGTCAATTATATCACAGAACACGACGATGACGCTGTACCAGATAAATCCTATAATTATACCGAGCATATTCATATAATTTCTTCTAAATGCAATCTCTAATATTTCGGGTTTTATTTAAAATAATAATTAGTATATATAATACAATACATAAACTTTTATAAACATGCTATATGCTATATTTATCAGAATATTTATTCATACAATATAAGAAGCTAAGCCTAATCTTACACTAGTAACAATTTTCTGTATATACTGTATACATACAGCATATGCTGTATATATAGTCATTCTCGGTTTTTATGAAAGACTCAGGGCTGCTAAAAAGACTTATCTTTTTTAGTTTTGTAGAAGTAGAAAAAGAAGATAATCTTCTTTCAAGGTTTAATGATTTGACCTTTTTAAAATATGATTCAATCTTCCGATGGAACAATTTATTCTTCCCCAACCTATTTAGAACTATTTTCTATTATTAGATGAACGAAATAATTAGCAGTAAACTTCATAGACTTTCTTTTCCATACTTATAAAAATTATCTATAGAGCTTGTCACTAAAAGTTCTTTGTTTTTGCTATTCTATTTATATCACAAGATATAGGTCTCTTTTATATTAAAATAACGTATCTCTTCGAACCAAAAGATATCTTATTTACCTACAGTTGTTATGTTATCTTTACTGTAACATACTGTTTTTCCATTTTTATTAAAATTGCTATTAAAAGGAAAAATTTGAGACAAAGATAATCTCAATATTATAATTGAATAGGAATTATTCCGTAATAAACTTGTGTCTTTTACAAATAATAAGTAAAAGAGTGATAGAGCTATAGGAATAGAAAAGAAAAATGGAATTCTATTAATAATAACTATTATTCCTCTTATTCCTATTAAATATAGATACTAAGAAAAGGGAACGTAAAAAGATGGAGTCTATAGAAGTTGACGATGAAATGCAAGAGGTCGATATGAACGAACATTCCGTATGGGCAGATGGTATTCCTGAATATTTAGGCAAGTGGAAAAAATAGGCTCTAATTATTTATAAAATACAATTAATTAGCTTAATCTCCTTAAGTCTTTTAGCTATCATAATGTTTTTTAATTAAGTCTATTTTTAGCTCAAAAATCTGGTCCAGAATACGTTCGACCAAATATAAGTGACAGCATTGACGAGGATGTGGGTAAGTTTATAATATCTATAACTGGTCAATGTTAGAAAGATTTTATTAGTATTTTCTTATACAAATATAATATCAATTCTATATTATACTGTATATTAAGAAAAACAAAGAAGTAAATTTAGTTTTATGAAAATTAATCCTTTTATATCTAATTCATAACGTCTTCCCATTTTTCTTGGTTGTATCTTAATTGATGCAAATATTTTTCTATAATTGATTGTTTTCTACTTTCAAGTTCTATCATTTTATAGTAAAAAGGTGATAAATTTCTTATTTTTTTTCCTTCATATTTTTCATTTAATAATAAATAGAACCTGTTTTGGAAGAAGCCGATGAAAAAGATCAAGCATTTCAAACAACTGTGAAAAAAGAGGAAGGAAGCGCATCAGGAAACGAGAAAATAGCTTGCGGGGAGACCGAAAACAAACAAGATAAATAAACTGAGGCCAGCAAATTTCAAAGAAGATAATTGAAAGTTGTATAGTCAAAAAGCCTGCACAGGTTATAATCTATAAAGTTTATGTGAAATATCTATAATATTATACTATGTGTTATAAGTTTATAAGAAGATTCTTAAATTAGTTCGTGTAATATAGTACCGGTTTCACATAATTTCCTGGAAAAGTACCAAATTTCCTTGATCTTAAACTCTCCCCGATCATCCATCCGTCATGACACTTTTCGTAGACAAAAACTATATCACCTTCGTACATTTCCAATTCGTCTGCATTTTGCGGTATGTAACGATACAAGGACTTATATCTACAACAAAGTATAGGTTAAGTGTTACTTAATCGATTTTCGTCTTCCACTTACAATTTGAAATCTGAAGCGTCGTTTGGTCGCGAGGATGAATAAGATTCGTTAGTTGCCGGTAATGTGCTTCTTCCGGTTGCTTCTCGGTAAAACTCGCCTTGAGTGTCTACTAAATGCATAGGAGGTGTCTGAGAACCGACCGAAGATCGAGAAAGCGGTGGATAACGAGGTTCAACAATCACTTGAACATAAGAACAAGGAAAAATTCCCACTCTATTGCCATTCCTGCCCTCCCACCAATTGATATCAACTCTCCTACATAATTTTACAACTTCTCCTTTTTTGAGACCAAGTTCAACACTACTTTGTGGTTGAAAATTAAATTTTGCAACTCCTTCTCCCTCAATTGGAAAGGGTTCCTGTGGCCTCTCAAGTTTTTCTACATAATTCGATGGAAAAACTCCCACTCGACCGTCTAATTCTCCCTCCGTCCAATTGTGATTCATATCTTGTATTATTCTAATAACGTCCCCACGCTTAAAACTTAATTCCATATGATTCTGTCCCAAAAAATTGTATTTGGCTTTTGCATGCGTAACAGACGGTTTGACGTTTTGCCTGTCAAAAAGGAAACATGCCTAAAATTATTCCATTCTTTCTAAACCTCTAATTTCTTACCAGTCATGCTTTGATGAATAAATAGAAGATGTAGTCTGGTTTTTCGCCTGTATTTAAGAAAATACGTATAAGGATATACTGAAAATGACTGAGGTAATAGAAATCGAGTAAAAAAGTACGTTTAATTAATGGATTGTGTGAAAAATTTTTACATTCTAAAATAAAAAAGTCAAGAAAGAAAGGAATACTCAGAGGTTTAAAAGCACTAACCAAATGTGAGTCTATAGTATCATAATGAGTCCCTCTTTCTGCTACTCTCACCGTTTCCCGAATGTTGTGATCTAAAAAGAAGATAAAAAAAACCAAGTTTTATCAAAGCTTAAATAAACAAGTTCAAAAAAAATATAAAAAGAGATATTTCATCACAAAAATACTAATAATAGATAGATACAGAGAGAGTGAGAGAGAGAGAGAGAGAAAGAGAGATTGTTAGATAGATACAAAGATAGATAGAAACTATGAAATAAAAAATTACGATTCTACAGTAAAATTATTGAAAAGAAAACGAAGAGAAACAAATGTGTAAAACAACGGATTCTTTATGCTAAAGTATCCATGTTATACAAGATACTATAACAAAAAAAAGACCAAATCGCTTTGTATAGTATGAAAATAAGTATATCTATGCAAGAGAACAAAAAGTCTCTAAAAGCATATTCATAATAAGAAACCTGAGTTGTAAGTAGATTTTGTGGCTTGTTTGAAAGGAACGCTGTTATTTCCACTTTTAGCAGGAAACGTTTTGTACTGAAAATTCTCTTTAACAACACGAATGGTTTGTTGAGGCTGTTGAACCTTTGGGGTCAGTCCAGCTGTCCTAATTCCACCTTTCCACTCTTTGCCAATCATATCAACTTGCTGCATCATTTCGTTCTCAGTTGGAACTCGGCGAATTTCTGAATGTACAAAACCACACCTGAAATCTTTTGATCGGTCTCGTGGACTGACTGTCCGAGACCTATTGGCAAGGCTGGTATTTTGTGTCTTTAAATTCTTTATGGAAGCGTAGGTCTTAGACTGATTATCGGGTGACCTTTCTGAAGAATACAAGTCTGGTGTTGATTGAGTAAATGATTTGTAAGGCATAGGGGTAATATGTTTCATCTGCGACCTGTCTGGCGAACCCTCTCGTGGCTTTAGGGCAGGGTTCATGGATGAATCTTCTTCCTTTGTTCTTGGAGATAGTCTATTAGAAACAGTTCCAGGTACACTTCTTTGTTCACTATATCTGTTTCTGATTAAGATCTTGTCGTCGTTTGTTGGAATATAAGATTTTCCAATTTTATCTTCTGCGTGTATAGGTTCAGAAGTTATCCCTGAAACAGGGGAATATCTATATCTGCCATTATAATGTTTGGACGACTGGTCTGAATTTGGATTCAATTTCGCAGAATGAGGACTTTTTTTAGATCTTTGTTCCGGTTTGTTCCCTTTAAACTCTTCACCTGACTGATTATCACTTTCAACTTCGCTATACGATATATTTGATTTATATACATCCTCAAAATCCAATTCAGTATCAATATATTTGACTTTGGGTGGTTCCGTTGATGGTATTGGCGGTTCTTCAGAATTATTTTTACCATTCGGCTTTTTCTTTATTAATTTATCGAACTCTTCTTCTACCTCTAACTGAGCTTCCTTAAGCTTACCTAATGCTGCAGCTATCGCTCCTGTTTGAGGTTTGGAGTCTTTTCTAGATGATCTAGGCCTATAATTGTTCGATTTTTCTCTCAAATTTGCATTAGCGTTTATCCCACTGGAAGACTTATCAATGAAATCATGTTTAGTCTTTCTATTCTCAAATTGATCATACGTTTCAGATGGCTTGATAAACGAACTCTTGACGTTTCGTTCATCTGATCCCTTAATTCCGATATTATCAACTACTTTCGATTGAACATTTATTGGCGACGACGTTCGCCAAGGAATATCTTCGGTGCGGTCAGCCTTTCTATTTTTCGGGTGATATCTACCGTACTTTCGCAATTGTTCCACTGTTAACGGGTTAGAATCGGCATTTATCTCAAGAGTTGGTACTCTAGTTCTCTTTACTTCTGGTGGAGCTGGGGATAAGCTATACCCTTCGGTTTGTGGTGGACCTGATACTAACATTTCTTCAGAGTGTATCCACTCTCTCGAAAGTTGACCAATTTTTTTGTGCCTATCCTTAACTTTTTGCACATAAGCATCATATCCTGTTTGCTTCTCATTAATATTAGTCCCGTGTAAGGCCAATTTATCAAAGTTTCGCCCCTTTAAAAACGATTCTATGCCAATAGAAGGATACTTAACGATTTCATTCATTGTGAATTTTCCATTTTCGTATATGTTCTTCAAGTTTTCCACACGACCTGTTGGACTTGACAAGGAAAAACCGTTAAGAGCCTTCTTATCAAGAAGATTGTGTCCTTCTTTTAAATTTTTCTTAAGTGCCTCTAATTCATTGCGATATTCGAGCTTCTTAAGAGAAACGCTTTCGGGAGTTTCGTCATATTCATCAATCTTTTCCAGGAAATCGTCGCTCTTCTCCAAAAGTAGTTGTTCCATAGACGCTGCCTTTTCCATTAATTGGTAGCGCCGCCTTATTGACTCGTATTCCGGAGAAACGTGTGTAGATTGTAATATTTCCTGAGCATAACTGATGTACGTAGCCGAATCGAATGATTTAGAGACATCACTAGCACTTGGCCATCCGTACGTCTCATACATCTTTTTCTTATTAGTTGTCAGAGAAGGCGTCGAAATGGCTTGTTGCTTAGCTAAAGAATCTGGTTGCCATTTACTTTCGCCATTTTCATCGCTTATTCTGAGTTCAGGTAAGGATTTCGTAAAATCTGATCGAATAAATTTTAAATCATTTTCATAATTCTTTGTATTTAATCTATCTTGAGAGTGATAGATAGTTTCCAAAGTTGTACCATTAGAATAATGATACATTTTATTCAACTCGTTTTCTTCGTCTTCTTCTTCATTAAACGTGCCTTTATCGCTTACAGAGCCAACAGCCATTGTACTATCAGTTTCATCTAAATCCATTATATAACTCTTCTTCTTAGTATTTAAATAGTATATAAATATACACTCATAAAAACATATATATATATACAATCCATCTATAGAAAAGAGTTATATTCACATATATGATTTATATAGATACATATATATGTATATATATATATATTTAATACATTAAAATAAATAAATATATATATATAGATATATATGTATTGCCTATATGAATTCAGAAATGAATTTCTCCAATAAATCTAAAATGAAATTATCTATGCCATCTTCACCATTTCATTAAAAAGTTGGAGAAATCTTTAAGAGCAGCTTGATTTATGGTTTGTGAAGGTAGACGGAATTCCTTTTTATACTTCCCTCCTAAATAATTAACACATTTAAAAAGTTCAATTAGAGCAAGTGAAAAACCTTGTATATAAATAATTATAGTTTATTATTTATCGACTATTAGATTACCTCAATAATAAAAATATGGATAAAAATTAAAGAAAATAGAAAAATATAATATGAAAACTTTTAAAAAGAATTAAACTAAAAATAAAAATTAATAAGAACCTTTTAAAATATCGTTAAATTGAAACAAAACTACAAAAAAATCAAAAAGAACTTTCTATATTTTTGAACTGAACAAAATTTTATAAAAGTATCGATTTAACTTGTGTTTCAGTAGAGGAAAGAATTCACCTTTGATTTTTATCGGTAAAACGTCAATGACAAAAAAAGAGAACGTAGTATTAAAAAAAATGGACAATAGTCGTCGTACGAGTAAAATTCCCTTATGTATTTTCAAATAATTATATACATCAACTTAGTATAAACAAGTCTATTTATAGACTTGTCTAAAAGATGTTCAAAATACAAAAGCTCTCTTAGTCACGTACAAAATATACACACATTTATACATAAATTCAATGCTGACTGTTTGATCTCTAAGAGAAAACGATGTACAAAAGTGGCGCTACAATTGTACTATGATTTTATTTGAAGCTCCTCCTTTTGAATGGTAAAAAATGTAAATATTATGACTACTCGCCTAAAAATGTTAGAAATTTATGAAGAAAATATTAAGATATTTATTACCTCTCAAAAGAATCAATGGATTCAAACGTGAACGTAAAAATTTCGATTGTATAGAGTTGTAAAAATATCGCCTGGAAAACACACCTGGCGTCGCCGTACACCTGGTGGAGCATGCGCACACTTCCTTTTTTTTCACTCGATCTGTATACATGGGTGTACGTATTGATTCTAAGAAACGCCCTGACATCTATCGCCTAAACTTGGAACCTTCTTATATTCTTTTACGAATTTCTTTAAATTAAATCATCATTGAACAGTTCTTTTGCCTAATAAATATCAAGTTTATACACTTTGTTTACTAAAATAAATTTTAATACCATGATAGAGTGTTTGTTAATACTTTTATACATTTAAATAAATAAGAATTAATCCGCTTATTAAATTTTTTATAATTCCCTTTTCCCTATCATACTATCTTTATATTGTAAATAGGATTAACATTCTAGAGGAGGATATATAATTTATATCAAATATATTTACCATTACCAATCATTTGATACGTTATTACAGTATAATTAGTATATGATGTCCTTGAAAAGATCAACAAACTACATATTTTAAACACAAAAATAGATTCTCTCAATGAGCATATTTACGAATAAAACAAATATTATTAAACAGTTGAAAAGACCGGTGCTTTAATAGCTTCATCCTTACCATCGGCAAGTTCATATACAGAAAGAATTGACTCTTCTGCAAACAATTCTTTTAGACTTCTTCTTTCTATTTCGTTCATTTCACAATCCTCAATATCGGATATTGGATCATTATCAATTGACAAATCAATTTGTGTATCTTCGCTGCGAAAACTTTCACTTTTTTCCCGAAGCCTTATATTTGCTGTATGATCTGTTTGTACCAAAATTGTATCACAGGGAGAAATTATGTCCTCTCCATTACACATAGGTATGGTTAAAACTTCGTTTGTGTCCACTATAGAAATAGTATTACAAGTAGGGATTATTTCTATCTTATTAGAATTTTCATCGCTGATGGAACATTGAGTCCATTCGTCCGAAATGTTGTTTTTCTCTTTGATTTTTTCCACTTTTAATAGTATAAGTGATATAAGGAGAGTGCAGCACAATATAGATAGCAAACATATAATAATAATATAAATGAGTTTATTCGATTCTTCCTGCATGGAATACAATAGTATAACAAAGAAATACTATGATAAACTCCCTAAAGACACTTACATTTCGTATTTCGTTAATAATGGTGCATGTTCTATTAATATCAGGACTCTCAGTTGAAAATAACGTAGAAATATCAGTTACACCCTTTTCGGTGGTGAAAGCATCGTCATTTGGCAACGTGGAGGATACTCGCAAAGTTTCATTTGTCGAGAGCAAAAATATCGTTCTAAAATTCGATCTACGAGACGTTTAATTTGGTAAAAAATACAATGAATATAACTAAATGCATGACAATTTATAAAATAAACCTTCTCTCATTCAAATTCTTACTCTGATCAATGACTTTAACATTTAGAGATATTGTCAGGTTTTCCGTCAAATTGTAGACATGTCTTGGAAATATATGACCATTAAGAGGATTGATATTGAATATATTATGATCAGGAACTATTACATAATTTACGAGACCGTTTAAATTGCTATCTCGGTCAGTGGCTTCCACCTGTAACAAATAAAATTCGGTATTTATTTTAGATTGATAGAAAAGATAAGGTAGAGTATGTAACTGAACCGTTAAACGAGGGAATTCCTCAATTAGTTTAATAGAATTTGGAATTTTAAACTTGAAATTCTCATTCGTAAATTCTGGATTATTGTCATTGACATCTATAAGTGAAATAGCAACTCTAGAACGACTACTTTCCCTTAATTCATTCGTTAAGTATTCCTTAGCGTACACCTGTTGTTTTTTTTGTAACAAATGAAAGAAGAACAATAGGTACATCAAGCTTAATGAATACTAACGCCAAACTCAATATAATTAAAGATTTCCCTATCAAACAGTGTTTGATTTGCTATTCTTATGTAACCGTTAGCATCAACTTCTATTATATTTGTATAGTTGTCTATTTGGTACTTAAAAAGTCCGTTGTCATCCTTTACATGTCCATATAGAAGTTGTTATTATAATTTTTGTATTTATATTTATATTTATATCAATAAAACTTACAATATCCTTATCATTTGCCCTTACTTGTAGTAAAATGGCCCCCTCATTTAAATTCTCATTTATAGATACGGAATACTCCTTTTCCATCATTTCTGGAGGATTATCATTTACATCTAAAATTTTTATATGAACTCTTGCAAAAGCTTTTCTTAAATCAGGTTTATCTATTTGATAAGCTTTCGCAATGAATGAAAATGATTCATTCACTTCTCTATCAAATTTTATTAAAGGGATTATCTCTCCTGTTTGTTTGTTAATGGAAAAAATTCCTTCCATATCCTGATCTAACACATTTTATTAATACAGAGTAGGCTTATTATTACACTGTAAAAACACATAAAATATAAACCGACCTTCTATTGAATAGTAAATTGTTTGATTTATTTCTATATCTTCATCGAAAGCTTGCAAAAAATTTCGTTTAGTCATATTTTCTTCGATTAGATAATCTTCCTAAATATTCCAATAAAATCAGAGTCAACAAAATTTCGTTTCTTTTACATGATGACTAATTCTCTTTTACCTCTTCAGTATAGTTAAAGAAATATTCAAATTGAGTAAATGCAGGATTCTGGTCGTCAGCATCCTGAATAATTAAGGTAAATGTTGTCGAGCTCGTATTTTTGGAATTGTCCTTTTGATGTTAAAAAGGCATATTTATCACTTTTTCATTAATTTATAGATATATTCTTACAATTGCAACTAGCGTAAAGTTGTATTCCCGATCACCTTTGTCGTAGTTAAATTCTTTAGTTAGAATCAATTTTAGCTGTTGCATATTATCACCACGAATAGAAACCTTTTCTTCTTCATTTGACTATATAAATAAAAGTATGTGCTACACATATATATATCTATATATGTATACTTTCAACATATTTTATGCCTTAAAGCTAAGATTTGTATTAATTCATTACTTCGATAGAATAAGTCTGTACTCTCCCTTTAAAATCAGGGTCGTAAGCTAAACCAACTAAACCAATTATTGTCGTCCCTATTGGAGCTGCCTGCACAAATTATATCTAGAAATTGATTATTGTTATCTCTTTGATAGATACAAACCTCGCTTATACTTAATGAGAGTGACTGTGAACAAAATTCAGGGGCTTTTGAGAAAATTTTTTGTATCTTTAGTTTCAGTGGTACACTAAGGTTTTTCGCCCCTTTAATCAACCGAATTGTGACACTATCAACATTCTCATCCTGAATTCAATATATAATACTTCACAAGTTTTTTCAATACTAGTTATAATATGATGATATTACCACTAGAGAATCAGGTTTTGGTTCAATTTCACATATATTTGGATTATCAGGTATTGGAATCTTTAAAAGAAAGTCTTATAATTATATCTATAATTCCAATGGTATAAATCAATAAATTACCACAGGCCCATCAGTTATTACAGCTAAATCAAATATTTTATTCGTTTTGAGGGCATATGTTTCCAGTTTAAAATAGTCTGAAAACTTGGAGGTCTCTATGTCTGTGAATTCATTGGCATTAAACGATAGTATTGTGGTGCCTGTTTTATATTAAAAAAACATGTACTTAATATATATAAATTTAATATAACAATACCTATTTTAGCGTTTTCTGATATGTCACATAAATATTCGTCAGAAAGAGAAACACACTTTCCTAATATTAACTCTGGCTTAATAATTAATAATATCCAAAAAAATTTGAACATTGCTTGAACGAAATCGAATAGCTTAATGCGTGAAATGAATAAAAAAATATATGTTTAACCTTTTATAACTTCCCTTTGCTTTGGTTTTGTTAGAAAATGTGCCTTATCTTTTTGCTTACGCAATAAAAAGAGAAATGGATCAGTAAAGAGAGTTATTTCCCAAAAAAAAAAGAAAAAAGAAGATATTTGAGATTGAGCACATCTTTGTTCTTTGTTATCATTTATGTTAGTTTTTTTCATCTATAAACCTACTTGATTACATAGCGAGTCAATAAAAAAAAGTGAATTCTTAAATAATCAATTATTTTATTTTTTCACGGCACCATTTTTCTATAATTCAAATAAAAAGTAAAGACTTTTTCATTTTTCTATGTCTACAAAACAATACGTACTCTGATATATTTAAGATCTAAAAAAAATCAGTCATATTATGATTTTAACACTCTTTTTGAAGGCACTCTAAAACAAATTGTGTTGTTTCCTAAGGTTAAGTTTCTTCCATTGTGGAATAGTTTCGTAGTATTCTTTGGACATTCCGAACGTAGCTTGGAAATCTTCGTCGCTTAAATAAAGCTATTGGAAAATGAAGAGAAAAAAAAAACCGTTATCTTTATATTCTATAATATTATTTTGTAAGCAATATTTACTTCTTTGCAAGTAACATCAACGCCCTCTGGAGGTAGTTTCCTTTGGAGAACGTCCAAAGGATAAAAGGATGTGTACTTTTTTACCTCATCTTCTAACAAGTTAATTCCGGCATTTTCTTCTCCAACCTCTTTTAATATTTCATCAAAAGTAAGCCCATGCTAAATATAACAACATTAAAAAGGATAAAAAATATTCAAATATAATTAAATTTATGTTAATTACATTCCAAAGGTCGGTATCCCATGGATGGAAATGGCCTGTAAATTGGGGTGGTTCAAAGCCTTGCTTAACTACAATTATCATTGTGTTATTCTCATTTCGTCCTGTGGGATCGGAGTTAAGATAGCTATAGGCAGTTTTCAATGCTTCTCTCTTCTCAAAATCGTTAGCTCCATTTCCAATCCAGATAAAAACTTCATCGTAATTGTCCAAGATCATGACATCATCTTCTTCCAAGTCTTGTTGGCTATATTCAACAATTTCCTCAACAATAAACTTTCCAGATGCATTAGAGCAGTGAAAGAGTCTCGTGGGCATGGTCATACTTTGTTTTTTTGCTGGCCCAGTATAATAACTCTCTTTACCGCCCAAAACATCCCAGAATTGGGCAGTTTCTGAACCCTCTTCATAAACAATAGGCTGTCCTCTTTCGGGGGCTAGGTATTCGCACATTAATTTCGCCATTTCAATTTCTTGTTCATTAGCATACTTTCCAATCCATACTCCAACATTCTTCAATGTTTCTATGACAAAGATGTCATTTGAATTCAATTTAGATGCTCTTGCTTCGACCTAGAGAGTTTATAAATAAATTTAGATAAAGTATCAATTTTAGTATTGAAACCTGATTTAATCGATTATTTTTAAAGTACCTGAACTGCTTTTGTGCTATCAACGCTATCACTACGGACATGGTATAAAATAGTTGCATTAGGATCATAATTATCTCTGTCATGAACATTTCTGAAGCCAGAAACGTGTCCACCCTGATCAAATAATTAATGAATACGATTATTATAAACAGAATGCTTTAAATAGTAATAATTTACCATGAAATAGACGACTTTACCCTTAAAGATTTTCATAAAGTGTGCTGGTTCTTTATTCATAACGACACGCATCTATAGTGTTTATTAGAAGTTAATATAAAATAAAAGAAAGTATTCTATAAATAATAAATAAGCTCACTTGGACAGCTTCTCCACCCAATTTGTCATCTAGTTCAATAGCTTTTAGGGCAGATGTTCCCTTTTCATCAGTGGAACTTTTCAATCCCTAAATTTAAATTTTAAAATGTGATAATATCAGAGGAATGATTAACTACTTTCGTATTATGAGCATTCTCACCTGCCAGAAATAAATGATGTAATTCTTCTTACCATTCTTTTCGTATGTATATAAGATGACGTAGCTATCGCCTCCAAAAAAGAAACCATAAGCCTCCTCTGGTACAGAAACCATATTGAAATTTTCAATTCTCCATACTTGTACGCTGCCATTGCCATCATCAGGCATAAAATCTTTAAGTTTAGGGGCTGATGAATGCAATTTTGAACCATCAAATTCTTCATAATTTTGAGAGGCAACGTTGCCTTTGATTTCTTTTGGCATTACAGCGTCATCTTGAGCCCAATCTATGAAGTATTGTTGAAATATAGGTGACTCTCCATCTTCGACAACTCTTGTAACATTTATCCAAGCTGGGAATCCTCTTTCGGCAATGAAGGTCTGAAATTCGACAGATATGAATATAAATAGATGTCGATAGAAAGCATAATAAAAATTCTTTAAGCATACATGAACACCCTTCCAAACTTTTTTACGAGTTTCAAAAGGACATTTCTTTCCTGTCCAGACGAAAATTCCACCAAATCCAGAATCGAGGACATAGCAGTTCTATAATTATGAGGAAAATAATGAACAAGGGAAAATTAATAGCAATTTAACTTTCCATACCTCAGATTTAAGCATAGCCCTTTTAAATGGTCTAACTGTAACTTCTTCTATAACAGGCTTATTGTCATCCAATAGCACTCTTGAAGTGGAGGAGAAGAGATTAGTTAAAAATCAATTTAAAACTTAATTTATTACTTGTATAATGTCATTTCTCTTTCAGCCATTCTTATCATGTCCATATCATCACCACCAGCTTCAGCGGCCTTAATAGTTTTATCACGGGATCCAAGAGATTTGAAAAATAGTTCATTAGTATCCCAATCTTTATCTAAAGACAGTCAATGATTTAGAGGAAAAATCTAGCTAAGAATTGATTAATCTTTCAACTAACCGACAATATGAATATGGGATCGTCCAGCTTTTTCATCATCTCTTATTTTTCTTGCAATATTTGTTCCCTTAATTTTTTCGATTTTACTACTCTTTGGTCCAATCCATACGAATATGTTGGGACCACAATCCAAGATAAAAACGTCTCCTTGATTAAGCGATCCACATTTACATTCTACTTGTTCTACTCTAACATTCCTTTTTCCTTTAACTTGGAATAATCGTTTTTCGAATTTCGTCAAATCTACTTCATTAAATCCACTCTTAACTCCGCCTCTAACATACCTAGGAAAAAGCATCCATGATGATATTGGTTATATACACTAATCCTTAAATAAGGTATAGCTAAAGTCAGCTATTAGAGGTGCACAACATACTTAATTCCTTCTTTGAAGTAAGATAAGAAAAGCTTCGATTCATGTCCTTGGGCCTATAGAATTAATGATTAATACATAATTTTTGATTATTATAACCTAGTATCATTACTTCTCTATGTTGCGTGGCTGATCCGCTTAGATACTCGTCAAGTTCAACCGCTCTAATAGCTGCACTACCTAGTTCATCCTATAACCAAAATATACATTTTAGTACAAGTCATTATAATAAAAGACCATATTCTACTTGAGTTGATTTCTTTCCGAGCCAAAAATGAATGTGATATTCAAATTTACTCTGTCCTGATAGCTTTTTAGTAGACAGAATAACATAGCTATCACCTTCATAAAATTTTCCAAAAGTTGATTTTTCTTGTTTAACAGGTTCAAACGATTCGATTCTCCATATTTCTAAACCTTCAGCTTCTCCACTACCTTGTAAAGCAGGGTGAACTTCGACAGTAACTTCACCATTCATTGTTAAATATTTGACTAAATAAAGAAAATGTACTTTTTTATTATAAATCGTCAATAAAAACATAGTATAGTATAAGAAAAAGTAGAAACTGTTATGTTAAGTCACATAGATAACCTTATTTCAAGAGTGGGAAAAAGAGAAAGAGAGAGAGAGAGAAAAAAAGACAAGTTACTATATTTATCATATACTATATAAATATATAATGGATATTTTAATGTTTGTTAAAAAAGTCATAAAGCTTATGAAATGTGTATTTATTACATATATAAACATATTAATGGTTTACTCTCTTTAAAGTTTTAATTCCTTTTTATCTAATTAAAGCAATATAAAAATCTTTTTAACTAGCTCAATGCTTTACAATGTCACAACTAACAAGAAATATTTTAATATTTTTTTTTTTGAAAATAAAACAGTTGATTAAGTTCAAATTTTTTAAACAAGTGATATATAAAAAGTAGGTTGTTTATAGATAATATTTTTTAAATCAACGATAACTTTTATATTGCGCTTTAGCTTATCGATCCGGCTTTAGCGTGATCTAGCATAATTTTCAACCACATCCCTTTCCTTAACGGAATAGCAAAAGGTTGATTGAATTGGTAATGAATGAAAATTCAATACCAATCCGTATAATTAAACGATAAAAAAAAGAATGTTAGCTAACTATTTTATCTATTAATTATTCTATCAGGACTAAAACAAAAAAAAAGTGCAAAAGATAATCTGTATATGTTCTAAAACGAAGAATAAATCAATTCTTATACATATAATAATTAATATTGCCATTCTATACATAATATATGTGTACAAATGTTTATATTCGTTCGAATTCTTGTCAAGGATTGTTTGTGGATAGAAAAGATTTCTTATTGCTCGAAATACTCTTACCTCTTAGGAAATTTTGTATCGAGCGATCCGCAGGACACTTGTCGTGTGGAACAGACAAGATGAATGAACTTTGTTCATGCGCATGCGTAACTTTATCATATCTTATCAGCTCTTTACTGCCGTTTGCAAGCTTCAACAAGATACAGAGACTAATAAGACAATTGTTAAAATTATTCCAGGCGACTCTGAGCTCATAGGTTATAAAAGAATAAATTAGTCTATTTATTACTCTTGCTGTTATTAAATATATTTTTTCGCATTAAAAATATAACAGAATACATAGTTTTAATAGAGAAGGAAGACATTTGATAGACAGTATTCGGATAAAAGAAACGTGTTTCCTTTTACTTAATTATGAATATATTTTTATTGGATAATAAAATTTAGGGTGTAGTTAACTTTTCTCTTCTACATGAAAAATCTATCTTCTTTAAAGCTAACCAGAGATCTACAATAATTTACAGTATATTTTTTTGTAGATAAAGCATGAATAATTTTTTATGTCTTAAATTAATCATAACAAAGAGATAGAAGGAAATATTTCTGTAATTTCTTGCAACAGAAAAATATACAAATTCATTTTGTTTGTTCTATTTTTCAGCTATCGTTTCGATTCTGTCAGATGGCGCAAAAGTCAGTTTATTTTCGATAGGTGGCGCTCTACTTGACATTGATGATTGTAAGGTAGTGGCTGTTGTACCTTTCGTTGAAGAAGAACTTGCTTTTTTCGGCACTCTTTTTAATGTAGCGTCGTCTGTTTGAAAAGAAAAAAAAATTATCTAAGGAAAACAAATGTCGAGTGATCTGTAACTATAGCGACGTAAAAAAAAAGAAGGAAATCGATCGAATATTGACGCGTGCGCGACGCTTGTCTATATATACAAAAGTATTTAGGCCTACTAACCTGGAAAAACGCTTCGACGTCTTTTTCGATTTTCACAAGTAAAGAGATGAAAGAAACCCTTCTGTAATAAGAGTTTGGAAGAAACGTTAAAATTTCTTATTCATTTCATTAATATAAAAAAAAGAGAAAAGTGTAAAAAAACAAAAGTAAAAAAAGGGAAATTTCTTTCAATTTTTGTGATTTTAAAATTTACAGTAAATTTTTTTTTATACCTGAAAATTTTCATTTAAACCAGCGTAGAGAACTGGATTAAGGGCGCTATTAAAATAGGCTAAATAAATGGCAAGAAATTCAGCTAACCAAGATGGAATCTGTTTTTCAATTACAGTTTAATAAAATATTTACATAATTTCATGAAAAATAGAGTAACGATTATTCAATGAATACTGCCTTTCTCATTAGGTCTATATTATTGGCGTTTACTGCTCCGTATAAGACAATAACTTGCTGGCTTGTCCAACAAATAATAAAGACGGCCAATACAAAAATCATCATCTTTACAACCTGTTTTATTGTAATTTGAATTAAATTTGTTATTCAAAGAAATTGCCCAAATAGAGTAGTCAACCTTCTTTCTTGATTTTAATTGGATCTTAACCATTTGATCTGTTTGTTCGCCTGGACACTTTCTCTTCCATAAGGACGTGCTTATAAGTACATAAGCAAAGATCACAATAACAACGGGTATAAAGTACAATACAATAGGTTGTAAAATGAAGTAGACCTGGATAAAAGAAAGGAAATGAGTGCAATCTTTTTATCGTTTGAATTTTTCAAAATAGGCTTTAAAAGAATTATATAATTTTAGAAACGAGTAGATTCCACCTGCCTTCCGGGCATATGATAAATGCATACTCCGTCTCTCCATTCGTATACGTATCTAGGCCATTCTTCCTGACATATTTTTTGTGTAACATTTTTCCATTTTGTTTCTCTCAGACGCCGATATATACAATTTGGAATCGCGATAGAAAAGGACAATAACCAGCAAACAGGTACGATGAAAGTAGCGCGTGATTTCGTTACACGTTTCTTCAATGGAAAAACTAAGGCCAGTAAACGGTCGACAGATATTATTACAAGGAAAAATACGCTTGCAGTTACAGCCGTGACTATAAGGTTGAAAAACAATATAAAAACTATTTTAATAATAAAAGAATAGAGGGATGTATGTAAAGACAATAAACAGGTTAATATTTCATTAAAAGACTATCGTTCTCTTTTTCTTTTTCGCTATCTATTTCGCCCTCTCCCTCTTCCTCTTCCTCTAACTATTTCAGTTTCTCTTTCTCCCCACTCTCTCTCTCTCTCTCTCTCTCTCTCTCTCTCTCTCTCTCTCTGACTCTAATTTTCCATATGTTTAAGTAATTTATATATATAGTACTCTCCAATTATTTTCATTCCAAAGATATAAACTCAAACAGTAATAATACAGTATTATATCATTTATACTAATATACAGTATATATAGACTGTATATATACTGTATACTGTATATATATATATATATATTAAGACTAATATATATGCATTACAATGTTATTTCAATTTTGTTTTTAAATAAGAAAATTGTCTTCTAATAATGAAATAAGATATATCCTATTTACGTTTTTAACGTGAACTAGTAATCTGATAATTACCCTAGTGGTTTTGGGCAAAAATATAGTAGGAGTACCTCTACTACGTATTAACTTTCTAATACCTATTGGAGGTTAAAGAAGAAAAAAGTAACTAAGCACGCACTCTGAATGGCTTGATTAGTTCTGCAGATAAAACTACCAAAGGGATAAAAGCTTTTCTTGTACAAATTTTCACCAAGATGGATCCACATTGCGAACATACCAATTAATAAATCACTAATAGCTAAATTTACTATGTATAGAGTAGTAGTATTTCTCATCTTCTTATTCTTTATGACTATTAACAGTACTAACCAATTTCCAATCACTGCAAGAAACATTGCAGGTATATAAAATGCTATTTTAAGACCTTTTTCCCAGTTAGGTAAGCTAGGATTTTGACATTCCGGTAAAGTACAGTCAAAATTCTTAGTTATATTCTGTAAAATTTCCCTTTCTTTTTCTCCTGGCCAAGGTGCCTCATCACCTCTTTTAGCACAATACGACGGTGGTGGAATAACAGACATTTTCAGCTTTATTAGGATAGAAGAGCCTTTTTATACAGTTCTTATTGGAAACTTTTGTTTATATTAAATGATAAAACGCCAAGAATAAATATTTAGCTAATTAATGAAAAAGAAAAGTTTGTCACGTATATCGATAAGATAAGCGAAGTTGATTGACGTCTCTTTTAATATATTGAAAGCAATCGTGATCGAACTATCGTCTACGTTATAAGGAATTTATGGCGACTAGTTCGGATCATACCCTCACGATCGTGATTAGTCACGTCACCTCTCATTTATTGTTGCATTAAAAAAACAAAACGTATAAAATTCTAAATCTTTTACATGTGTCTCTCAGACGGCTGCATCTTTATCGTATCTAGCAATTTAAAAAATATATTATGGCGAATAGAATAGAGAAAGGCGGATTAGATGCTGAAGTAGTTGCTAAGGTTACTAAAAAGAAAAGGCTCTTTTCTCTTGTCAAAAAGAGTGTTACAGACTATTTAATTTTCCTGGTGATTTTCTATTGTTGTTCAACAACAGATTGATTCAAAATACGATAAGGTTCTTGCCGAAAGGTGTATGAAGTGGATTAAAGCGTGTATTGATGTTTCCGGTCAGCGCGTTGACCTTAAGATTAGCGGAGAAAGGGCGGACGTGTTCGGACAACTTAAAGACGGAAGAATCTTGGCAAGGTTAGGAAAAAACTTGTATATAAATATCTTTTAAGGGAGTACTTACTCCTGTTAATATATTTTATGCTTATAAGTGTATTTAGTAAACATTGTATCCTCAAAAGGTTAGCTAATGCTTTTAAGCCAAAAATTATATCAGAGAAGGTTATTGAAAAAGCAAATATGCCGTTTAAGCAGATGGAATTAATTGGTCATTTTCTCCAAACAACTACATCGGTTGGTGTACCTGATTATGAGCTATTCATGGTAGAAGTATACTTAATTATTCCTTGTTTAATTCATGTTCTTCTTCATCTAGCTAATCAGTATATTTATTAAATCATTTATTTATGAGATAATATACAACATATTTGTAATAATTTCTTCTTTTTTGTATTATTATTCAGCCATTAATTCACTACTATTGATTTCTAATTTCTTTTTTTAACCATAATAGTCTGTTGACTTATACGAGAATCAGAATCTACAACAGGTCATTGTTTGTCTAGCATCCTTGGCAAAAAGAGTAAGCATTGTGTACCTTACTCATTCGTTAGTTTTATTGTATTTTTTTTCAAATGAAAAACAGTCTTCTCTCTACCGCTTACCGGAATTTTAATAGGTTGAAAGCAACTAGGGGAAAATTAATTAGAAGAGGAAAATAAACGGAAGAAAGAAAAGATTATAGAATATTTTAGAAAATTAATAAAATGTTTCCGTTTATAAGAAAGATAAAGAATAAAAATGGAATATATTTAGTAAAAACTTTCTTCAGTAAATCATTCATCTTTTTACACTCCTACCTTTCAATTCAGTAATAATCTGTTTACGTTACAGCTTAATTTTATCGATAGCTTTTCTAGTAATTTGTTCAGCTTGGTTAAATTGATTTGAAACGCCGCAGCTCAGACGTTCGCCAAACAAAAATATTTCCTATCTATTTGATAGCCGAGATTAGATAGTCTTTTCTCTTGTCTTATCTTAAACTCTGTATATGAATGTATTTAAAAAAGGATTATCTTTCAATAAGAATATTTTAGATACAATTTCCTTTGATAATGGACGAATTCTCTAAATCCGAGTCGGATTTATCGACTGTTGAAAACTTACAGGATACACTAGACGAACAGAAAATAAAATTAGACAACCAGAGGCTGCAATATGAAGAATGGCGATCTCATTTTGAAAGAAGAAAGGATGATCTATTATTCAGAGCACGGATTTTGTTAGAGAAAAGAAGAAACGATAGACGTATATCAGAAAATGATGAAGAGTTAAAGAAGAATCGAAAATGGACTTCTCGAACTGACTTTCATTCTTTTAGAAAATATAATAGCTATATAAGAAGTAAGACAGAATTAGAAGAATATTACAGGAGATTATTCAATGGGCCTTTAGAAGATTGTATAAAAGTAAGAAAAATCGGTAGATTCAAAACAAGTTAAGAAAGCTGAACTTTTCTTTCCTTTCGCTTTTTTTCAATATTATATTTTTTGTGTATATATAGTATATATATATATATACTATTTATTTCACTGTATATATTTATATATATGGTATATATTTCCTAAAAGGTGTTGTTACATGTAATCGCTCCTCCACATACAGCAAAATATTCTTGATCTAGACATGTGATTTCTCTCGTATTTTCCTATATTGCGCTTCCTGTAAGGTGCATCCACATCGCTCTGAAAATCTGTATTTTCTGTACGAAAAAAAGAATTATGTATAATACGTAACCTACAAAGAATAAAAAGAATAAAAAGACACAAAAATTTAGATAAATAGGTATAGAAACCAAAAAAAAGAAAAGAAAAAGAATCGCCTTTTCTATGTGATGCTTGACATTTAAAGACTTAAAAAGGATGAAGAATTAGAAAAAAGGATAAAAAAAACATAAAAAGAGTGTGATGTGATGGTATTAAGCGTAGAAGGAGAGAAAAAGGAACCGAATTATATATAATATGAACGTAATGATATTGTAAAAGGGGGAGATATGGGATAGGTATAAGAGTATTACAAAAGAAGGAAATAAGGATAAATCGTAAAATATAGAAAAGAATGTTGTAGAGAGTCTTTACCTGGTTTCTGTCGACAATGTAAAGCGGTTTTGGCGCTTTGTACTTTGGCTTTTAATTGCTGAATATCTCTTAGATTTTCATCAGCTTCAAATTTTTTCTCCAAAGTATTTTCGGATAATTTACCTCTATTTTGCTCTGGATTTTTAGAAATAGAAGATAAGATTTAATTATTTCCTCAGTATAATATTACAAACAATACATACCTATTCTGTGCACGGCGGTAGATAAACAAACAACAATAGAAAATTCTTTGAGTAAGTATTCCAGATTATCTTCAAATTTTGTTAACGCTAAAGTGAGTTGCTCTGTGTCATTTTCATCTTGACTGTAAGGAAAGGTGAATAGTCTTTTTAGTTTGATACATTGTAAATACATAAACTACATAAGTATATATAAACTAAATACAGTGCAGTATATATATATTGAAATATTTATAGAGCATATAAGTAAATAAAACATATCTATTTGTTGACATACACATCATACAAGCGAGGTGCTTCTTTACAACTTACTCTATCTCTGTTAAACCTAAATCTGGTAAAAGCTTTCGAGCCTGCTGACAGGTTTGAATGCACTTAGTTCTATTAGAGTGCACTTTTTCCATGGCTATGGTTGACGTCAAATTTTCGACACCCATCAGACTCATATTAAGCGCAGCGGTTTGATTGCATAAAGTCTTTGTTACCTGTGTGGAAAAAATTGATTAGAAATTTTAACACCCTTTTTCCCCTTTGAAAGTAAATAATAATCAAGGACATCAATAAGTTTCCATATTATATTTTGTGTTATATATACTAAACATATATACAATCTATAATACATTTCATGGGCTTTATATGAAAACCTTAGACGGTTAACAGTAATTTATAGATGACAATCATTTCGATTCCAGCACACATACTTTCTTGTATACAGGATTTTTTTATATCCAAAGATCGATGTCATTCCAAAAAGCTTTTATATACATATCTATTGTCTAGAAAACACATAATCCAAACTAAATCTTGTACCTGTCGCTGGTTATTGATACAAAATTGCTTTTATAGACGGGCGTTCGATTATCAGGCCTATGGCTCTCATTGATATTTCTGCAGCACAGTTATTTATTTAATGTTGAGATAATTGTATAGATTAATCGAAATTTTTAATTTGACCGTCAGATCAATTCCTTCCTTTTTCTCAGTTCTTTTCTTATCAAAAAAATTAATATATCTGAATTTTCAGTTTTTAATATAAAAGACTATGTTCATACAATATATCTATGTAAATATATAGATTTACATATTTATAACGTTTTCTATTGTAAACGTATACGAAGGTTTATATAAAATTTAGATTCCAAGTTTTAGGAAAGACTAGCTAATATAGCTAATTTAATTTATTAGAAGGCTTCTAAGGTATTTCGAATTATATACTGCAATTATATTACTATACTCGACATATTTCTTGAGTATTTGTGCATTTAAATATATCTATAGTAGAGGAAAAATAACCGTAATTTACCTATAATACAGTTTAATAAAAACAATATTACACACACGCACAACAATACGAATATATACAAATAATGTATATATATATATTATATGTATGTATTAAGCAAATCATCTTGATAGTTGTCTCTTACTATAAAGTAGCTACTTTAAATGTTATATATATATAATCTTTGATATTTTACTGACTGAATTTCAAAAGGTATATGAGATTTTTTGATACATAATTTATATTTCTACTGCAAAACTGTATTGAAACTACATTAAATGAATATTCTGTATAAGATTTTTTCTCAAGTATTCTAATTGAATAATAGAACGATGTTTTTTATTTATAACCTTTTGAAAAAATATGGAACAGAGAAATACCTGTTTAAAATCTTGAAGGGCTCTAACTGTGTCCCAAGGAGCGACCGCATTTTTCTTAAATCTTGCTAAAAACGCCGTGCTGACGAAGTTTCAAATTATAAACTAGTACTAAAACTGCATCATATACTGTTATTGATAGAGGAAAATATGCTATTCTGTTTTTACAATAAAATCGTCAGTAATTTCAATTCCTTCTATTTTAATTGTCCATTCACAATATTTAAAAAACTATTTTGTTGAATCTTTGTAGAGTATTTTGCAGGTTTGCCAAAAAAAATCACAAAAACTATCTCTCTATAAAAAGCTAGGCTTTTTTTAGATAAAAAAATTTGCTGTTTTCCGTTAAAACTGAGTAAACGTAGAATGTTGAAGGGATTCACTCTTTATATGTTTGTGACAAAGCGACACCTCGTGTCTTCTACATCACCACAGCAACAATAGTCGGATGGCAGATTTTTTTTCTACCTTTTATATTATTGCAAACTGAAAACTCTTATATCGGATAGTTTTCGCTTGTATTAACATTTGTAAAATTCTTATTATCGAGTAATTAAAAGGTTACTCGTTAAAGTAAGTTAAATATAAATATCAATACTTGCATTTTAACTAATAAAGACAGATTTAACAGTAATTAATAAAATATTCATTAACGCCATCTACAAGCAATGAATTTTTCAGAAAAAAGAAAAAAAAACAGAGTTGAAACCTTAAAAAAAATGTTAGAAATCATTAAAAAAACAGCACAACAACACCACAATAAGTATTTTTATGCTTATTTTCAAATTTGGACTAATTTTAATTATCCTTTATACACAGATTAATTCAACATTCAAGGATTTGTTTAATCTTAGTGTTTTAATTTTAATTTTAATTATTGTAAACAAAAAAATGCATGTAAAAGTTAACAAATCGTGTTTAATATTGAAATATTTGTTTTCTACATGATATATACAATACTTGTATAAAACTGTATATCGGAAAAGTTTTTAAAGTTTCCTTTCATTGCTTTTATACACGAATAAAGTGAAAATATATCTGATGAAATGGAATATTTTCTTTGTCTAGAAGAGTTCAAGACAGAATTTTTTTTGTCTTCTGCTCTTATTTTTTTATATATACAGTATATAAAGTTTCTTATTCTTCTTAATGCAGTTGCTCCTTATTTTTATATTGTATACTTCTTCATATTTCTTACAACTGCATTTAATAATTTAGAAGAAATCCTTATCGTATCTTGTTTTTTTTTTATCAATAATTGTATGCCATTTTAGCAGGAATGATTCATTAGTCGTATTGATACCTTATCAGAGACAATAAACATTATAAGGGCTAAAGTTCCACATTATTCGCCATCTGCCGCTCTGAGTAACAGCTGTTTTGGTTGGTTTTTTTAAAACAAAACAGAAATTAACTAGTTTACTCTGATATAAAGAGGATTATTAAACAAATTAAGGTTTGTGTTTGCTTGTTTTTTTCTATTTTACTAAAAATATTACTCGTTAGATTATCGGCTACGGTAATAGTTAATCCCAGTCGATGACTTTGATTTTTTAAGGTAATTTTATGACGCACATTACGTATGATCTGTTTTTATCATAAATACTATTCAAAATTATATAATAGAATAATGAATACTTTATAAAATGTTAACACATGATCTTGAAGATCTATAAACATGTTTAAAATGAAAAAAGAAGAAAAAGGGGAAAATTACTAAACGAATGTCAATATTTATATTTATTTTATTCAAACGAATATTTAATTGCGTGAAGTGAAAATATTATTATTCAAAAATAGTTTTCCACCATCTTTTTATTTAGATGACAACCCCTTCAGCTCCTATACCTGACAATCCACCACCTTATAGCCCTCCCCAATATCCATCACCGCCCTTACAAGGAAACGCGCCGGTATATTCACCATACAACCAAGCTTACCCTCATCATAATTACAACCTACACGGAAATCTACAAAGACCACAGGAACCAACAACTGTGTAAGTTTAATTAGCTTATTTAAGGAGTATTTTCATTTTGGTAAAATTATGTTCAAAGGCAGTTTTCCCAGAGTAATTCTTATCTCTAATACGAGTAATATTTATTTCAAGATATTGCCTCATCATCGTGAATTATCTTTAATCTTTAAACAATTATCTACCTGAATATACTGAATATTTTTAAGTTTATCTTTTGAAAGTCTATTTAGAAATAGATTATCTCAATTGTAACATATTCTTGCATATATACAATATAGAAATAGATCTTTGTTAACGTTTTATTCTATATAAATCTATTATTGTAATGTTGTAGGAAGCTGTAGATAATTTTAAAAAGTATTTCATCGAACTGCATGAAAAACATTCTATTTATTAACTTTTTTTTCACTGAATAGTTTATTTTATGACAATTACATTACACACGACAAAGCGTGGGTGTATTGAAAGAGAATTATTCGTCCTTTTTGTTAATAGATACATAGTCAGAGATGAAGAGGCCGCTAGAAAAGCAGCTGATGAGCAAGCAGCAGCCGATTGTTTACTATTTAGCTGGTGTTGGGCAGCCTTATGTTGTTGCTTGGCAATGGACGCTTGAAACAAAAGAAAAAAATATGAATACGAAGAATAAGAGATATAAAAAAGATATATAAATATATTTACTTTTCTTAAATTTTACTTATACGAAGACATTGAACATTTCTTATTGTTTTCTTAGTCATCCAAGTATTACCTGCAATCAGTTAATAGTTATGTAAGGTATTGATTGTTACAAGCAATGGGAATGATATCCATTTATGACAAATGTCTATTTTGTAAGCTATGTTTTCTTTTTAAAAGAAATAATTAATAAATTAATATTTTTAAATTAAGTAATTCTTATGTAAAAACTACTCTTTTTTACGGATTTATCGTTTTTCAGTTAATTTTATTTAAGAAGAAAGCCTTAACGCTCTAATCGTTGACCTACATATTTAATATATATTATATTGACTGAATGTAGAGCATATATTTTGCATATTCCATTAATGACCTTGACTATAAAGAGACAAAAAGAATCATCATTGTTTATGGTTTATGCCACCTCGATTAAATTAACGTATACACAATGTATAGCACATAATATATACACTCTCTTCTACATGTATATACATTACTATAGAGGTAGGGGATTCCATGGTGACGACAAAGGAGGTTGTTTGCTTCGTTTGCTTTCAAGGTCAAAATCAGGTGAGACTTTGTTCTAAAAGGAAAAATTTGTATTCTCCTCTCTGATCCATTACCTAAAGATTTTCTAGACTATCCTTTTTTTAACTGTTTTGGAAATCAAAGACCACGGTACAGAAACGTTCCTATATGCATATTATATACAATATCTACATATACTGTATATTTGCTATTCTCCTTCAGCGCAAGGTGTTTTCTTAGAACATTTCAATAATATTAATTAATTTTTTTTGTGTTGGAGAGTAAATGCATGTGCTAAGTACCCTTATTGTTTTCCTTTTTATATACATTTAGAGAGTAGAGTATAAAAATGATGGGTTTTTCCAGACATAGTCAATTTTTATGCTACCCAAGGGCTAAAGATATCTTTTGTATGTATTATAAATAAACATATGTTTAACTATTACTTAAGAATCCATATATTAAATACAGTATAAACACACACTATATATATCTTTATATATATATATATATATACAGTATATATATACATATAAATTTATATACATGTATACAGTATATATACTTTTATATAATTCTATATTATATATGAACCTGTCATAATAATAAGTATACATACCGTGTTATCAATATTGGGAAAAAATATCAGATATGGCTTTGAGTGAAATAGATATTGATTATATTTTATTGACTTTTTAATCATTCATGTATACATTTAAGAATAGACAATAAACACTTTGGGAAAGAATGGCACTTTTTTTATCAGACTATAAAAAACTGTTATTTATAATTTATATAAAACCAATTAATTTATAAATAAAATGTTAAAAAGATGAAAAAAAAAGCTTTCTGCTTGATAAGAGAAGAAAAATAATATTAAAGAGGGGAAGACAGAACGAGTAGAGAAAAATAAACTAATATTGTAAAGGGGAAGAAGATAATAAAAATGGACACTACTTCATTAAAACAAAAATTAGTTTATCTCTGTTTTCAATTTTTCATATAGGTTGGGATAGAGATTAATTTTCAGATTATTAAACCTTTAATCTGACGCTACTTCTGCATTATATTATATTTATGATAATGTATTATCTTAAAAATCTAATATGTTAGCTGTAACAATACGGTTGATAATTCAGTCGAGTTGGTTTATCATACGTATTATAATATTTAAAACCTTTTACCTGTTATCCAATAATTTTTCATACCATACATAAATTATAAAAGTGAAGAGAATAATCATATATTACTCTACTTTTCGTATAAATGATACCTAAAATTGTGCCATTATATGCCAATAATTGTTATTGACTGCGTCAAATATTAATTGAAAGGTTAATTACTGCAACTAGTTGCTTTGTGTTCAGGGAATGAACAATGAATATATGAACGATAACGAGTATTCCAAGAAATATCTATTAAATATCAAACACTAATAGCTACTAAATGCTATGTTATATTTATAAATAACCTATCAATTATAGTTCGGAAGTAAATATTATTGTATTTCAGTCATTTGTCATTAACCATTGTTTCTAATATTTCAGTATTAAGTAAATCCAATTAAGATAGTTCTTTTCTCCACTTTTGAAGTGGAGAGATTCTATATATTCTTTATGATAATTCTCTTCATAAGAACATAACATAGTAGGTTAATTTTTTAGAATAATATAGACTAGTTAGATTTTGTTAATAAAATAACTACTCTGTCATATTCAATTAAATGAAAAGTATGCATATTTATATTATAACGGTTCATTTATTAATAATAACAAGAAGCAAAATTAACCATGACATACACGGAAGTATTTATTTTTTTATACTCTTTCTATTTCTAATATTCCAGTTACTTATCGAGTAAAAATTTGAATGTGTCCTATAATTATCTTTCAACTATTTAAGCCGCTTCTATTTTACGCAAACAACTCAATAATTTTATATTATGCACTAATTAACAGTGAATATTCTTCACAAAAACTTACTAATTTCGTCTTCAATCCAAAATAACAGATAATAAAGAATTGCGTCTAAAGTAATCAACTTCGCTAAAAGTTTATAAGCCTATAAAATACTATTTACATAGTTTATAAAATTACAATAGCCATGAAAAAAAATTGACTTAATATCTATACGATGAAAGTTAATTTTGTGAAATAACTACAATAGAAAACCTCACAATGATGGTAATTAATTACCTCAACAGCAGATAAGACGATAGTTAATTAACTCTTTTTGTGTCTAAGAAGAACAGCGCAAGAACAAAGGCGACGAATCTCCTGAAATCAAGGTTTGAAATCAAAGAGCACACGAATATTTAATGTAATATCTCTCTTATTATACTTTACTATTATTTCTATAGAAATCGATATTTTTATCATAAAGAAGCGTAATTGCGGAATGGTGACTGCAGTGGTTATAGTTATTAATGATTGGCACTTAAAAATCCCTAGAGTGTTGAACTTGTTGCTAGAATTTCTAAGTATATCAGCGTGCATTCTCTTCATGGAATAGTTTTTATGAAAGGAAAGAGAATAATGCCTTAAAATGATTTTGTTACTTATTAAAAACTTTTCGTTATATGACTTTCTTTTTCGTTTTACGTAGTAAAATCATCTATCAAATGTCTCTTAATCAGTTTAAAATACATTTTTATATACTACATTTAGATTGTCGGAAAGAAATAATTACAATTTTTCACTTATTTTAAATTTCTCCTCTTCTATCAAAATTACAATTTAACCATTGCAATCAGAAATGCAGTAGTCTTTTTTTATCAAGAACTCGTTGACAAGGATAAAAAACAATTAAAGCTATGGTAAAGAAAACTGTTTTCGAAATAGATATCCTAAGAGAGTTATCAGATTTTAATTATTTCTCAACGAGAAAAGAACGCATTTAGATTATAAAAGCTATACGATTAGCGACAGCAAAATGAGTCTTTAAAACATTGATTTTAATCTTTCTAAAAGTGGAATTTTAATTTGATGTATTCGGAAACAATAATTAATTTGTCAGTACAACAGTAATGACGATTTTCCTGTAAAATCCTTTATATAATAATTACCAGGTATGGTTTTTTTTTGGAATAACTGGGCTGAAGATTGCTAGATTAAGTAAACTTGCTTTCTACTACCTTCTATATTTGGAAGTTGCAGTACCTCCTCTTTATATATACTGTACTATATATATTGCATATACCGTGTATGTAAATATATATAAATACATTTTGTTTCGTTAGAAGGAAGGATGAGAAAGATTGCTAAAGTATACCATTTCGATCTCTTTAATGGTACAAAGTAAAGACTTTTGGATATCTATACTTGAATATGAAAGTGTATAGAAAATTTCATCTTTAGATCTCAAAAATAATGCAGTAAAAGAATATTACTTATTGAATTATGAATCTTATCGACACTATATTTTAGACCTTTAAAGGACAAATAACTCAAATTTAGAGATAAACTTCTTTTGATCATCATAATTATATTATATTAAATTAGTCTAATATGTAATATTACTCTTACAAATACGAATTTAGCCGATAACATACTCAATATAATTAGTCTATGGACAAATTCAAACTTTCTTATCATCAGTTGAAAAGGAAATTAAAATAGTCCAATGTTGTTTTAGTATACCTTGAAAATCCACCAGGTGGAGCTAAAGCATAAACTAAGAATAATCCGGTAATTTTGGTTCTTTACCGAAAGATACCTGATTATTCGTTAAGAAAACTTATTATATAAATCACTTTTATTATCTCATGTTATGATTGCATAAGTTTTATTTCATATTTAAAAACTCTTGTTCAGAAGAACTTTGACAGCAAGGAAGAAGTCAATAACTAAAGATGATAGAGTATTCTCTTTACTAAAAACAATAGTCAAAATATAAGTAGTGTAGTTCTTCTTTCAACTAGATGTTAGTTTGTAGAAATAAAGTGCCCTTTTCTGACTATGTGACATTCAATGTTCTTTTGTTATCCATATAAAATTCCAATGAGGAGACAATAAATTCTTTTCAGACTTACTTTTAATGTTTGCTGCTTTTTTAGCTTGAGATTTTATCACGCTTTTTTTCGAAAGTATTTTGCTAATGGATTCATTTCCATTTTGATGTATTTCTTAAAGTCTAAATGGGATTCTCTAGCGAGATTTTTTATCATTTATCACCTAAAATTGATCACATAGCTTAGATAAGGAAATTGTAAAGCTCTGCTAATAAGGGAGGGAGTTTTGCCAACTCCTGATGGGTTAATTCGTTCAGTTTGATACAAAAAAATAGCAATATTACTAATCTTTAAACCGAATTTAATAAAACCTTTAAATATTGAAATATATTAAAATCATCGTGCTAAAATATATGATTAAATCAATTGCCGCTTATACACATCTACAATAGTGGTAGAAGAGCAATGCTAAAAATTATTGTTATTGTACACAATAGAAAAAAAAGAGCTTGTACCTATTCACATGCCTTTCATAGTAATTTTCACAATCTGTAACACTGAAGAAGTTTTTCTTCCCTAAAAATTTTCGTAGTGGTGAATAAAACGATTTCCAGTGTTTATATTTCTACAAGCTTTTTCGACACTGGATGTCATAGGTGGTGGACCGCAACTAAACACGCCAATTTTTCTTTCCTTTAAAGTAAAAATATAGGATTATTAGATGCTTGAGTCTATGCAGTTTGTGTCAAAATTGTTTAATCTAAGATGAAAGAAAATACTTACTAATAGATTTGTATATTCCTCATTTAGTGTGTGAAACATCGATAGAAAATCTGGTCTTCCAAAATGAGTTATTGCTGACATCCCTGAGAATAAGCTCTTGCCATGGGTTTTCTCAAAATGCTTCTCACATAAATACTATTAAAAGAAAGATTTCAATTCATTAATAATCTATGAAATTATTATTCATGATTCTATAAAAGAAAGAAAACAAACCAGCATATTGGTCCTTATGTCGTATTTCTCTTTGTATTGAGTTATAAATACATGTAGATCAATTAAATTAAAAGTGTCCGCAGATTCTATTTCTTTTAATATATCAACAACCCACTCGAATTGTTTTTGAGTCCTTGTTACCCAGAAAAAGTAAACTTTTTTGCAGCGAATATGAGCCCTTATTTTCATCTTGAAAGCTATATCTTTCAATATTGACACAAAAGGTGTTACACCTATTCCTCCTCCAATAAGTATGGAAACCTGAATAAAATATAAAATTGTAACTGATCTATATGCTTGATTTTATTATTACATACTTCGTATCGACACCAATCTTGGTGCCCTTCTCCAAAAGGTCCATCCAAATATAGATAAGGCAACGGCTGTATGGTTTCGTAACTCTTTCGCAAGTTAGCTGTCCATTGACCGACAGCTCTAATGTGCAAAGTTAGATATTCTTCATGGGGAGCAGATGTTAATGTGAATGGATGATATTCTCCCCTACCTAATGGTAAACAAGCTATTCGCACCCATTGGCCACTTTTATATTGGAAACCAGGCGGTTTCTTGAATTTTAAATGAATTACTTCCGAAGGTAATAATTCGGCCGAAATTACAGGGATTAAAACTTTTTTCCTGCCGACTGATATTAATTTATCAATGACAAATACAACTATAGGACCCAAGAAATAATAATGAAATATTGGTGGTTGTACTAATCTCCCAGCACCATGGAGAATCATAAAAATAAATAGGAAAATGTTTAATTGATGAGTATACCAAAATGATTTGAAAAAATGTCGTCTTGCATAAGGAAGAGCAAAAGTATACATAATAATCACAATTACAGTCAGAATTACTCCAGTAACACCAGTTAATGTTTGCCAACACCAGTAGTGAAATTTAGGTAATTCATCAGTTCTGATTGATAAATTTTTAATCAAGCCAAATATTTTTACAAATTAAAGACAATAATTAAAACTTACGCATGAAAGTAATTCCTGAATAGACAACTCAAATCGTTAGCTGTTTGTGTTGATATATGATAAAAGTTTATACAATGTCCTATGCAGTGTATAACTGTAATTTGAAAGTAAATAATTATTTATCAAATGCAGATTTTACGGATATATGCTACTATTTTATTAACCTGTAAATAATAAGGCAAAGTATGCTATAAACTTATGCATATCAACTGCAAAATCAAAAGGTATATAACGATTTAAAAACGTTTCTCTGGCTTTTGTAATAATGTTCCTGTCAAAGAATGTATATACAGTATATATTCAATATTCTAATAGCAATTTTAATATATAAACCTGCACATAGTAATAAGAATACTTGAGTAGGTGAACATCATTCCACTTGCTGCTCCTCTTGTAATTGTAACTCCGTATCCAGCAATTCTTCTTAAACCTGCATGCTCTCTCTCGACCGAATAATCTATTGTTTAAAAAATAACATATTATTGTTAATAGTGGATCTAGAAAGCAACGAATAAGGATTATACGTACAATATGCTCTCTCAACAAATATCCCGATAGAAATTAAAGTGTACAAGCTCAACCATATTATATGTAGGCGATATATTTCAATGAAACGACAAAATTGAACGTATTTCGTCATGAAATACGTTTTGGGAAGAACAGGCATTTTGGCAAATCTTCCAACTTTTGAACTGCTCCTTTCCGTTAAAACACTACATTTATGAGTAACTTTTTTCTTTGGTGCCCTGTAAATATATTAAATTTTTTTCTTCGATAAAAGGAAAAGATAGAATTGATATATTAATATTTAATTGTACATTGATTGAGGATTTTTTCTTGCTGTTAATCTTTTATGTAGATGAAATTCATTTACTTGATTATTATCTGAATATTGAAAATATTTAAATAGAACTTTGAAGTAAACAGTACGATTATTTCAATATTGAATTATAAATTACCATAAACTCCACTTAGTACATCATGTCCAAAAAGTTTTTTAAACTTAGCCAAAGAAATATCCTCGGAGGAATTCAATTTGGCAAATCTAAACATCTGTTCAATATTATTATTAACTTCTTTAGTATTATTACTATCAATTTGTGATCTTAAGATATCTTTAAATTTTTCGGGATTTAATAAATCAGATCCGTCAGAGTTGTAAATTCTAAACATAAAAGATAATTTCTCTTCTTCTCCACCTTTTGTATAAGCAACACACAAATTTAAAATTTCTGTAAAAGATATAAATCCATTTTTATCTTCATCTAGCATATCGTAAAATTGTTGAACAAATAATGCCGATTGTTTTACTCCAAAAACTTCAGCAAATTCAGTTCTACTAATTTCCATTTTTAAAACTTCGTCAACAATTGCTTTATTACCAAGGTGCTCATTATCAGCTTGAAAAGCCTATAGCAAAAAGATTAATTATTATAGAATCTAATTGGAAGGCAGAGATAGTTGAAATATTTACGTGATTTGTTAAAGCATTAAAAAATTCATTCAGTTCTTTTTGCCTTTGTACTTTTGTTTTTGAATTAGCCAATATATTTTTCTTAGAAGCTTCTTCTTTAGAAACTTTAACTCCGCATTTTTTTAAAACATTTAATATTATTTCTATAGCAATTTCTAAATCTTCACTAATATCGAAAAAGAGAGTCTAAAACAATTAATACTAATTAAGGATGAAAGGTTAAATTTTTGATTAAATATTAATTACCAAATCGTAAGATTCCTTTGGAATTTTTAAACATAGGCAATAACTTCTTCTATCATTACAGTATAACAAAGTAGCTTGGTCTTTATTAATTATATGTTTGAAATCCAATTGTCTAAGCATGCCTCTACCAGATGGTTTAGTAACTTTTATTGTATATTTTTGTTCATCGAACGAAATCCTTACAGGTCTTGTGGCTGTATGTTTATCAATCCATTCTGCAGCTAAATTATATACAAATTGTTTTCAGTAGACGATTGAAAATTGAAGAAAAAGCAATAATGATAAACCTCTAATAGAATTTTTCGATGTAACTTCAGCATAAATATCTGCAGGAGATAGTTTGTCTGAATATTTCATGGATAAAGATTTTTCCTTGGGTAATTTTACCAAATTAGTTCGGAGTTTTGTAACAAAAACTAAACTTCCTAGCGCAACTAAAAGAATCAAAGATAAATGAATGTTAAATAAAGATTTTTCTGTTTGCATTTAATGTACTAAATGTGAACTTTCATTTTACATACCAAATACAGCTAATCCCAAAAACAGAAAAGTTACTAGATAAGAACTTTCACTGCCTGAAAAATAGTCAAAAGTTTTCCATTTTGTACACTGCATTAAATAAGCTTCTTGTAGTTGATAAGGTTGTGGACAAAGTAGAGTATCATCACCTGTAGAAAGCATATAAAAGTAAAATATCAGATGTTAATAAGTCCCCTTTTTTAAAAATTAATTAATACTTGATAAGGCAAAAAAAGGATTATCTTGGATCTCTTTATCTTTTATCTTTGTTACGCTTAAAATGACTTGTTTAAGATCAATTTTTCTTATTTCTTCGACTTCATCTCTTGTAAAAAGCCTTTAAAATGTATTTCTTAAGGTTATTTTCTGCTCTTACACGAAATTGTTGATTATACGAAACATACTTATTAATTTTATAATTTTCAAACCAAAATCTATCTCCATCTCTTATTCTTTGAAATTGATCTTTAATAATTCTCTTAAAAAGTGGTCCAGGTCCTTCAGGTGTCGTTTCTAATAGTCCACCAACCCAAATATCAATATTGTCCAATCGATTGTTATACAATTTAGAAAGATTGGATAGAAGCTGCAAATATTTCGAAATTTCCAATGTATGCTTGAAGATAAATAAGTATAATTTAAACATACTTCGGGTTTCAAATCGAATAGATCAGGATTAATATCTCTAAATTGAGTAATTTCTTTTAAATTGTACTCTTTTCGAGCTGTATTGTAATCAGGAAGTCCATGATCTCTTCCTCTCTGTATGTTTATAGCCATTAAATCCCTTCTTGAAAATTCTAGAGGTCCAAACACAAAACCTTTGTTTGATAAATAACAATAATTTATATCGTTAGTATCGTGGATAAAAACTGGGCTACTTTGAATGTTTACCCCTTAAATCTGGTGTTATTATGTTGTCCTCTCTCTCGGTCACCTGGGACGACATACCACGAATCAACGAATCGATTGTGAAATTTCTGATAAAATCCTGAGGGTTCCAGTAAGTATTGCAAGTCCTTAATCCAGCTCCAGAGTGGCTGCCTTGTCCTGCATGCTGATATAGCGTTGGTAAAAATTTGCACTCTGAATCATTTCTCATAGGCTCTCGTACGAAAACACCAGGAGGTACCAAAGTATGACCAAATCTCATCGCGGCTGATTGAAATACATGGGTAATACCAGGATGAACAGCTGGTTTGTAACCGTCGTATGGTGGCAAAGGATCACTCAACCATGCAGGCAACCAATCATAGGCAACAATGTTCTATGAGAAGAAAAATTTTTATTAAGAATAGAATGTTTATAACTTCCTACTTGATGAATAGCTATAACCCATTTTCTAGCTTCGTTGAATAGCCTTTCATCTCCCCACTCTGGATTTTTATTTTTCAACTGCTTTGCCATAAAATTATGAAAACGAAACCATAATACTCCAAAAGTAAGAAGAAAAGGATTTTCATTCCCTCTAGGATTGCCCAATTCTTTCAGAGGATTAACAAGTTTTAATTGAAACAGTATTTAATAGAATGCTAATAAAATGCGTATACTTTAACATTAAACACTTACTCCAAAATCTGCTTACTTTTTTCAGAAAATGATCTTTAGGAGGTGGTGGGTTAGCCAGAGGTAATCTTATTTCGTTAATTGCTGGATATTCTTCATTGTTTTCAATTACACTCGCTAATTTTCCATCTTTGAATGATCTTAAAGCATCAGCCCATGCTTTCGTTACACCATATGTTAATCCTCCATCAATGTACGGTGTAATTTCGTTTAACTGTTGCCGAGGATTATTTGGACTTTTTCCAGTATTCATGTCGTATCTTGAACGTAGTAAGGGCATGAATTGAATTCCAGTTTTTTCTGGATCATGTACAGGATGATTTTTTGGAATTTTTATATTGAAATATTCTGGGGGACATCCTGGTCTTTGGGCATCTAAAATCTCTTCGACAACTTGTTGACCAAAAAATACTAATAAAGCAGTTCTGTTCTTATAGGAAGGCTGACCAGTATTTCCAGCCATTAAAGCAAGACTTAATTCCATTGGATTTGGTCTATTTTGTCCTGACGGTTGATATGTACTATCGCTGTAATGATTAGGCAATCTACGGAGTAATTGGCTATCTGCACTTCCCCAAGTGGGATCAGCTCTATTGTTAAAAAACCCATCGTAAGGCGGGTATTCGTAATGCCTCTCTGTGTGTATTACCGTAGAATTTCCATAGGCTATAGCGTAAGTAAATATTAAAGAATGTACATATCGTTACTATCGTTAATTGATAAAGTTTATTACATACTGCAGGCTAATTTACTGAAACTTAAGAAAACAACTTACCTGACTGTGTTATGTATAATAGAGATAAAAACAAGAGAGTTTTTCGATCCATTTCTTTTCCTCCTTAACCCTCTGCAAGTGAAAAGACGTTTATATTGATGGCATATACTATGTTGCACAAAAGCACCTTACAAAATCGTAGAAAAAAAGTCGAAGCCTAGATATCAAAATCTTTCTAAAATAAAAAGTTGAATGAGGGAAGAAATTTACATAATTTATGGTTTTTCTATCTATATTTAACGGGGTTTTTCCCATTTTTCAGTGATATAAAGGTAAAAAGAGTATTTAACATAGGCAAGACGGGATTAGTCAATAGCTGTCCATGTTTAGTGACAAATTTCCCTCAACAAAAAAACGAAGTTCAATAGCCAATTTTCAAACAAGGAAGTTGATATTTTTGTTTTGATATGCAAAGCTAAACTTCTTTCAAAGACATGATCTGAACCCTACAGTTCGCCATACTAAATTCTGTTTAATACTTATAAGCCTATATTTTTTAACAAGAGTAGTATTTTTATTGTAATTCGGAAAAAATAACCTGTGCCTGATAGCCACTTTCTTAGAGTTAGAATTTATCTATTGAAAAGGTAAAGAATATTTGACTAATAAAATATCTATGTTACCTTAGTTGTTGATCACTTGTAGATCCAAAGTTTATTATGGGCTGGTATGATGGCTGGAGGGATAAACCTTTTCCCACTTTGTATGGAGAAAAAAAAACTGCTGTGACTGAAGATATTCTTTTTATAGGATTTGTTTATGCAATATGCGTCATAAGCTTTTCAATCGCTTTGATCATACCAGGATATCCTAGTAAAGAGGTAAGAAACTTTTGTTGAATAAGGAATAAAATCCTTATTTTCGAAAAGAACTGTTTAAGATATGTTGTATTATACAATCATATACTTTCCTCACAGAAAATTACCACTTCAATTAGAGTATTCTTTGGAATTTTTATTTTGGCATGTATTATGCGTACGTATAGAAAGATGTACAATAATAAAACATAAAAGAAAACTATTTGATTTATTTTTCTTATATCCAATTTATCAAAGATAGTTTGCAATATTGGTCAGGACTGGGAAGTCGCGCATATAAAAAATGCCTCACTACCATATAAATCTGGTTTCAGAGGGGAAATTCATGCAGATGTTTCAGTTAAAATTGGCCTAAGAAGCGTTAATATAACATTAAAGGGTATAGTTTTACTGTTTTTTCATTAGAGATCTTATTACACAGCTTCTTATGAACATTCTATTCGTAGGTAAACCAGAAGAACAGAAATTAGTTAACAACGACTCGAGATCACCTGTTGAAAAAATCAATTACAACGAAAGATTTTCGTGGAATGACGAAGGCTGGGTACAAGGAAGAATTGGTTTTGGACCTGCGGCTGGTCTAGTTAACAGGGAATTTAGAGACGCTCAAATTAAAGGAACGCCCTATCCTATTTTATGGGTTGCAGAATATTTTACACTTGATGGAGAGGGAATAAGGTAAAATAAAAACTTACCATTTGCGTATTAATTACATTTATTAAAATATAAAATGTTTCATATTTAATAGATGGGGCAGATATTATCGACAATCCGGCTACTATACTCACATCTTAATTTGGACAGCCTTCCCTCTATGGATTATTACTTGTCTACTGTTTGGCATGGTTATCTCTTACGGTGGTTTTTTCATGATTTTGACTGGATTAGTACTTTTGGCAGCTAATATTACATACTCTTCTATTAGAAATCCAAATGAGTTGAAAATTCCTATGGCTGATGATAAACTGCTTACATTTAGTTGGGGCTGGTGTTTTACTTTAAATGCGATAAATGGTTTGTATGTAGTATATGAGCAATCAAAATTAACTTTAATAAAATGATTTGATAGGTTGCCTTTGCACGATTATTGGTGTTGTTATAATAATCATCCATACATTCAAGGACGAGTGGATATTTAGATTTTTCGCTAAGGATAAAAATAGAGAAATGGAAGAAATTTATGCACCAAAGGAAATAGTCAGAGATGAAAACGTACTACCTCTACAACGAGTTAGTTTGGCAGTAAATGATCAAGAAGTTCTCGAAGAGATTGAAGGAGTCGATGTCAAACCTTTCAGTGATGATGAAATTTTTGAGAATCAATGGATGGTTAGTACAATAAGCTCTTATTTTAATAAATAGCACCCTTTACTTTAAATCTATAACAGGAAAATACTGAAGTCAAATTCGTCAAGAGAAGTATCTTCTCCAAGACAGCTAGAAGTATGATACTACGACCTTTGCCTTTTTCTCGGAAAACCATAATGACACTGCCAAATGAATTTCGACAGAATCAAAACGATGCGAACGAATGGCAAATGAATGAAAACGAAGCGAACGAATGGCAAGTGGATGAAAACGAAGGGACTAAGTTGCAACAGAATGAAAACGAAGGTAACAAATTACAAGAGAATGATAACGATGAGAAAAAGCAACAAGAGAACAAACTACAAGTGAATCCCAAAAACTCAGATAATGAGTTATTAAGACGTAAACCAAGCATACCAAAAAAACCCAATATGAATACTAAAAACTTGGAATCAAAAGAATTAAAAAAGGAAGTAGATAGTGCAAAAGAAATTGAACAAGGGAAAGAAGATTTAACACCTACTCCCCGTGCAAGAGCTAAAAGACAAGTAGTCTCCGATTTTCAAATTCCTCAAGATATTTCCATTTCAATGGATGAATTAGAAGCTCAACATGAAAATAATAACTTCAACGAAAAGCTATAGATATTATTATCAAAATGCTAACCAATCATCAAAGAAAACAGGAAACTAAATTCTTAAGCGCTCTCTTTATAAATTCTCATTTGTTCAAAACATAGCGTGATATTAAACTATTAACTTTAACGTAACTATTTTATGAACGTCTGATTATCTTTAAGCAAAACAAAAAATAAACAATATAAATATATAGTAAAAACTATATATACTGTATATTGTGTATACAACTATATAAATATATGAACTGTATATTAAGCGAACGACTCGTTGCAATACTTCCGAAATTCGGGTATTCTCCTTCGTCTCCTTGGACTCTGATTGTAAATAGAAACGTCTACTTTAGGTAGCCGATTAAGTGAGAAAATCGGATAGAACGGATAATCAGATAATTTATCATTTTCCAACTTATCTGGCTCTATAAGTAAAAAAAAAACTTAATGCGTATTGTTTATTAATGTTTTTTCTAGTCTATATTTATACTTTATACGATTTATCAAAAATTTCACCAAAGTAAAAGAAAATGAGATGTAAAAATAGTTGTTTTTACTCTTAAAAAAAAACATAAAAGGGTAAACTGAGATAATAAATAGGCCTATACTTACGTTGGTAATTATCTATTAGATAGCAGGCACTATTTCTAGGTTCGTTTCCAACTCGAACTTTTATATTTAACTTGATTGCTTCAGATCCAACGACGTCAACAATTAGTTCTAGTCTATAACTAATATTTAATTGATGAAAAGACATAGAAGGAGGAAGTGATGAAATTCTGATTGAATGATTCCAGCATACTCGTTTACCAGCTCTAATTTGGGGACCGTCTATTCGGTATATATCTCTTTTCTCTAGACGTTCACCTGTTTTTGCTAATTGCTTAAAAACAATGTAAACGCCCCTTATACGCCTAAAGCTTAGATTGTTAACATCAGTTGAAAAGAGAATACTATCCCCTGGGACTACTTCAGTCTTTACAGTTCTTAGAACACAATGTACCCTTCCAGATCTTGTGCAAGTGGAATATTCAGCTGTTTTCTCTTTTTGTATCATTTCAGTTTCGATGCACTTGTTTGGTTGAATGATGGTAATTGACTGTTTTTCCGATACAACACTATTCGAATTACAAAGGGGGAGGACTGCTTGAACAGTATAAAAAATACTCGCATTTCTCAATTTGACTGAGGTTGGCAGATTCGATGGTAACTTAATTTGAAAAGGGAAGGCATGTCGACCAGTATTTATTGGCTCACTCGTTGCATGTCCGTTAGTAATTATAGAATTAGCTGTATTGGATATAGAATAAAGAATGATTAGAAAAGTTAAATATTTGAATATTTTATAAAGTGTTATAAAATAATTCAATGTAAACTTTATAAAAAACGGCTTTCAACATTTATTTGCATATGGAACAAAAGGTAAATAGATGCATATCATCCGATTTATTCCCAACAAACAAGACACAGAATAAAATATAGTTTGACGACGAAACCATAAACAAACAAATAAAAACTTTATTCGAATAATTTTCTATTTATCTAACCCTATTTCATTATCTCTTTTCAGTAGCTGTCCTTTGTTTGCCTCCATTGGCGGATAACATGGATCGAAAGTAGACGTCGCTTTGAATTAATCGAATTAATGCATTGTTAGTTGTCATCAAATAACCACGCCCTGGTGAAATGCTACTAAATAATGTATATGTATAAATGCATCATTTTAGCTGTTTTGAATATATATATATATATATATATATATAGTATATGGTATATAAATATAAGAAGGTGAATATTTCAAAAATTTTTAAATAGTAATCATGCACAAAGTTAACTAAACAGCAAATTGCAACAGCAATTTCTAAAGTTATGTAAACATGTTTACAAATATTTATAATAATATACGACTCTATATTACAATTCTATAAATAAACAAATAGGCGTATACATATATACAATGTAAATGGTGATTGAAAAATACATATACTGTATATATATATATATACTGTGATATACACATTTATGTATATTGTACATATAATATACACAATATACAAAATACAATATACTATATATTGTATACGTAGTAAGTAACAAGAATCTGTTTCAAACATTGTATAAAGAATATCGTAGTAAATATTTTTGACTGCCATAAACATTTATAAATAACATTCTACATAAATAAATACAGTAAATTGTTCATACATAAATATATATATATACTTATATGTATAAGCACTTCACCTTATCTTTAAATATTAATATTGACAATACGCAAATTTCATATGTGTATCTACGTTTTACACGTACTCATACTTTACATATGCATAAATCCATTTGTCTTTTTTTTTTGATCAGTGTTTCTATGACAACGTATTCCAGTTCGAGTTGATATTTAAGTGATTATATACAGAATTTACTCGAAAAATAATAAATGAAAGTAACCTCTACCTTCTCCCCATAATATAATTGTTTCTTTTATGAGTATCCGTCTCTCTTCCTTATATACGTCCCTATCTTCCAGGGCAAAGACAGCATCCCCGTTTAGTTGAATTTCAACTCCTATAATTGGAATAAGTTCAACTTGCAAATATTAAGTTTTCTAGTTAAATTTACTTAAATAATCCTAAAATGTTAAGCAGAACAATTTCTTTTTATTTTGAAATATAAATTTCTTAACTAACGCTTAGCGAGAAAGTTCTCCGAGGCATCTAATACGACTTTTCCAACCAATTTTTCCGTAGTTTTATAAACTGGATACTCCTTTTCTAAACAAACAGTTAGTCTGCACGCCATCAGCGCAAATGTGCAGGTCTAAATTATGTAATTTACGTACGTTTTGCGTGTGGCGCTCTCTATAAGAGTTTTTTATTTCTAGAAACGCTTGATGGTGATTATATATTTAAAAAAAATGTATATTTATTCAATAAGCTATTTAGTTAAGATTTATATTTGCTGGATTTCTATTAAGTAAAACAGAGTTGTAAATATTTTTATTCTCCTTTAGAAATCTCAGACTTTCCAAAAGATTGAGCCTCCCGCTTTTAAAGAGACCCTAAATGGGAATCGACTACCGGAAACTTCAACTTCTGCAACATCCAAGTTTTTTCCAGAAAGTAGAGTTAGAGTAATTCTAGATCCGTCGCGGCTTACTGTTCCAATGCTACCCGGTAGTAGAAACGGAAGTGTGTACGGTGAATTGACAGACGGATCAAAACGCAGAAAAGATTTAGATGGGGTTAGGTCTGTCTGTTGTCTAGATAATGCAAATATGAGATGCCACGATGACATGAAATAACCATAATGCGAAGTAATATAAGGTTGGCCTTCAGCTCCATATCCCAAGCCACCCATGATCCCTGCCACGTTCCATTGATCGTTGAGTACTGAACGCCATCTGTCAAGTGATTTTTTTGCGACAAGTAGCGCCTCCTGCGGATTGGCTTTAAGATGAATCTTAATAGTTGCCCAATTTGGGTTACCCATCATCCAAACAGCGTTATCTTGAGGAGGGCCCGGATATTTGTATCTTCGTGTTTGTACAAGCATCCCATACGGAGAGTCATTATATCTTAACTCCGCATCCATATGAGTATTCAACTTTTTCTCATCAACGAGAGGGCCGAGTCCTAAAGAGAAAGCTAAAACTTGAGCGTAAAAAGTATCTGTCATAAGAGCACCGACTGTGTGCAATTCACCAGAAGAAGATATGGACCCATATGAGTTGTAATAATTCATTGTAGAATTCCACAAGTACTTATCCATTCCTACAACACCCTTTTCATAAGCTTGTTTATACTTTAACGCTCTAGGTGTATCAGACATTGCTCTAGCTAAATGTTCAGCAACTTTCATAGCTAGAAGATGAAAAGCGGAATTATAAGCTGAAAATGTGTAAGCATTCAAAGCAAGAATATCGTATGTGTTTTGTAGGTTAATGGGTATGCCATAGGAGCCTGTCGTATTAATATGCCAGTCGGCAGCCTTTATGATCACTGGGTACATTTCTTTTAACAAGTCGACGTCACCACCCCATTGATACATTTCCAGAATGTAAACCATGAGCATAGAAGAAACATCAGACATTTTTCTGCCACAAGGTGTATCGATCTCAGAAGTTGGACCTCCAGCATTGCAGCGAAGTTGCTCAGGGATCATTCCATTGGCTTGTTGAGATTTTGCCCACGCTCGTATCTTATTTTTTGTAGATTCAGGATACATCGTAATATAAGGAATATGTCTCTCTCCGTCATTATGCACAGAGTCTACAAATGTCAGAATACCATACATAAAATATACATTTATATAAACAACATAATCTATTAATTCTACCTTACCAATATTAACGCAATCAGTTGCTTCCCATTGTCTCCATCTGCCATCTTTAAACCAAATGGCAGTACGGATATGACTCAGACTATTGACAAACAAGTCTGATAACCAGCTAGGTAAAGTTGAATCTAAGAATGTTTTGTGAATACCGGAAATACTAGCAGCTAAAGAAGGTAAACTATCTCTCATTTCCTTAGCTACATGAAGTGAATCACTGAAGAGATTCTGATAATAGTTTCCATAAATTTTATTTACAAAATCTCGATGGGGGTAATACCAAGATATAATAAAAGTTACCAGCTTCTTCTCACCAGGTTTTAATAGAGTATTCATCATGATAGCTCCATGTGAGTGTTGGATATCTGATCTAGAAAAGCTACCGTCTCTCTCGAACATTTCCCAGAGATGTTGTAGATGTCTGAAACTTCCATAAGAAAATTGTACTCCTGTATCTTTTACTCCACATAAGGAAAAATTTCCATTTGGTCCCATATTTCCAGGCCTAACCAAACTTACGCAGTCCATATTTTGGTCAACAGAATCGATTTGCCAAGAACCTTTTAAACCAGAACTGGCATCCTCGTTGAATGTATTTAAATTTACCGTGTTATAGATCTTACACTGTTTTGTACTTTTATAAAAGGTCCATGTTGAGCAATCATTGCTTCTTTGACATTCATCAGAGCAGCTAACATCATCTGATAAATTAGTTATTATTCTAACTGGTTTAGCTGTAACAGGAGGGCCTCCTTGACCATTTTGGGAGCTGGTTCTTTCATAACCTTTTTCAATGTCAATTGGCATGTTCAGGAGTAAGTCAATAGAAATACTATTGCTTGTTGGATTTTCTAAGTTAAATGTAAAACTAATAGCTGGTTTTGCTGAAGACTCCATATCATTCACAAAATAAGAAGAATAGGCCAATAATTCTGTATTAACACTTAAGCGTGTGTCTTGAATTTTCAAACGACTTACTGGAAATTCACCACCGTATTCAATTGCTTGAACTCCTGGAATACCTTCTGGAGGGCCTGTTCGGATGGAAAAAGCTCTACTACTAGGTCTTTTCATTTCATTAACACCGTTAATCGATTTCAGTTTTATGTTATTGCTGATTGTTTCTCTGATGGCGAAAAAAGCATCATCAAAGACTTGAAATTTTCCCGCTCCAGCCGGACTCTGATTTACAATTGTCCACTCGTGAAAAGTTCCATCAGCTCTTAATTCTATGACACCAGTTGAAATTCCTAAGTAGAAAAAAGAGAAGGAAATTATCTTTAGAGCTCAGAAAAGACTAAAGAACCTACCTCCTAAAGGCACTGAACTTCTTATCCCACTTGGTGGAGGAATCAATTCACCATTTTTTTCTTGAAATAAATAATTGAACTTTTTATAGTTGGCCCAATTCTGTTGAATAGTTGTTACATTCTGTGATTCAAGATACGAGCATGGTAATTGTTTCCATTGATAAACATCTCCTGCTTTCGATATACCAGAATTTGCAAATTCCAAATTTAACAGTTGAGAAAGGTCACAAGTTCCCTTTGAAATAAACCAAATAAACAGAAATATTATTTTAGTGGACATTATTATCATTAGAACATTTCAAGTTATCGGAACGAAGTGTACTTCATTATCAATGGGAGTTGATGAGGCGTGTCCGCAAAATGAGATAAAAACACAAATTTTTTTCAGCCAATAAATTGATTTTTGTATGTCTGGATAATAGAATAAATTCCGAAAAAACTAAGGTTGTTTTTGTGTAGAAATTACCGTAACGGTCGAAAAGTAACCTTAATTTAATCAGGTTAATAGGTTAGAACAATAGATTGATTAAAATAAACTTTGGCCAGACAATTTTTAGTAATACGTTGAAATGGCAGTATCGTTTGCCCTGTCAACCATACAGATTGATAAAATATTCTTTGTCTTTCCACATGCACTTAAAATAAATTATAGAGATCTATAAACAAAAGATTTTCTGCAACGAAGAAAGTCTATAAATCTCTTTCATCTCATCTAGACGAAGAGATCAAGAAATGTTCAATGTTTATAAATACCCATTCCTCACTTATACTTTTATCAATCTATAATAAATATTCTTTTATGTAATGTACCGCATCATAGGCAAACATTTTGAACTTTGGTAGTTAAGTTTTCATATGTATACAATTAACCTGACTAAGACTAAGGTATGTATAATAAAATCATAAAACTACCGATTTATAAGATGCATTCAATACTCGTGAACTCAATAGATTTATGATTTGCAAACACAGCTAATTTTCACTTTCTTTCAAACATTAATAATTTACTTAGTAAACGATAGTTACATTAAGTTTGATAATAGATAGATTGCCATCTTTCAAGTAAGTAGCAAATAAATGATTTAGATATTTACTTGGTAAATATAAGTGCGTAGTACCCAAAAAAAAGTCAAAAGCGTTCAAGACTATTGAAACTTTCTTTTTAATTGTTCAACTATTTGTTATAGTTAATTATTTACATTAACAATTACTTAAGTAATAGAGTATCATACTATATCCTTAATTTATGTCTTAATTTTTGCGCTGTAAGCAAATTATTCAATTATGAAAAGGTAAATAACCGAACTAATCAAATAGAATTAATAACTTATTTTCCATAGGTAGGTAGGAACAAAAAGTGATGATGGTTCTTTACGAACCTTTCGTGCACTTAATATGAAGGAAAAAAATAACCCATCAATTACTGAGTAACCTTAAAAAACTAATACTCAATAGATATATAATGATATAGTCACAAACGGAAGAGGTTGATTCTAGATAATTATTTATAGAAAATAAAACTTTGAAACTGTTCCAATTAAATCGCATAGTCTATTTTTATAATGTATTATACAGAGATTATCCTGAATTTAGCAATATTATGAGCCATAAACGTCTACAAAAATTATATTAACAAAAAGTAGACATTACAGTAAAAATAAGTATAGAAACTAGACTACTCCAAATAGCTTAATATCTAATTGTTCTTCTCTTCTTTATCGCTAGCTAATACTCTCTCCGATAGGATAGGCTGTCTCTTATGGAAGAACAATAACTCTATAACATACTATTAAATACAATGACACTAAATTAAATATAATTATATAATTTAACATATAAATTATGTATTTGTACAAAATAAGCATGATGTGTTTTCGTTGTTTCATTATATAGTATCAACTTTTCATTTTAAACAAAACTTTATGAATTCCACTGTTGTCGTCATATTTTATACGAAATTTTATTATAAAATAGTTAAGACCTTGACTTATATTCATCAAGAAATGAAGCTACCCGTGATACATATGATCTATTTTTATCAGATCACTTTTAATTGAAACTAGTCACGCTCTCCCCTCCACTTGATAACTTTAAAGAGGTATAAGGTTATAGGAGAATTATAAGAAACAAACTGATATATAATGGTTAACTATAAGCATTGTACAATTATTTGCATTATTTTCAACATAGTTGAAGAACTATTCATATACATTTTAAATATTTCTAATTCAAAAGGCTTTTGTAAAATTTTGAATCAAAAAATTGCAAAGACTTGTAAAAATTAATTAACGTAAACTAAATCTTGATTATTTATAAAGGAAGAAGTTATTTGTGATTGAATTTGAAAGGATTAAATTATTAACAACAGTATTTTATAGGTGGAAAAACCTATGAAAATTGAATGTCTTGCCTAAGTATATTCAACATAAAAATAAATGAACAATGCAATTTTTGAGTAAATAATTTAGTTTATAAATCTTGAATTGAAGCTATAGATTTTGGATATGTAAATATTCAAAACCATCTCGATATGTAAGTGTATAGTCTGTTGATTATAAGAACGGTACTTTGTAAAAATTTCCTCTTTTACTGCGTAGGCAATATCTTTATAAATATATATAAATAACTGAGAAAATATGAGTGCTCAAGTCTAATATATTTAAGCAAATATTTTAGAATTTTTTCTATCTATTACACTTTCTATATTTAACTTGCCTTTTATAAAATTTTAATACGAAGGAACAAACTTTTTACCTATGTTTATTATTATCTTAATTATCGATTTCTTACATCCTGTTAAACATTACATTTGCTAAACCATTAAGGTCGACTTTCACCGTTTCTGTTTGCTTCTTTCTCTTGAACACTTATTTAATCATTTACTTATAGGAAAGTTATTTTATCGCATTACCTCTTTCGTTGTAAAGAATAGTTGTTCTAATCTATTCTGACAAAATATGCATATGAATGAATAAGTATATACACTGTATATACAATATATATATACTTCCGCTACTTCCGTCACCTACAAAATAGCTTTATTAATATTGAATTAGCCTAAAGAATTGGTGATTTATATCTTTATTGGATATTATATATCAATATCAACCTTCATACATTTATACATTTGTATAAATTAATTTTTTATCTCAATGAATTCCCTTTGTTGAGTGATTCATAAGTTTATTATTTCATTTTTTATATATTTTATGCTAAAATAGAGCAAAAATGAAAACTATCGTTTATTTTATATCAGAAACAAAAGATGAAAACATTTTAGTGTCTTCTTACAGCACCAAACTTTGCTATTCTTCTATGCTTCCTTAAATGTATTACTCAGATTTTTTACAATATCTTATCCACATCGTACATTCTCTTTCATTTAATTTTTTCAACTTAGCATCCGGGTGCTTACCGAAACAATAACATTTGAAGATACCGTTAGATGTTTCGGTTAACAAACTACTTTGAGCATTCTTTGACGTACAATAGGCAGACATAATTGTGATTTTCTGTAGATCCTATTCAAAGAGTAGAAAATTAGATAAAAAAAAACTAAAATTTATACTGTAAATAAAAAACTAGTAATATAGAATATAGAATTCTACAAAACCTCCTTAGAAATGGGACAATAAGGAACATCCCTATTTTTGCAAGGATACATTGAAGGAGTATATGTGAATGAACGATCGAATGAAGAAGAATGCGTCATATTGTACACTTTACAATCGAAATTTTCTTTAATTTTCTAAAATAAAAATATAAAACGTTAAGTTTAATTATGATTAAATAGAATATTAATTACTTTTATTTCTCTGTCAAATACTGTTCCGTTCACAGTAGTTTGAATTTGACTTTTTATAGTTCTCATATCTTCCCTAAGGTACATTTCATTATCTGTCTGACGTTCGTACTTTTTCTCCTAAGTTGTTATAAAAATGGATTAATTCAATTCATCTCCTTAAAGTTATGTATATAATTACTAGTTTATCTATACCATCCTTCAATTTTATGTTTTCTTGTTCAAGACTCTGTAGGCGGATTTCTAATTGTTCTTTGACTTTTTTCCATTCCTTAAACTCTTCTAACCACTTTGCCGATGAATTATCGCTCAGAACAAAATTTGGTGTTGACGTTCTTGTACTAGATTCCTTAAGATCTTTTACGTCTCCAACAGTAATAATCGAAAGAATTAAGGCACAAGTCGATACGAGGAAAAGCTATAAATAATTATAATCTTACTATAAATGTGCTTATTTTTAGAAAATATAATATATACAATAATTAATACAAAAGTTAACAATCCAGGATAAACTGTAGATTTTGGGATACTCTTCTTAATGTAGTCAGTTTCGTCAGCTTGATACACTGGATTGACTTTAACTCTATTGATATTAAATGCGTTAAAATAATATAAAATTACAATCAAAAGTTTTTATATTTAAAGTTGTTACCTTTCGTTCTTCATTTCTCTTGTAACTGGATTCTCCCTATCGAAACAAAGATGTAAAGTTGAAGTTCAAAGACCGAGAGTAATTTTAGTAGGAAAAAACATAGATAAAGATTGATAACATTCATCACTTTGTTCTTGTGAAATTGTATAAAATCTTACTTGAAACTCTCGTAAACTGCTTTCTCATATACATGCTCATCTTTACGAATATCCATAACGGATTTTAGTGCAGTTTCCTCTTCATTCTTACGATGATTAAGTGTGTAATGTTTGTCTGAGTTTAAGAAAACAAAATTTATAAATCTTAGGGCAATGAAAATAGACCGTTATCTAAAGATATTTCTAGCTATAGCTGTATATCTTATCTTTCTCATCAAATTAAGAGCATTGAGCAATGATCTAAAAAAAGATTTGTATAAACATATATATATATACTGTATATATTATATAGAGGAAGTTTACATATATATATATATATATATATATACAAAATCTAGTCTCTATGTTGATGTATATACTGTATATATATATATATATCATACGTTTATTACAATGTGAATACATATTGATCACTATGCGTTGTATATTAAACGAATGTTTATACACCATCATATATAAATATTATATTATACGCAAATTTAGTTCATCCAAGCAATACTTACGGATTATCCGTTAAGAAATAAAGATTAAGTATTTTTCGACCGCTTTAGGCCAATGAGGCTATCTAATACTAATCGAATACTTTTAAACAATAGGAAAGAAAGTACTTCGTATTCCCGTTTCCTATTCGATATATGCTATGCAGTTTAGAGTATGTACGGGATACGTACAGTGCAAAGTCGTAATTTGCTGAGATGTAGGCCTTTTGAAGAGGCCGCCTGCATCAGTCATGGCATTTTATATAGGATGAGTCAAGTATTCGTACCTGAGAAACTCTCTGGGTTGTTTGTAATGCAGAGCTATCCTAAGGCGAAAAAACTGCTGATAAAACTAGTTAAGCAGTTATGGCTTAACTATGACTCAACTCAACAACCTAAAAATCAAGATACTTAGGCCTACACTGAAAAGGAAAGATAAAATAACGACACAAACAATGAATAAATAGGATATACAGAGTACATTTATAGATTTATAGTTGTATTAGTACGTTTATAATAATTGCTATATGTACAGCTCCCGTCCTATGTATAATGTACATAAATATTCAGTATTCATGGGGTAAACAAGCAAATAATAATTCTCGAATATGGTGAACAGCTTAGGTTAATAAGTGAATTTCTCTCTGTATTCCCCTTGCTCACCCTTAAAAGTTGACTGCATAATTTCTAAACCAGTCATAGTGAATTTAGAAAGATAGCTATTTAAATTCAAAAAAAATTGATTACGTCGTCTAAGGACGTCGAAACAGTTTTCATCTATGTCTCTTTTAATTTGTTACTTTTAATACACTTTCTACTATATAAAAGAGATACCGTATATTTAAATGGTATACAGTTATTATACATCTATTTACCTCTTGTATCATATCCAGGAGAAAATTGATCAGAATGAGAATATACACTACTAGACGTATAGCCTGCACTCAAACTACTAGGCTCCAAATATCCTTCGGTTTTATACATTTCCTCCTTTCAATTTCAAGTTTACAAGATTATGGCCGATCTTTGAAGGATTGTACCAAATGTGAAAATATCTTTATAAATCTATATTATTAATGTAAAAATTGCGTTAAAATCCATTAAAAAGGCTTTTCGCGCCTAATAATTTTGTAAACAAATTGATTAATACACATCAATTAATATTAGAGAAACTATCGTCATAGATAATAGATATATCTCGTAAAATCTGAGTAAAATATTAATTTTCTGCTGAGCTATTAGAAATTTTCTGCAAAGTTCCTGTTGAGAAAACGTATTGAAATTGCCATATATAATATAGAAAGTAAATCGATATTGAAATAGATGGCGCTGCCAAAATAGACCATTTAATTTTACTTTTGTTATTAAAATTTTTATTATCGCTTTAGAGTAAGAGAATAGACCTAATCTTGTGACGCTTATACAAATATGTTTCTTATAGTATATAATAGTATAAGAAGCTAAAAATAGAATAGTTCCTTGATGCAATATTAATAAATATGTATTATTATAAATATCTCTATATCAATTGATGAAATATATGTTAATGCAACTGAATTAGACGAAAACTGAGATAATGGAAATATCGGATAAGTTAAAATGAAATATTAGACCAAGAAAAAGGTTACTAATCCATGTGAAAAAGAGTAGGAGATTAATTGGCCATTATCATCCTACAACTAAACCTCCTCGAAAGTCGAGTAACGGGGTACCCTTAATCTGTACAGCAATAAAAACGTTCTAATATATTAGATTCTTATGCGTAAGCACTCTCGATAGTAAATCGACTTATGAATACGACATTTTGACGTTTATTTCATTCTACATCCCCTCCGCCTACTCCTCCCACTACTTTACCTTCCACTGCAAGTCTCCTTTGAACTTCTATCATCGGTCTATTTTTTCTCATTAAATACTGCCAAACACTTAAATATTTCACTGGCTAAATTTGTGAGATTTGATAAAAAAAGAGGAGTACTTTTACATGAAGGTGACGTGAATGATTGAATATAATTAACGAGTACAGAATCACGTATTCGTTTATGATCGTCATGCGATAAGTTCTCTTAATAAGGAATTGGTAAGCGAAATAAATAAGAGATATATGAGACCATATGCCTATTTGTTTGTACAAACTGCCTTGTAATATATCTAATAATGAATTCGTTTAAGGAAATAGTTTGGTGTAATACTGAATTGATTCTTTTGTCCTCCTTTCTATCCCTTCTTTATTAGGTAAAGCTTACAGAATGTATACTAATAAGTATATTTGATTGATTGCTTATCAACATTAATGTGGCATAAATAAAGGAAACTAGAACATGTTCAGCCTAAGTAATTGACTTTCTTTTTCTTCTCCTTTTTACTTCTTATAACTATAAATATTTAGTTGTAAAGTTAGCAGGTAAACCCGACAAATTACTAGTACACACTTAACATGTTATTTAAATATGATTAATGAATAATTCATGATCATACAGGATCTGTAGTGGTTACTTTTGTGATCACGTGATGTGACGTCATTACAAGCCCACGACTAAGGAATATGCTATATGCCTTAAATAATGACTTTAGAAACTTGCGTCTAATCACGAGGATAAAAACATTTCCGGAACTTTCTACATTCCAAATATTCCAGTAGCAATTGAGAGTTACAACACGTAAGTATAATTATTACTTTATTATATTTTATAGTTTGTAGTTTACTGAAAGAAGTCTTTATTTTGATATTTTGTTGCCTTTTTTGTGTGTTTGTTTGTTTCCTTATCACTTAATTCTTTTGTTATTCTTTCATTTCCACTTTGTAAATATTGAAAAAAATAGCTTTCGTAGAGTCAGCATAAATATGAACGATTTTCAAAATATTTGGACATTCACTACTCCATTTACTCTATAATGTATAAGACAAATTTTCCTAATCTACTATTGGTATAGATGGAATACTTGGCAAAATTAAAGCTTTTTTTGCTTAAGTTTATAGTTCGTGACTAAAGGCGTCTCTACGAAAATTCGTAATAAATTTTCTCAAGTATATGACCTACTAGGACAAATATTATTTATTAAATTGAATTTCCATCACTTATATTATGCTCACTCTCTTATGAAATGATGCATATATATTTTGTCATTTAATAGAAACGAAAATCTACAGGATATCCAAACTTTTACTGAAAGAATTTCAACATGAATAGTATACAATTAATTTCCGTACTCTTGCTGTTGGTCACCGTATATCAAATAGAGCAAGCAAACAGCCAAAATTATCACTTTTCCAACGGTTGGCAAGCAGGAAAAAGGAGTACTTTCTTCACTCCAACCAAATTAAATGATGGTGAAAATTCAGAATTTCCTTGCAAAGTACGACCTTCCTTAACGAAACTCATTTCTAAACTGATCGAGGTAATGTATCACTTTTATAACAATTTTATTTATAATATACAAAGATATTGTGATAATTATAATTGAAAATGAGTATGAAAAAATGTTTTATAATAGTAAGATCGTATAATTTATGGCATAAAACAATTGTTTGCCAAACACTCCTTATGAATTCTAATAATAGTATAAAGATATAAAGGAAATATTTTTCGGATGAATATTAATATTCGGATTTGTCAACTAAAAAAAAAAAGATGATTCCAAGTCCTAGTTTTCCGGCCTACCAATATATTAACCCAACAGATTTAGCGAAAAGAAGTGTCTCGAAGCAAGGGTTATTTCTCTTGTTTTTGATGACCTCTTCCATCCAACATTGTAATAGTATTGCATTGATTCCGAACAAAAAGAATGCATAGTAAGACTCTTCTGATTGTTTGATAGGTTCTTAAAAGATATATTGAATTTCTCTTCTATACGTAATAGAAAATCATCAAAAAAGACCTTGATACTGACATTAAAGTAGTAGATTTAACTTGACATTTATAAAGAATAATAAGCACAAACTGTATAACAAAAACATATACATAAACATTCACTATATGTAACGTTTACTGTAAAAATTCTAATTAACTTTGTGTCATAGAAGTTATACCTTTAAATTTTTTCTTAAATAATAAAGGAATTACATTTAATACCTTTGCATCCATAGATTAAATATAAGTCTTTCAATATGCCATGCATTAAAGCTATTTATAATCTGAAATATTCATTAACTAATATTATAGTAAATAATCATAATATTTAGATTATCAATTTCACATAGATTTCAAAAGTACAAAAGTCTTAATCTACAATCCGACGAGAGTTATATTATACCTCTATATCCATCGTCAAAGTGCAGAATAATCAATTTAGACCTGCTGCATCACACCAAGTCCACTAAATCCTGTCTGATCTTCTGAAGTTGGATATACTTTTGTATATTCATGGAAAATATATTTATATTAGGATTTAATTAACGTATTATTTAGGATTACCCATAATCATTTTCACCCAAAGTACTCACAAGCCGTTATTTCAGCAACTCAATTCTATTCTTTTAAAATGCCAACTTTGTTTAATTCTTGTAAGGTCAATGTACATAAAGCTATTATTAAATATACTACCAATAATGAATTTGACTCCTAACAATAATACAAATTACTTTCACCTCTTACTTTTAACAGATGGAAACACGAAGAATAATGAGGGAATGCTATAAAACTTCCTACTATAACGTGATGTCATCTCTGAAGGATAAATAAGAAAGTTTGTCATTATTAACACTTAACAATTTTATTTCCTTTTATTCCTTATCTCTTTGAACTTATCCTTATTAATGGTTACTTTTAATATTTCCCAACAGAATATCCATAAGATTATTCCTGCTGGAGGACAGTAAAAAGTATTTGAGAAATAGAGGTGAACATTTCAACGTTTAGTTCTCTCCTTTAAAAGAAAATTGATGAGCAAATTCTGTTTTTATTTGTCAGTCGTGTTTTTTTTTGATCTATTTTAATTTTATTAGTTTCACAATTAGTTTAAATATATTCGTGTTAAATCAATTATGAAAAAACAAAACATAACAAAAGCAATATTTTGTAAACTTTTGCAGTTGTTTTTTAAATTTCACGGGAGATGGCGCTTACAGATATTTTTTTTTACACTTTTACTTTTACTTGGGGATAGACAAAATCTCTCCGGTCCGTCAATTATAAATGAAACGAGTTAGAAAATTTCCAGCTTATCCCATTTTGGCTCGTCTTTTCTGCTCATTATATATATTATAAATTTCATATATTTTAAATAATTAAGAGGCTTTATATCTTTCACTAGAAGATTACAAATGAAATTCTAATTGATATAAAGATGATAAAAATGTCCCAAAATTAGCACTTTTACTTAATTATAAGTCGTCTTAATAATATACTTCTTTCAGAATTTTTACAAGACCATATAAATTAAAGAAAAGAAAATGAGGGATGAATTAGGAAGAGAATTTTTAAGCCTTTTAAAATTAAAACCAAATGATTTAATAATATTTCTTTTATACTAATTAAAAAGGAAACAATCAATGAATATCTATTATTCTGTTTAAAAAGTTAATTGTATTTTTTGATTCATTAATTACAACAAAGTTATAATAGTTTTAGATTTTAACGAAGTTCAAGTCAGCAATTTAGATAGACCTACAGGACAAATTTTAACGTGAACAATGCTTTTTTTTTGTGTAGACAATAGCGTTCACTATCTTGTTTAATATGTTTAGTATTACAGAATAAAGAGTAATGTAACTTTTAGTTTTAGTGTACGGGCAACAGATGGTATTCTGTTTGATATCATTAACATTAAATTGTAAACTGCGCCATCTAGTGGCTCCAACGAAAAGTACATCAAGAGGGAGTCCGTTTCAAGTAGTTTGAAATATTTGCTTATCGATAAATTCAAACGAGACTTTAAAAGATACTTTCGTACCATTATTAAACTTTTACTTAAAAGAATCTCTTAAAACGTAAATCACGAGAAGTTGGTCATTAAATAGTTAAAAAAAATTCACGAATATTAAGTATCTCTTGCCGGAGTTTAAGGCGAAAAAGAATAAATAAATAAGAAAAGAATTGTAACAAATCAATAAAAAGTTAAATACTAAAGCAAAGTAATAGATAGGTATTGTGCAATTTTTTAAAGTTTGTAATATGCAACGTACATCAATCTATATGTTATACAGGCAATATAAATCTTAAAACTATCAATTATTTTTAACAGATTTTCAAAAAAGCACATAGACTCAGCACGTGAATTAACGTCTGTTCTAAAACTTTTAGGATGTACCGTGATGAACCTGCTGAGAACGTTTCTGCAACAAAAGCTGTCTCAAAGAATTTGCTTCCTCCCTTAGAGTCGCAACTTGTGCCCTTAGTATCGCATTTTCCTTCTCCAAAAAACTTGCTCGTATTGCGATCTCGTCTTCTCGTGCTTTCCTTGCTTCTCGACTCTTTTTTGCAGCCTGGTTATTTCTCTTTCGACGCTCGAAATATTTATCGTCCTTCAAATCCTCTGGTACGGATTTCTTTTCTGACCGAGGACGATTCGGTCTACCTGAAGTGAGAGCTAAAGCGTGAGCTAATGCAGGTGACTGACCTGTTTCGAACAAATCAATAGATAAACTTAGGCGCAACTAAGTTCCTTATCTAATTATATTTTTTAAAGCCATCTTGCTGTAAATTCCAGGATGTTTACAGCTTTTTCTAAGAAATTGAATTATAAAAAAAATATAAAAGTAGGTCCGCTCAGTGAGTTTAAGCGCTATGCGGGAATGTAGTAAGATAAGCTATAGAATTATACAAAGTATAAAAAAAACAACCGCAACCCTTTAATAAACAAGTTTTCGTACGATCTGTAGAAATACGAGACTGTCTAGACAGCATCTTTTAATCACCTTATAAATTAGCGCCTATAGAAACAATATGGTATACGTATTTGTCGCATTAAAGCTGAAACGTACGATTGGCAAAGGGACTACTTATTAAGCGAGTTGAAGAAGTGATAGTTCGTTATAGCTTTAACAAAACATTAGGCGTTCCTCATCAGACACATTAAAGGACTCGTTCTTTTAGTATCCTTCTTCACTAGTCATTAACACTGCCGATTGGCTGATGGCTTCTTAGTTTACAAGCTTTTTGTTTGATTATTACACGTCTCTCTACCCCCGTCTCGCTTTTACTTATTATTTATATGTACTCCTATTAGTACCTGCAGCAATTTGTAGGGAATTAACGACTGGAGTCGTCGGCGCTTCTAGAGTCTTCATTCCAAAGGTTGGGCGACCCAGTGACTTTTCGCACAATTGCCTAGGTATACTATCGAGGCACGGTTCTTTCTTCGATCCTATATTTAAAGAAAGGATCTTTAAGTAAGGGAAGGGAAATGGATGATTTAGTAGGAAGGAGCACTAACACCATTGGCGCACTTTTTTTTTCATTGTAACAACAAATTTTTAGGTTTACGTAACAACTTATATATTTACCTAACAGAATTGAAACGCAGTCGTCACTTGCTTTAAGGTAATTGTTATAGGAGTATAAGTTGGGAAAGTTTGTCCAGGGGAAAAAAAATGGATTTCTAGTCATGTTTTCTTCAGTACGAATCATAGCGGTCCTGCATTACGGACTCGGCGTCTTATATAGTCATTTTAAATATAGTGACGTCACATGGAATTTATTATAATAAATTCGTTCTTGCGCTTTTTTTCTAAAAGAAGGAATAATATATTTACTAATTAAAACTACCTACACCTGTTCTTCGTATGTACGTTCAGCTGTTTAGGCGTTTTAATACGATTTTTACCTATTAATTTTGCTTAATATGTAGAAACTTTGCCCTTTAATTATTTATCATACTTTGAAAAATGTTACGGTAAATAAGTGTAATATGCATTTTAGTGGGTTTGAAAATATAGTATTTATAGGGTTGGGTAGTTTATCTATATATCATTAATAAAAATAATATTATTAACTAAATAAAGTTGGCGCCACCTATATGTGTTCACAAAGAAAAAAAGAAGGGAAAAATAAGAACCTATATAACTTTCACTCATGGGATCCATGTTGAGACCTGGGTGGATGGCTTCGGGATTTCCATAATCGTTTGAGTAGTAGCCATTTTTTACGTCCGCTTTTAGGGACAAAAAGTTTTGTTATTCCAACTTATTGCAAATTATATAAGTGAGTAGTTACAAACAATTATATAATTAATTCACCTGCAGAATTCGGAGCGGCCGTCGAACTATAGTGATCTTGAGCAGCAGTGTCATAGCCATGACCCCCGAAATAAGCGGAACTTGCATCGGTCATATTCTTCCTTCTTTTCCTTATTTACTAAGTAAAAAGAATAAGAAAGGACTAAACTTCCCTCCTTCTATCTACAATACACTTTGCGTTTTCCCTGTATTAGTTGTCCAATATTCCTATGTTTTTGCTAATTATCTGGAAATATTTACGATCTTCTCCTTACTCCAGTGATTCCTGTGTATATGCAGAAAGAGGAACGAAATATTGATCCTTTATGACCGATAACAGGTCCAAATTTTTTCGCAGAGTCTTCTTAGAAGAGAGCTTTTTACACTGAGAACGAGTACTAACTTTCAGTTGGCATGATTCAACTTGATGTGCATTAGACGCAATGTGCTCCTTTGTTTAGTAGGGGTAGCGGGAGGACATGGAAAACTATTTTTAGCTGCTATTATTCAATCTTTCTAAATATTTACCGACACCGCTCAAGCCTGCAGTACTAAAAACAGTCCGGAACATATCCGATTTGCCATTAATAGGCTACTTTTTAGCAAAAATTTGGGATAGAAATACTTTAATTATCTACCGACACTCCTGCAACGCGAAAGTCGGCTAACCCATGACCCAGATTGTGCAATATTACATAATGGAACGTTGCCAATGTCCAGCTACGGTCAGCTTCGGTGTGTGCTAGTCCTACATGCTTTTTTTTTAATCTCTACGTTGGGTAGTATTGAAAGGTTGATATATTATTATACCTTTTGAAACTAACGAAAAATTACAATTTTACCTTTTATTAGAACTTTTAGCAAATGAATTACGTTGTTTATGCTCGACAAGGAGTATAAAATTTGTAAGAGTATAAAACTCTTTCATAATATTCACTCCCATTTTTTTTCATTTTCATACACAAATCACTTGAGTAGTGATATATATATACTTTACATAGTAATTAATTAATTTTAAGAACTTGTCTAGTCTAAGATCTATTTTAATTATATAGGCTTTGTTTTTTTGTCATTTACCTAAGAATACTTACAAATATGTTTATAGATTACTGTCAATGAAATGCGTATAGTATATGCGAACACTTGGTATTTTTTATTATAACTGAATTACTATTACAATAATGTTACGGAGGTTAAATTGTGTTTTTTATGAACGTAAGAAGTCTTTTCATTACGCGTTTAAGTCGTTTAAAAGGTTTGCGATAAATATTGAAGAGGTAACTCTACTACCTAGGTGTCGCAAAAATTTAATGTCACATGGTGTCGCCACCTATTTACTAATAAATATATTACATAAGTTTTAATTATTATAATAAAGGATAAATTGTGTATATTACAATATGTATTGGTATAAATTCTCATCATGCAATTAAAATAATTAGATGAAATAAGTCAATAGAAACAATTCACATAATTGAGAATATCCGTCTATTCTACTCATTAGATATGAAAATTAGTTAAAGAATCTTTTTACAAGTAATCAATTCAATTTATCTGTTTTTTCAGCCTTTTTCTGACCTTTTACCAAGCTTTTAATATCTCCGTCAACAATTTTATGTAAAGCCTGTACGTATTGACGTAGCTCTTGTTTTGACATATCTTTCATGTCACTATCCACTGATGAGGTCCTGAAAACTGGCTTCTTTTCCAATTCGGGTAAGAAACACGTACTTGGAAAATTTGTCTTTTCCATGAATTTTGGCGTCTTTCCTTCGGAGTCCGAGTAAATCTTTGCTATTTTCCCCATTGCTTTTTCGTTTGTAGCTTCTTCTTTTTCCTTTTCTAACATTTTCTCTTGTTCCTTTTGACTTTGCTTGTATTTTAAAACGAAATTTTGTAGTATCATTTTTGCTCTGGGATTACTTAGCATTTTTTTTATAAATAACTTCATAAATAGCTTTTCTTCCTCTTTGTCATCATTTATATGACTTACTACATTGTATACGACTGTCTTTTCTTCTTCTATTTGACCCCTAATGGCTTGTAATTTGAGAACCTTCTCCTGTTTTTCTTCTTTCTCTTTTCTTAATTTCTCTTCCCGTCGCTGCTCCTCTATCAAACAAATTGCCTCCTTTTCCCTTTTGAGACGAACGGATTCATCCATTTTCAAGAGTACTTTCTTTCTCAAATCTTCCTTAGTCTTATTCCAGCCTTCCGTGTTAGATGTAGGTAAACTTTTCGTTTTGCGTAAGGGTTCTTTAGGTTTGACATGAATGGTTGCGGCTGGATTACTTTTCGTGCTCCTCAGAGAGGATCTCTCTGCACTAAATCTGTCAGTGGGGCTTATCTTTGTACGCCATCTCGGTTGTTTCGGCGACGAAGTTCTTGATTCGTTTTCATAAAAGAAGTCAGACATGATCTCTCTTCTAAAGATTGAATGAGAATGACATAAATATTGTTGTATAAAAACAAGAGTAATCGATAAATTCATTAATATTTTTTATTTTATATCACTTCAAGTTCCGGTTGGTCAATTATGCATAGGGCAAGCAACTCTATGTTTTTTAAAAAAGAGTACATTTTATTAAGGTAGCTCCTTTACTAGCTCTTTGTGGGGTGAAAACATACTGATTAAATATTGACGAGCATTTGCATAGAAAATTTGATCATATATAACTTTACGCCTATAAAAATATTGAATGAACCACTCATACACTAATTATTTAATTCTGACAAATCGAAAAAAATAGTTTTAAATGAGGCCATTCTTCTTTCTTTTCATCAACCTCCTTGCTTACATTCTAATATGCTTATTTTGATCTAATCTTGGTATAGCAAATCTTTGCGGTAGAGTTGTCCAAACTTCAGGTTTCTTAAAAGTTATCTTTTTCTTGGTTATTACAAAAAAGACGGTTATTCCGATTAAAGCCAGAGTTGCTATGGCAATTACACAAAATAAAGCTGTTAATCCGCCGTTACTTGAGTTTCCAGTATCTTCATACCATCTGAGTTCTAGAGTATCTATTTCTTCCGATGTCTTTAAAGCTCTCTTTTTGCGCCTAGACTGTTGTTTTTGAAGTGGCCATGTACAGTTATGCTGCAAAAATAATTACAAAGTAAAAAATTCGGATTAAATAATTGAGAAAGTGCAATACTCACTAATTTACATTTTATTTCTTCTCCTATAAGACAGATTCTTACAGTTGAGTGAAAGAAAACAGAACTACCCTTTGAAAGTTTGAACATTCGTATAAGACCAGTTCTTAGCTGACGAGGATCGTTGTGTGCGACTTTCCACATGTTTTCATTAGTAAATGTTTTTTGGTTCTCGTAAGGGCAACCATTCATAATAAGTGGAACTGTTACCGCTTTAGGATCAGGTTTAGTGAATGAACTAGACGCTGTCATTTCCGTAACAAGAATTGCAGAATAACTTTCCACATCTGTCATTTTTATTATCAAACGAATTTTATCCCCTACTCTAACAGGATACGAAGGATCAATAAGCTTTCCAGTTTGAAATTCGGCTGCAAATTGTAAATTTGGCAATTTCGTTTCCCCTCTGTCATTTCCCGGCACTCTATAAACAAAAACATACTTTAATACGAAACAATTAATATCATATTAAAACTAACGCATGAACTGCAATGCCTTTAAATGTGTTTTGAACATAATTCCTAAATTTGCAATATGTGTTGAAATACAAATCATTTTGTGTATTTATTTTTGAATCCTCAGCTGCAACAATAACATTATCGTAAGTTCTTTCCCCTTTTCCGTCAGTATAGTGATTTGTTCCACAACGACGTCTATTTTCTTCTTTCCAAGATAAGACAAGTGCTATTGAATCTTTATCACATATTGAATCTTTGTCTGCTGGCTTTCCCTTGCATGCTTCATCTTTACCTTTACCTTTAGCATGCAAAACAGAATTTCCAGTTTTAAAATTGAATCGATTTGTTGGCTTGAAACAAATTGTCATTGTGTTAGCGGGAACGGAGCAATAGACGTTCACTGAATAGAATATGAATAATAGAATTTATGAACTAAGCGATTAATTATTAACTTCTTTACCCAATAATTTCTCGCAGTCAACGCCTTGTCTTGAACTTTTACATTTACAGCCGTCTCGTCTGCCGTTTCCGGTTGAACTATAACAAATACCTTCATGCTTTTCACATATACTGCATGTAGGGTCATCGTAATGCGTTATAATTTGACCACAGGTCAGAGTACCATTATGCTGAACATCTATATAACCAGTTTTACATTTACATCTTTTTCCTTGTACGTTGACACCATCAAAGACACAATGGGAATGTCTTACTTTGCATATTGTTATTGAACTACAAGGGTCGTATAGGTCTGCATAGTTTTCTGATAAAGTAATAGTATTAATGGAATATCAATACGAAATAAAGCATATATAATATTCATGAATAAATAAATACATATGGTAGAATTTAATCAATTGATTATTTTTTAAAAGAACTCACTACAAGTATCTCCATCTTTGAACCAGCCTGCTGAACTATCACAAACGCATCTTTTTATTGGCGAAGGACTGTACGTAGTTCTTTCAAGTACTGCTTTCTCAGTGGTAAACTGCTCTGTAATCTGTTTTTCTGTGCTGATTACATTATTCATCGTTGTAGATATCCCGGTTTTATCAGTCGTTTGAGTAGCTCTGGAAGTAAATTCTTTATTGGTTGTTAACTCACTAATAGTTTCGTTTGTCGTTGTTCCCTCTGTGTGATTTTCAGAACCTTCAGTGGTTATAGCCTGGCTATGAGTGTTTTGAGTCGTTATTTCGACAACAGTTGTCGGTTTCACAGCTATTCCCGTAGTCGTTTCATTGATCGTCTCACTTTGCGTTGTCAGCTCATCTGCCTTCGTAGTTGCAATTTTTGTTGTTTCTGAATTGCTTTTAGTGATTCCAGCAGTTGAGATATGCATGGAAGTTGTCTGTCCTTGACCTATTGTTGTAGGAGGAGTATTTCCTTGCGATGTACCAGTTGAAGTATCCATAACCTTGCAGTAGCTATGCTTGGTTTTGCAATCAAGATTAGTTTCACATTGTTTAGGTTCACTAAGGGCCAATTGATCTAAGGGCAAAAACATCACCGGACGATAATTATGAATATTTCTATTAAAAAAAAACAAATAAGAAGCTCAAATCAAATTACCTGCAGAAGTTTTAACAATAAAGACAAGGAGGAAGAAAGTTATAACCGACCTAAATCGGAGACAATGGAATATACTCGCCAACATGCTGTGTGATATAACTTGCATAAATGAACCACTAAATATGTGGGAGAGTGAATTTTTTCAACAGATGTAAAAAAATGATCGAATATACTTTTAAATTGATTTTCTTCTCTTGTTAGTTAAAAATTTCACGTTTATCCAATAAAACAGCTGGTACATTGCAGGTTGTTTTCGTGAGGCGGTTTCATTGCTGACTCATGAGAAATTTGCGGGGGCCTACGATTTAGTTTATATACCTATATTATATACATTCAGTATATTGCAATAGACAAACTCATAGCTCATAAACACATTAGATTTTTGACACACCTGTCACATATTTTTTTGAATACAGTCATTTTTTACCTGGATTCTAAAATGATAACTTAGCAATAATCAAGTAGCATCGAATGATGTTTTTTCCTGACAAATACCGTTTATGTAATTATTGCTTTTAGCCTATTTTTTTCTATATACTTTCTCACTATCTGTTATCTAAATAAAAATTGAAATGTAGAGAGAGGGTTATGTTTAAAATTGATAAATATTTGTTACTAAATATATGGGTTTGCATATCGATTATAATTTGATAAATAAAACATTTTCATCCCTTTGAGCTGCTGATGAATAGCGTCGAAAGTTCAAGTTTAATGGTCACAATTGAACATCTGTTCAACTTTAGGCGCCATTTTCGTTTTAACATTACAACTAAAAGTCAATTTCAGATTAATTTTCTTACTCCTTTTGTAGCTAATATATTTTGGCTTTTTATCAAGCATAATTTTTGTTAATTATGAAGTAAAGAATAATGAATAAATTGGACTTAATACTTGAAATTTACACTTATACGGTGATTTTGACTACTGTATCAGGTACGCCATGTTTTCTGTATTTTCTCTTGTATTACAATCTCTAATCTGCATATATTTTACTATAAAACTTTTATTATGAATTTTTCTTTAAGTAAATTAACATTTAGAACAAAAAAACAGCCTTAAATCACGAAAATGTTTTTACTGATTCCACGTGCCAAACCATAGAGGATTGTAAAAAATTTGACCCCCTTAATTATATTGACAGTCTGAACTGTATCGAAGTTGATGGATCATCAAAAAGATGTCTCTGCAAGGAATCAGACAGCTATCATATGCAGAATGGAAGCTGTCAATTTCTACCTGGCATAGGAGAGCACTGCTTAAAAGAAACAAGACGATGTTTAAAGAAACATAGTTCTTGTACAGATTCATCTGATGGATTACATAAATGTATGTGCGATCAAAATACTCTTCACGTTCGAAAAAACGGCGAAGAGTATTGCGCCCAAATGATAACAACCTTTTTAGATGTTAATTGTTTTATTTGCGAAAACAACGAAGGGAAATGCTATGATATAAATGATGATTTATTAAAGGACGGTTGTCTATGCCCGGCGTCCAGATCAGGAGAAAATTGCGAGATAATTCACGGTAGCATATAACACATAATTTATTGAGAATTCCTTTTTACTTATATTTATTTTTAATTTATACAGTCGATGTAAAATGTTGGGTTGATACAATGACAATGAATGTTTGTTATTTTCAACATGATGGTATTAACTTAAGTACGAGTTCCAGAATATATACCAATAATCATGGGGAAGATATAAAGTGTCAAGGACGACCAAATGAGAAATATTGTAAATATAAAGGAGCTTATTTATTGCAATTACCATTAAAAGAAGATCATTGTGGTATGAGAAAAATTATGATGACCGATAGCATAAAATATTCAAGCAAAATCTATGTTCAAAAGTATGATATGCCATCTGTAAATGATATTATATTCGATACATTCTGCGAATTTATAACACAAGTTCGATCGAATTTCCAAGCCGTTGGAGTAATTGAGTAAGATTTTTCTAAACAACTAATTAAAATACTTATGTAATAGATTCACTGTTCATTGTCGTTATCTCTATAACAGACACGCTCGAGGGAGTGTTGGAGTTCACAGTGTACCAAACCTTTCAACATTCATTGAAAATACCATCGGTGAAAGAGTTCCAAGTGATACTTATATGAGAGTTGGAGATTCTGTTAGGTTTATAATCGTCTTGAATAAGAGAGACGCTTATGGGGCAATTAAAGTTCGAAATTGTATAGCTAGCAATTCGTATACTCTGGGAGATGATGACAGTCTAAGTTTGCCATTAATTGCTGAAGGATGTCCCGTAGCGAACCAAAATACATTTAACTCCCTTAATAATTGGAGAAGATATTCTTCTCAGGCTCATATGCTTGAAACTGGAAAGATAAAACTCTTTAAATTTTCGTCGGGAAGTAATTTCTTTCTACATTGTAGAGTTATTTTATGTCTAATGAATGAAATGAATAAATGCAACCCGTCGGTATGTTCAAATTCTACATTATTAAAGTCATCGAAAAGACAGAGGAGAGCCACAGATCAGTTTGCAGAAGATAACGTTGTAATGTCGATTAGATTTAGCTCCGAAAAAGAATTGGAAAGCGTTCAAGATATTCCATCTGACGATAACTATGTCAAATTGAATAGACAAACTTTCGTCAGTGTCATTACAATACTATCAATCCTTATATTCCTACTACTAGCGTCATCTATCGGATTTCTATATCTTTACAGGAGAGAGGTAATTAGAAGAGATGATACAGCCTGCCTTTTCCGAAAGAGTCAAACTGCTCAATTGAAATTAAGGGAATACGACAATGAAGCTGCTGAAAAAGAGGATGAAGCGTATATTTAAAACTGTAAAAGCAAAACGGAAAAGAACAAAAAAAAGTGAGATTATACGACTTCCATTGATAATATTATTTAATTATTTCTAAAATTAGATATTTTAGTTATGTGTGCTATACTCTTTTTTATTTGTTTCTAAATAATACAATTGTAAATGTTTAATACTGAGTTTATAACAAGTATTTAGTAATATTCGAGTAATTTGTTTATAAGAACGATTTTCGGAGTCGCAAACGAAAAAGGGACAGTGATCGTGATGGAGAGTATAATCTGACGCAGATCCTATAATCATTAAATGTAACAGACCCAATTCTCTCGTCACACCCTATGGATTGTTACCATGGTGATTCGTATTCGAAATACAAAGAAGAATTTTTTTCAGTTCTTTTACCATTTAGAAGAAGAAAAACGTGCTGTTTTATCCAAGGTCGTCGCTGTTTCTTAGCTTATCTTATTCAATCACGTAAACAAGATATCTCTTGTCTATTATAAAATTTATGAAAGCGGATAAGCCGAATCTCTCCTTTCCGGTTATCTCACTTTTTCCAACCGTTATTTAAAAATGGATTACGTAACTTACGTAACGCGTAAACAGTCGTACGTGTCTAAAATCGGTCAGAGCATAGGGGTGGTCTGTTCCCTGAACAAATAGAAGCATAGAACCTTATAATTAGAAAAAAGTTGAGGAGCGTTTTAAAACACCTTAGAAATTTTAAAAATTCTTCAAAAATTTGCATAAAGTATTGACATTCATTATATAACATATAATTTGATAAACAGGAGTAAAATATTCAATAAGTACCACTGATAATGCCATTAAATGTAAGATTTTAGCAAAGAATAGTAAAATGGCAGCATATTTTTAGTTCTATGCTCGCCAACAAATATAACTATTGTATTGAAAAAATAAAGCTCAATATTCTCAATGTAAATTTATAGAGAGACAGAGAGACAGAGAAAGGAAGAAAGTAGGAAAAGATAATACAGACATTAAAAACAATTGTTTCTACTATTTTCGAACGAGATAATTGGAGATAAAGAAAAAAAAACATATTTTAAACTTCATTAGTTGTTTCTTTGATTTAAATGCTAAGTAAAAAAAGAGCTGGCTTGAAAGGAAGGAAAACGTAAAAGATAGATAGAAAAGTTCATATGTCTGATTTTGCTCATTATATGTTAATTTTGATTATCTGGTTCTTTTTCATTTTTGCTTCATCTTCGTATTGCACGGTATTTTATATAAAAATATCTATATATACATTTATATATATAATAGATATAGGCTCTAATTTCTTTCTTTTTTTGATAATTTTTCTATATACAACTCTAATAACTGTAATTTGGCTGGAGCTAGATCTTTTAAATAATTCTTTAAAATTGTGTCTCCGACCTTCATATATAGAGCCACTAAAGCAACTACTGCACATTTTCGTACTGATGATTCAGGGCTGTAATAAGCTAATATCACTTTAGAAGCTATTGATGACAGGGCATCCATCGATTGTTCACGACTGGACTTTTCAATGAGGTCCTTTAGAGCATGGAGAGATATAACGTTTAATTCGTGTAAATCGGCGGTAATGCAAGAAGATATAGAAATTAATAGTAAAGGTAGGTCAGACATTTTCATTAAGGTTTTTAAGCATTTATCAGCGACAGTTTTGATCCCTTGTGAATTTTCTGATAGCTTACATTCTAGTATTTTCTTCGTTGTTAAATCTAAATATTTTCCAACTTTTGTTATGTCACTTTGCAAAAGTTCATTAAGAGTTTTTAAAGCAATTTCTTTAAGGTTATCTTCTTCTTCTTTTCCGGAAACAGCATCTAAAATTAATAAAAGTATACTAGAATAAAAGCTGTCCCATTCATCTTCTGGAATAGAACCAGAGGTGGTTACTTTTAGCAAAGCTCTAAAATGGTCCATCCGTTTTCCATTTTCTAGCTCATAGTTGGATAAGTTATGCAATAATTGATCTATGTCTATGTCATTCACGCCATTATCGACAACTGGAGGTGGTGGGGGCGGGAATGGTGAGATAAATCTGGAATTTTTATGCTCATCGCCTGTTGCCCTTTTAACAAATGTTTTTAGGACGGCAGTTGTCTTTTGTCGGAAGGAATGAGGCATCGAAGAAAGAATGCTTTGAAAAGCAGGTGGATTGCAGTCAAATAAAGCTACGATTAATTTACAACTGGCTGTTCTTAATTCGCCACTTTTCGGCTCCGACGTCCACATAATTATCTTTGAGACAGCTAAACGAATTCCATTATCCTTTAACAATTTTTCCATGATTTCACCGTCTATCCTTTTAACTACTTCTATAGCGTAAGTAGAAATAGTCTCTTTAACCTTAAGTGACAAGCTCAATGAGGGTTCAATTATGATCTTTGCCAGACACTGAATTTGCTCACTAGGATCAAACGTATCTCTTATAACTTGCAGGCATTTCCATAGTTTAATTTGCAGGGAACCTAAGACATCAGAACTCCCACCTCTTAATAGTAATCGAACTAACAATATGTATAACCAATTTGACATGTTACTATGAGTAGAAATTAGTTCTGGTATAACATCCAAGAGAGAGGAAAAAAGTTTTGCATGCTGTTCATGAAGTGTACGCACAATACACTCCATTATTTGCTTCAATTCTTCGAAATTCAATTTACGGCCGTTCAATAATAAACTTTTCAGAGATAGCAGACCTTCCCTTTTATCCATCCATAACGAATTATCTAGGTTCTTGATAACGTGTAGAAGATCCTGTTTTTAATAGATATTTAATGGTATTATTAGTGAAAGAGTGTAAATATTATAAAAAGTCTTTATTACTTCAGATCTACTTCCGTGGCTACTAAAAGAAGTGTTTGAATACAAACTAGAGCTTTCGCTGTGAGCGTCATCGCTTTCAGGTTCAAAATTATCTTGAACAAATCTTTTAACTTTCTTTGAAATCATCAAAAAAAAAAATCAAATTCTATAATTCATATAGGAAATAATAGAGAAAACTAGGCCTAAATTGAATAATATATTCAAAATACTAACAAGATTTTTGCAGGTAGCTTGCCTTGGTCTTTGAGGTGTGTCGACTTTTGCTGAATGAGAAATATCTTTGCTTTTACTGTATGTCAAGAAAACACAAAAAGAAAATTTTAATCGATTGAATACAAATTTCTAAAAGTTGTTGAGAACCTTTTTTTTGTTACATAAAAATTCAAAATTTCCACTTTAGATTCGGATAAAACACCTATTTACACTATTTTATTAAACCTATTACTACTAGAAAAGAAAATGATAGGTTCTCCAAAAAATAAACAATTCATTCAAACTTTCCCGCTTCCATTGAATTTAATACATTTCAACATGTTTTATGCTTTTTCATTCTATAGTCTACTAAAATGTTTTAATATCGTAAATCATAAAATTGAAGAACGTTAGGTATTTACACTATCTTGCGCTATATTGTAATATTTGATTAATTTATTATTTAGCTATTGATTTACCTCCTATCAGCGCTTTGTGATCGGGTTCTTATCGAGCTGGCGACCTTTGTAACAACACCATTAATCTTTCCTTGTAACAATTTCTGTTTTGAAAAGTCTAATGATCTCCTTAACTGTTCCGCTTTGTTCGGAAAGTGGTCGGCATACGCCCAAAAACCTCTATATTGGAATATTATTTTTATTAGATTTCTTATTAGATAAATATATATTTATAATATTTATTTACCTTCTGGCGTGTGCTCTTGCGTCCGAATCGGCATCGGACAAGCCAGCTACTATACATTCCTGAATTGCGTCGGCATTCTTTTCCAAATATCTTGTTGACCATTTCGTCAGAACTAGAGCTATGAAATCGTAACCTTCTCGCCGAATGACATTTGACTTTGATTTCAATTGTTTCAACAGGCTTGACAGAACGTTTGAGTTTCGGGAATTCTATTGTGTTGTTTGTTGATTTTTTATCAAAATACTTAATATTTCTCTTATTTCAAAATATTGTAACTTAAATTACCTCTAAAAGGAAACTTATGCAGGTACAAGCAGAACTCGACATTACTTTGACAGCGTTAGGTATTAAGGCAAACAAATAAGAGAGTATAATTTCCGTAAAATGATCAAATTTCGACCGTAACTTTACGGACAAGTATGCAAGAGTGATGCAGGTTTCACGGACTACTTGACTTCTCAAATCTTTTAAAGTAACTTGCATTGAGGGTTCTAAGAGTCGAAGGCAAGAAAAAAATTCATCGTATCTTGTCGCCCCATTAGCAATCAACGACCGGATTTCCTTTAGCTATTTAAAAACAAACATAAGATTTTTTTATATAATTTCATTCGAAGTAGGCTTAATTCCATTCTCTTTTGTTGGTTTTGAACTTAGTTTGATAGTATTTCCAAGTGTTTACTTAATGTAGTGCTCGTAGAACGGATATTTAGATAATATTAACCGAGTTTTTTAAGGTACAAGTAGTAAGGAAACATTACATAGTGTAAAGATGTAAAAATAAAAGAATAGAATGTCGAAGGTGTCGCCATCTTTAAGACCGTTTAGAGAAGTAATATCCCTTGATAGAATCAAATAACAAATGAAAGGTTGGAAGTTCTTTTATACATAAAAAAATACTTATTAAAGTATTTAACAATATGTTTTTTGTGATATATTCAAACTTTTCGGGTGATCTTATAATTATTGTAAATAATATAATAGCATTAACTGTAGAGATTAATTCCTTATATAATTCTCATAATAGTTAAAAAAAGTCGTTATTCCATTGTGTTTAACTTCAATATTTGTAGAGAAATTAGTGCACAAAGTAATTTTACTCTCGTAAAGTTAATAGGCCTATTAAAAAATAAAACAATTTTAATTATATTGGAAGAATTCTAAGCGGCTGATGAAAGCTGTCAGATTGAGTTAAGGTTAAAAATTTGTGAAAAGCCGCCAAAATTTGTATCAAAATCGCTTTATTAAACTCTACAATGTCTTTTAAATGGAACTGAAACCGGAGAAACGTAATAACCCTTTTTTGTGTAAAAGTGTCCTCACTAGCCTAGAAGAGGGGTATTTAAGCCTACTATATGCAGATCTTGCTATAGTTGATTTATCACATGTAAATTTAAATAATTATATACTAACCGTACTACATCGTTTTTCCCAATCAATATGAGGTGATGCTAACGTTAATTTGATTTGGAACATTCTATCTTGCATATCCTTCACGTTAACTATTTTTACAGGTATAAAATCTTCTTCGAAACACTTGAGGAATGCATCTCTATCAATAGAGGACACTGTGGGGCGGTCATTCTTCGTAAAGTTTGAACAGGAAGTTCCACTAAAGCTTGAAGATTTTTTAAGTTTTGTGCTTGCGACCCTTTCTTCATTGTTTGATGTGAAGTTAGAATGGTTTGTGGGGGTTGATGGTACAGAAGAAGACTCTATAAAAAGTGCATATCTTCTTTATTAAAATCTATAAAAAAATTTTTTTTCCGTCGTATCGTATCGAATGTCTCAAGAGACTCTATATTTTTGTCGTCAAACATCGAAGGGACGTTGCATCCTCTTTCAAAGTTTACCGACGCGCCTCGGAGGCGATTAGCGGTTTCGATTGAAATATTTCCTTTTCAATCCAGTGCTCTCTCCCCCCCCCCCCACCTCCTACTTTCCAGCTCCCTTCTCTTATTCCTTTAAACTCGGTAAAAACTTACTGAAATCAATTATAATATCCTTTCTTCCCTTTTCTATCCCTTTTTTGCCTTTTATGCATAGACCAATATAATTTTGTTTATACTTGACTACCATAGTCAAAAACCGCAAAATGAGTAGGCAATTCTAGTCTTTAAAGTTTAGGTTTATGACTATCGCGAAAACAGCCAGGTCTTTCTGATTATTTAAGGAGATAAAAATCGTATTGGGTTGTTGAAGGAATTCTCATAACAATGGAGCGTATTTAGTTTATACACCACATATGTGCCAAGAATGCCAAAAAGGACAGTCAAAATTTACCCTTTATATCCACTGTCATTTACTAGCCTTTCACTTTGTATGCACTGATATATTTTTATATACTTTATATATATATATATATTTATTTATATATCTATATCATACAGTAAGGTATCTCTAAAGTATCGACCGTAGATTTATTTATATATTTCTATCTAACCTCATTCTTTCTGTAGCTGCCCTGTGCCTACCATTAAGAATGACCTTTTTAGAAAAACTCTCTTCAATTACATAATAGTTAAAAAATATATGAATAGCATTAGAAGGAACTTGCTAAAATTAAAAAAAAGAAGGGATAGGAAGAACAGGAAAGTGTTTGTTAAATTTTTACTCCTTCTATAAAATATTTAGCTGCAAAATACAATATACCCTGACGCCAAGTCGTCTTCCACTAACAATCAAATATTTGATTTACGAGCAAAATTTTTACAGAGGCGAGCTAAATAATTATTTCTACTGAGGAAAATAAATATTAATAATCATAGGTATTTTGTTACCTTGTCTCTCCTTTTTAGAATCCCACGCTTGTAATACGGGTAATTTACTGTTTGGCGACCGCCTACTTCTTAGAGATAACCTTTTCCAATTCCTTTGAAGGTTTTCGTCCGATGCTTCAGTATCACTGAATGCCGTGCGATGGGCAGTTGGAGATGTTTCACTGTCGCTATTATTGTTATTGATGTTATTATTATTATTGGCGTTGTTGTAACTGAGTTGTAGAGCTTTCCATTGATTATTCAAAATCTTGCTCCTTGTTATATAATCTTCTTGAGTTAGAGTTGTTTCTGGTTTCGAAATTTTGCTCGTTTCACAATATTGCTTCCATAAGTTCTCTGCTTCAGAAGGTTGATCTGCAACAAACAACATGCTAGCCACATTAGGTGTTTTGCTTTTCTGTTTTTTCTTTCGCCTTGTTCTGGTCAACACTTTTTCAGACCCAGCCGTTGAACGACTCGCTTCACTACTGGCCTCTGAAAGAGACGGCGAAGAAGGCGACTTTGGTGATTTAGGAGGATATTGTTTGGTTAAAAATTCTTTAATAGCATTTTCATCTCTTTCTGGCAGATTGTCTGGATTAATTTCCTTATTATTTATTTGAGCCATTATACCAGGACAATCTTTAGAGAATATTTGAGAAAAATTGTCGAGAGCGGATGGGGTAGGTGACCTCATGGTTTCATTTTTTTTCTTATTCCAGTCAATATTGTCCGCATTATCTGAGTTTGAATATCGATTCGCCAGGCCAGTGCCTGTGGCTACAGAGTCATTCCCTTTGTCATTCGTTTCTTGCTCATTCCAAATAGTGGTCACTGCATTACCTACTGAATTATTCCTTGGCTTTCTCTTCACTTCTTTCCTATGCACATGTTTGGCAGCTTTAGGTGGTTCAAAATTCAGAAAACTAGCCGTTCTATAAGTTTGATCCTCATCGGTATTGTTGTTCATTGAATCTTCTGATTTATGATCGGTTAATAAAGTAACTTTTTCGCCGTCTTTGTTAAACGTGAAGAACTTACCATGCACAACAGGCGATGATGGTTCACTAATACTCCTTGCTCTTTCGTTTCCCGCAAATCCTCTGCGTTTAATAATGGGCGTGATTGGTCTAGAACCATCACTCCTCCTAGTTGGCGGGGCCTCCAATTGCTCTCCCCAGCGTACATGCTTTTCTGAATTATCCATCATAGTTATCTCTTCTTTGGGCTGGGTATCATTTTCTTAAGTAACCATTAGAGTTTTTATAATATTTCGTGTTAGTTAGTCAAATTTAATTATATGATATTAGTTTCAAATGTGCAAAAAGATATCAACGCAGAATTAAATCAGTTGGCCAAATTCCAGGTTTATATAAAACGAAGTCAGAACCGCGGTCAACAATCTGAGCATTCACTTGAATAATGCAGATAGAATGATCGAATTTACGATCAGGGAAGAGAGATAATATTCAAAGGTGAAAGATGGCAAAAAAATATATTTATTTTATCCTTTGAGCTGTTGAAGAATCGGTATTTTGCCTGTCCGGAACACGGTGTTTGATGTTATTCCTTTTAATTAGGTGTACTAAAAATATTTATATATATATCTATATGAAAGTATATATATATATATATTTGTTCAATATATGTTTTAGTTGTTGATAACTTTTAGCAGGCTCTTCTACTGTCCTGTTTATGTTCCGCGTACTCCTAGACCTATCACCTTATCTTGTGCTATCACCTTCCAGAGTATGCTTGACAGTTAACCTTTAAGGTGAAAAACGTTCGATAAAAAACTAGTATCCAACCAAATTTGTTGGTCTTTGTCAGTTTATAAAGTGTTGATTGGAGAACACTGCAACTATTGTTGAATTATTGCACAAATAGCACCGAAAGTTAAATCTTCTCAAATTTCCACGTAAAGGCGGATCGGCGAAGTATGCTTTTAAACAAAGTCAACCAAAAACGTCTCTCGTTCATACTAAAAATGGCTTAAACTACTGTCAACACTGGCAACAATGCTTCATTATATTATAAATAAACCATAGTATTTGAAGACGAAGGCCTTCAACTTCGGCCTAGTGATCGATAGCATCACGTGACATTGCTTAAAGATTATGATTGGTTAATAACAACATTTGCCACTTTGCTTTATATTTTTTTACGTAGATAGTCTGATCAATGAACGCATTCAAGTCTCCCTTGTAGTTGTGCTCAAGGGCGTTGCTCTGTTCGATAAGTCTTCTAGGCCTTCTAAAGAAGTAACTTAATATAAAACTAATGAAACATTTTATTGATAGTAAACAAAATTTCGCAATAGAAAACTTTTAACTGATTTAAAAAAAAATATTTACAAAAAGTTAAAAAGAAAGATAAAAGAAAGATCGGTAAATGTTGAAAGAAATCACGAAAGGAAATTTATAGTTAACGCTAGGCCTAAATCACTCTACCTTATCTTCGTAATCAACTGTCAAAAAGCATTTTTATATATTTTAAGGGCCTGAGCTATATAGAGGAGTTTTTATTAAATAAGAATATTTTTATATTTATTGAAAATAGCTATTTTCTTACTTTAAGAAGCATATAATCTATATACAGTATATGTAATGATATGTATATATATTTATATATATATATTTATACTGTTTATGTATATATATATATATATATATATATATATATATAAACATCTATTTATGTTTTTCAAATTGTCTCTCTTCTTCCGCTGTTCGATCAAAAGAAAATATCATTGGTATATTTGTGAACAGAACAAACTTTCATATCAGTTAGCGAATAAACTAAGCGTATGAACTAATTTATTTTGCACTTGCGCAAACATTTTACGAATTTTTATCGAACCAGCCCTTTTCCTATTATGATCGTGTAAACATGTATAATTTACAATTATATTTCTTTCTATTTTTTATTTCTTTTAATAATTCTTTTTTTTAAAAAAAACCATATACTATAGATAAACTCTTCAGGAATTCAATAGTTAGATATCAACCGCTAAACCGTAGGAACGCCATCTGTCGAGATGAAGCTAATCAATCTTAATGGAGAAAGGACAGTTTTGTAAGTTCTTTTTAGCAATGGAAGAGAAAGTAAATTTTCCCACGGTGCCGATTTGTAAGAATACAAATATTCCCTTTAGAATCACGTATCATTCAACATCCGTAATTTGTTACATCAAGGTTCATCTTCAGAACTGTTCGAACAGTGAATTTTATAAAATCTAAAGAACCATACATCTCTGTCCAGTCGCTTCTGGGAGATGCTCACTGCCCTTGTTTGAAAGAGTAAAAAATGTTTGTAATTTTCGCTTTCTTTTACTTTTGAGTACTACATCCCGCCATCTATCGACAATACAGCATTGCCAATTGTAAATTAGTGATGGTGTTATTTTAACCGAAAATAGAGGGTATCTGTTGCCAGAGTTAGGCCTAAAAGTTTGCGTGAGTTTTGTTGAAAAAACGCCGTGCCGCTAATTGTTTGTCTGTTATGGAACATCAACGAAGGCTATCATCGTCCAATCAGCTCTCGACAAACGCGACACGTGACCCTGTAAAAGATAGTTACTTGATTGTGGCAATCCAGTTGGAAGGCAACGAAATTATAGTGACGCCTTGACAAGTATGTTTGTCAGGTGAATTTCAGCCTTGTTTGAAATATTTTATATCATGACCGAAAATCACAGTTAGAAAATCAACTATAACGGAAAAGAAAAAAAATGGCTTATTGAAAAAGTATTAACATAGGAGCTTGCGAGAAAGAAAGCTATAAACATGGCTAAGATGCTGATAAGTCAAGTAAGGAACTTTCTTCCAACAACTGAGAAGAGCGAAAAAGCTGGATTTGTACAATTCGAAAATGAAGCTACCGAGATGACAAACATATCGAACGGTTCAGCAAAAACTGAGACGCATACGGATGAGGAGAATGTCGAAAAAATATCCGCTTGGCAAGCCGGATGGAATGTCACCAACGCCATACAGGTAATTAAATACGATTAATTTGTTTGCTTGCGACGACAAACGCTCTTTGTATAAGCGAACGCTCGGTGATTTACTTTGAATTGTTAGACGCTTATTAAATCAATTTTCTATGATTGACGAGGCGCGGGCCAGCTGCAATTTTTGGTTGGCGACACACAGCTGCTTATCGACCGATACGGCTAGCGTTCTCTTTCCCCTTCTCCAATCCGCATTGATAAAGCATCGAATTTTCTGCCATTCTTCTTTTCCATTCTGCCGAATACTAGATTTTTTTCTTTTTCTCTTTCTCTTAAGAAAAAAAGAACAATTTTGCCGTCTAGTCACGTGGTCTAGCTAACTTAAAAAAATTAGAACTTAACTAACGAGCCAACGTAGGCGGATTTTTGCACTTAGCAGAGTTTTCTTTTCCTCCCACCATCTTATTCTCCCGTTAAATATATTATGTAGAGGAAATAATTAATCGTAACTCGTATGATTGATTAACGTTATTAGAGTTTATTAGAAGAGCAAAAAGTTTTTACGTGACGTTCAGAGTTCTTAGTGGAAAAATGTGGCTTTTTAAACTGTTGTTAAGTGTAAATACATCAGATATACTTAACACTTATATATATATATATATATATATATCTACCAATGGAAAAGGAATATTTACAAGTTAGATGAAGATGTGCATGACACTATTCATATTACATTTATTAAATATATCTACTTAGGTCTAATGAGAATCCCTTTTACCTAAACTAATGAAATTTGTGCTAACAATAATACAAAAATCCTATGAAACTGTTGAGTTTTAAAAAAGTAATCAACGAAAATGGCCGAAAAAAGTTCAGCTGCCAAAAAGATACATAAAAAAATTTTCTTATAGACTCTCATCTCTTTTTTCCTTCTGTCGTTTTTCCTATACAGGGTATGTTTATAGTGACGTTCCCATATTGCGTTTTAGAAGGTGGTTACTGGGCTATTTTTGCTATGATTGGGGTTGCTTGGATATGTTATTACACTGGTAACATTTTGGTGGAATGCCTCTACGAAACTGATGACATGGGTATGAGAGTAAGAGTAAGGGATTCTTACGTGAGAATAGCCGAAGATGTCTGGGGAAGAAGTATTGGTGGTCGGATTGTTCATACGGCTCTACTCATTGAACTACTAATGACTTGTATTCTCTACGTTTTACTATGTGGTGATCTAATGGTAGGACTTATGCCTAATTCCGATATGAACCTGGCGAGTTGGATTATGCTATCCACGTTCCTTCTAGTACCTTGCGCCTTCCTTCGATCCCTGAGGGCGGTTAGCTGGTTTTCATTTTGGTGTACTGTTGCCCACATGTTCATCAACGCTATTATTATCATTTATTGCCTAACGAAGGCATCGGATTGGAAATTCGCCGACGTCCAAATACGGATTGATATCTGGACTCTTCCAATATCTGTTGGCATTGTTGTGTTCAGTTATACTTCTCAAATTTTTCTACCAAGTTTGGAAGGCAGTTTACATGACCGACGTTTATTTAGACCTATGCTGAAGTGGACTCATATAGCAGCTGCTGTATTCAAGGCACTATTCTCCTACATAGGCTTCGTAACCTGGGGATTTTCGACTAAAGAGGTGATTACGAACAACTTATCGAACGATGCTTTGAAAAGTGTCGTTAATTTGTTCTTAGTGGCCAAAGCATTGCTCTCTTATCCTCTTCCGTACTTCGCCGCAGTGCAGCTGTTGGAAACCGCCCTATTTAAAGGGCGCCCTATTACAGTGTTTCCACCTTGCTATGATTCAAATGCAAACATGACCGTCTGGGCTTTAACTCTTCGAATAGGATTAGTAATTCTAACCATGCTTTTCGCAATATACATACCTCATTTTAACGTTTTAATGGGTCTTATTGGAGCATTTACAGGGAATATGTTGTCATTGGTATGGCCCTGTTGGTTTCACTTAAAATTGAGACAAGGAACTTTAGGTCTTTGGCAAAAGACGAGGAATTACGGAATAATAACGTTCGGTTTAGTCTGTAGTGTACTAGGAATCTACGATTCAGCTCATGGTTTAGTTAGAGCTTTTCAGGGTCACGAGCCAAGACCTTTTCAGGGGGGATAGGAAGATTAGACATCTTGCGACGCGACTCTCCTCTTAAAAATTCCCACCTTAAATGACATAGAATTTATGTTTTAGACTATGTAGAAAGTATAATATTTGTGATAACACCCATAAGTGTTCAAGAAAAAAAAAAAAGATAATTTTGTTTAAACAGCATGAAATCAAAAAGAAATAATTATAAATAAATGGAAAATATAGAAAAAAAAGAAAAAAGGTCCAATATTCTTTTTAGACTTTTGCAATATCTATAGAGCGTATATGACTAGCAAGTGTTAGTGGCTCGCTATAAAACTGTCTCGAGTGCTTTGAGATGGTTGAAAGCTTTCTCGAGGATGATAAGATGCCTCAAATAACGGCTCTTTTCGACGCTTCTATTTAAATACAGGTTATAACGATTTTATCCGGATAAAAAGAATATAAATGTAGTTTGTTGGCCAATGTAAGTACATGTGTGTATATCACATCAACTACTTCTAAAGACTCTTTATGAGTTATACATGTACTCTACCGTCTTTGTATATCAACAAAAGATTTACAAAATTAGAGTGTATGTTTAAAAACAGAGTGATGTAATAAATAAAGAAAAAAATCTTTCTCTCTCTCGTAATAAGTTGCAAACATCTAAAGTCTAGTTAAAATAATCTGTTTCGTAATAGTTTTCGATTAACAGTTACTTTGGAACTATCGTTTGCCAGCAAATCTTTGGGTTTATTATCTATAAAATACTTAAGATTCCATCATTCTGATAGAGTATTATTAGATATTGCTATATTTCTTTTTTTTTTCTCCTTCCTATTTCTTCTACATAACAATTCAATTTATCGAGTTTCGAGTAATACTATGGGCTAATTAAAAATCTAGACCATACTGCACATTTCTTTTCTCTTCACACAGTTGAAATTAAGAACAGTTAGCTATAGGAATTCAATAAATTTAGTAAAGAATTTATCTTGGGTTGTTTATGAGAAGAAATTATGAATAAAGATCTATCATTACAATTAATAAGATATAGAGCTTTTTATAACTTGATAACGAAATTCAATCTCTTTTATATCTTTTCTTGGATTTGAAATGAAATTTTTCGACATTATTGTCTATTTTCATAGAAATAATAAAAATAGAATTCTTATTACGTATGAACAAATTAAAGAGGAAGACAAAGATTTGCAGTAAGCGTTTTTTTTCTGATATAGTTCTTAATTTATTATTTATTATATAATTATTTAATTCTATTTCTAGAATAAACCAAAGAAGGCGTTGTATTACTTCTTTTTTAAATACGATTCTATTAGAAATTCTACCTTATAAAAGTCATCAATCAACCTCATTAGATGAAATATTATCCATAACTTTTCTAATTAGTTTTCAATACATATTGTATTAATCTTTAACGAATATAAAAAGCAATGATTTTGTTGAAAAAGTGTAATTGTTTAGAATTTACTGACGAATTTATTACAATTTGCCTGGAAAAATGATTCTTATTATTTTAAAAGAAAACAATAAAACAATCTTTTTAGTATTGTAGGCACTGTCACATAAAAAAAAAACAAATAATTCTTGCTTCTAGAAAAGCTGATGACGTCTTTTGCATCGTTGATATTCGTCCTTCATCTCTTTCGTTTTCATAGCAAGATATTATATTTGTTGTCTAGAATTAGGAATCTATTTTATATTATTTAAGATTATATACTATTTAAATAAAAGTTTCCTTATCTGCAATTTTCTCTCCCTAGAGGGAAAAGAAAGTAAAAACAAAATCATTTTCTCTTTCCTTTCTTCGACTGTTAAATAAAACTCGGAAGGGAACTATAAGAGTAACAGTTTTCTTTCGACTATTGTTACTTCAATTTACTAATTAAGCATCATTCACAATCTGCATATATTGCTAAAATATGTCAAAAATTATTAATTTTACATTAAAAACAGACGACAACGTTTAGTTAATTTAGAAAATTACGATTTTGAAAATATCAGTCATAATCATTCTAGGAATCGCCATTACGGTAGAAGGATGGATTTAAAATAAATTTGTCTCCAATTTAAGATGACTAAGCAAGCCAATAATTAAAATTGTATTAGTTGCTAATTTTATTTTTATTAAATATTACTGTATCTTAAAAATGAGAGATTTTATTTATAGTAAGTCACTATAAGTTTTTTTGCAGAATCATAAGTATTTGTATGTAGTCAGAGTATAACAGTTTTATAGATTTGTCAAGAATGCCATTTATTCTTATCGAAAATAGTTAAATATTGTAAGGTAGTGCCATCTAGTTGTAGGAACAGAAAATAAAATTCCTCTCCTTCCTAGATATATTTACAATTGTATTTTAGAAATATTTCAGAACTACATAATTAATGTTTCAGTATTTATATCTACTTTTTGAATTATTGATGTGAATAAACTATAAGCGGTACATTATGAATATTGAATGATATTAGAAGGTTAACAAATATTGAGAGGTCAGGGAAAAATTTAATTCTAACGAAACTATAGATTATTAATTGTTAGAAAAAGTTTCTTATTAATTTTCTATTAATGAGGAATATAACACACTAAGTAATACGAATGCTAATTCTTAGATAATAAAAAATAAGGTATGAACTCTTGCTCTAGAAATATAGATCTAGATCAGTTGCCAAGATTCGACATTGAAAAGTAGGAATTTTCCACAACTTGGTTTTTAAATCAATTGTAAATAATCTATTTTAAAGATGAATTGAACATTTTAAAACTTATAAAGTATGTACATAGGCTACCAAAAATATTGGAGAAACGTATTGTTTTCTCTTCTTCTTTCAGTCACGACATATGTGGAGAATTTTTACTTTATTTGTACTTTTATTTTGGGAATGGCGTGACAATATTCTCAATATGCATATAACCTATTTCGCTACATGTCTTGTTATACATGTCCTAGGTGTGTTAAAATTATTTTATCTTATAACACCTTTTAAAGCTTTAAAATAGGATTTAGACGCATCTTTTAGTATTTTCATCTCGTACAAAGAACATTTCCTACTTTTTTTTCTATTGTAATTAATTTCTTAGTTTATAGTAAACTTTACAACAATTGTTTTAATAATGTAAAACATTTATTTTGAAGCGGAAATAGACTGGAAAGCATTACTTTATTGTAAAGAGCGAAATTAAATATTAGATTAGATATACAAGTTTTTCATATAAGATTCCTTGTTTCTGGAAGATGTCGTTGATCGTCCTTCAAAGCATTCCACATCTCACATTTATGCATCTCAAAAATTGGGATAATCTATCACGATTAAGTTTGGCTGGAAAAAATATTAAAGATTAAATATTTCAAGTTTCTTGTCTTAGATATATTATTACCTGGTCCATATGCCATACTTGCTTGTAAGTTACAAGTATTGTGATTGGGTCCAGTTTGTTGTTGTGATCCATAAGTTTGGTCTGAGAGAAAGAAAAAACTACTTTCACAAATATTAAAAGAAACTGATTATAAGTTACCAGGTGCTGGATTGTTTTGACAGTTTACATCTGAAGAAAAGTTCAAAATAATGTTAATAAGCTGTTTAATAAGATACTTTAACAATACTGACAAATTATAAAAGTGCAGACAAGAATTATTGCCAACGATTTCATTCTTATTTTTGCTCCGATGTACTTTTGGTGGAGAAAAACTAGATATTAAGCAACTGACCTAAAAATTTATACTTTAAAAGTATTGTAAACACACCAGAAGCCTATATAGTGTCACGAATTATATTTTTTGATATGTTTTGCTCACGACAACAGGCTTTCCATTTGAAAAAAACCTATTGATCAATATTTGTTTTCATTAATTACCTAAGGCAACTGTTTGCTGTTTGTGTACATTGATTGTATAATTTTCATAAGGCATCTTCTATAGGTCTAATACTTCTAAATATTAAAAATTTCATATTTTCCGAAGCACGTTGTGTTAAAAAAATATAAATTGAAATTATCGTTATCTTTCCATCTATATTAGCGAATAAATTATAAATATTGCGTAATTTATACTTTTTCTCTAGTTTGTACACTTTAAATACTTGCTATTCAAAATTTTTAAATACGTTGTGGTCGGATTGCATTAATTCTTGTCCAAATTTTTCAGACTCTATCACGCATCACTTATGAATAAGTTCAAAAGTTCAATAATTGAAGTACTTCAATTTAGCTTTGGTAACGTTTTTTCTTAAACTTGTATTGTTCTTTTATTTCAAAATGATAAAGAATTATTTAAATGAAAGAGTAATTTAAAATAATGTATACCCTATGCTTCTAATTGATTATTCTATCTTTTCATTCAATTAAAGTTATTTCTCCTTAATTATGGATTAAGGATTTATTCCATAGGGGAAGTTGATTCTCAGTATCAAAATTTGTAACCATATTATACTTTTTATTAGTTTATTATTGGTTAATTTACAACTTGAAAGTAAGATATCAATTAAAGGAATATAGTAATTGAACATATGAAAATCTCTTCTCGCTGTATTAAATTATGAGGAAACGGCAATAGATTATTGATCGAGTTAACCCTTGAAAAAAAGCTGTTTTAAAAGTTTTGCCTATATTTAAAGTCACGAATATTTTACCAATGAACAATTGAAATTAATATAACTATGATTAGTGTATATTTTATCTTATTCATTACATACAAAATGTGTATTAAAAAGATATAATTATTCAAAATGAAGATTATTATTTATTAAACACTTTAATTATATAAAAAAAGTAGGTTACCATATATACCTTCATATCAAATTGCAATTATTATTTAGCAGAAAAAATATGAAGTATTTAACTTTGATTCAAGTTTTAAAAACATATCTCAAATCCTTTCATTACTATGCAAAGTATTATTTAAACAAAGAAAAATAAACAATACAGCAATAGTCTATAATATAGATGTAATAATAGAAATACCTCTCCTCGTATGAAAAACAAAGAAACGTTTATAAAATATAAAGTTCTTTGCTAAAGGAATTTGCTGTTTCAAACAAAACTGATTTTTTCCTTTGTTCATAGAATATATATTCAAGATTAATCTTGAAACTATGTATTATAACTCCAATATGAATTTTGTGTAAATGTATGTCTTTCTCTCCTATCCTCTTTACTTATTTTTAAACTATCCAACTCGTCACGAATCATTTTATGGCCTATTCGGTTTCCAAACTGGATAACCTTGAACTAATTGCACTGTAAGGTTTTGTTATTTTTTGGGAAAATTTTATGTTTAAAGTTGTCAATTTTACTTTTAAATATGCATATAAGACTTTTGAAATAAAATAAAATAAACTAGACAAATACTAAGATTTCTTTTTTATAATTAACAAATAGAAAGTCATTATTGTTTAAACATGCTATGCATTCTCTCAGTATAAATTACCATATGAATTTCTTCCAAGATATTCTCAAAGATTTTTCATTAATTAAGAATTTTGTTAATAACTTTTCTATAATTCAAAAGAAACTTAAAAGAAATTTATCGTCTTTAAAATTTTACTATAAATCTTTAGTAAACTCAATAGGAACTAGATAATTTCAACTAATAAGATTACGTGTTTATTTATTTTATTATTTGAAAGAAAAGGAAAATTTTAATTATAAAATATAATTCATGAATATAATTTGTCTTGAATAGTTTTTGCTGATTTTCTTTAAAAGAGACCGCACTCTTGTCTCGAACAGGCTACGAAACAAGAGAGTCTCCCGGAATCTGCTGGACTTTGGTTTGCTTCATTGAATCCGCCTGGCAAACCTCTTGGTCCTCGAGGTCCTGTGGCACCGCGAAAACCTTTTTCTCCTTTACGTCCTATGTTTCCATTGTCACCGGGTATGCCTTGTCCTGTCGCCCCTGTTGCTCCGGTTGCACCTGTTCTGCCTTCTCCAGTATTTCCAGTCGCTCCAGTGGGACCTGTAGGCCCAGGCCAACCTTTTTGGCAATTGGCAACTGTTACTGGAATTTTAGAAATGCTAGTTGAAATATAATATTTTTGTCATATAAGCTAGTCTACTTACGAAGAGCCAAAGCAATGATACAGATAATTGGGAGAAAATTCATAACTTTTTTCGAAGATTTTCACTTGAATATTGTGATAGAAATAAGCACTCTGGCGTATTTCAAGCCTTTATAAATAAGAATATGAACATAGGCCTACAAGTAATATCACGAACTCTATACTGCACAACAATATTTTCAATCACGACTATATGGTAGAAATCTGAAAATTTTTTCAAAACTTGAACTTCATCAAAGTACACTTTTATTGATAATATAAATTATAATTGTTTTAATGGAAATACAAAAATTAGATTATATGTCAATTTGAAACATAGCCAGGACAGAATTAGATGAAATAAAGAAGAAAGTTCTTTTAGAAATATCATCTTATTCCGAAAAACAAACCAAAAGCATAAGATAGCTTCAATTAAGCTATAAAATTTCCATATATCGTATTTTTACTAAAACATGTAATTACTGGTTACTTTTATTTTAAATATACTAATTTTATATATCATTGTTAAATTCGATTAAAATGTTGTATCTCATTATTTCTAATGATAAAAACAGACTGATTAAGTAGTGTTTAATAAATGAAACATTAAAAAATTGAATATTCTTTTAAAAAGAATGAACAATCATTTACTCTTTCTAAATTTCTAAAAGTGAATTATTTAGAGTAAAATCTCTAATATGTTATATTACAATTTTACTTTACTATAACTAATATGTATTGTTTAATCTTTTTTTTAAATTTCATTAATCTACCAGTTTTCTTTAAAACATTTCAAAAATGAAAGTTATCTTTTGTAAAGATTTTGTATTTATTACTGATTTATGAATATTTTCACATTAATTATTGTAAATATATTTAAAACGTTGTAATGTTTTTAATGTCTTTTCTCTATAGGATGCCGCATTTCTCATTCAAACAGCTCAAGAAACAGGTTAGTTTTCCATGGTCGAGTTTTCCACTGCTGTCCACATTACCTCCAAATCCGCCATTTCCTCCTCGACCGGGTGGACCGGGTGGACCGCGTGGACCGGCTGGTCCGGGCGCACCGGGCATACCAGCAACACCAATTGGACCAGTTGCTCCCGTTCCTCCCGTTCTTCCCCAGCCTGTTGCACCAGTTGCTCCAGTTCGACCTTCCTGACAGGAAGCACAGGCAACTAAAAAAATAAAAGTACAATAATTAATGATTTATAATTGTAAAAATATAGAATAAATCTACTTACACAATGCCAAAGCGACGATACAAACAATTGAAAGAGAATTCATAACTTTTCTACTTAACTTGGTAAAAATTCTGAAAAGTATGAGGGAAATTGCCAATCCTTTTAGGTTTTATACTAAAAAAGAGGAATATAGGCCTATATGAAATATCACGAATTTCGCTGTGCGAAAAAGTCTCTTCTCTCACGACTGTGCCCTTAACCTCAGACTGTTTAAATCGGAAATATTTTAATACAATTTTCTTATTTCATTTTGTATCTTAGAAGTTAGACAATGAAATGATTCCCAATTTCAAATAGTTTTGCTTAATTTTGAAAAAAAATAACTTTGCACTTTTCAATCGTTAATAATTGCTTAAAACAAAAGGCAGATTAGAGTAAAAGATCTAATAGATTTATTTATGTATTCTGCACCTAATAACAGATGCTAAATATTTATATTTTAGCACTAACAGAAATATTTTTGAATGCTTAAATTTTGAAATATTTTTCAATGATAATAATATTCTAAAATGTTTAGCCACATGTTGTTTACTCTTTTGGAAAGTCACGAATTTTCACCACACAAAATAGAGGACTGTATATTGAATGATGTAAAGTAACCTAAATAGCAATTGTCGTTTACTAGTCTTCAAAAATATGAATATATGCTATACTACTAGCTAAAAAGAGATTTAGGATTTGGAACATTTTGAAATTTACAAGTTCTCAGTATTTTCAATTACAAGATTCGCCATGCTATGATATTTGGCATATTCTTTGTAATTTAATTCAAGTTATATATTGTTTAAATTTTCACCGAGTGCAAAATGTACTATGAATTTATAGACTGTATAACATCCGTTTAATGTATATACCATAAAATAGAGATATTTTACATTTCAGTTCATTAAAATGTATTTTTATAAAAGTAACAATCATAGTAATTATCGAAAGATTGAAAATATCATTGACGAATATATTTTTTCTTGAAAAAGTTCATTTTGTTCATTTTATAGAATTCCACATTTCTCATTCAAACAGCTCAAGAAACAGGTTAGTTTTCCATGGTCGAGTTTTCCACTGCTGTCCACATTACCTCCAAATCCGCCATTTCCTCCTCGACCGGGTGGACCGGGTGGACCGCGTGGACCGGCTGGTCCGGGCGCACCGGTCATACCAGTAAAACCCATTGCTCCCGTTCCTCCCGTTCTTCCCCAGCCTGTTGCACCAGTTGCTCCAGTTCGACCTTCCTGACAGGAAGCACAGGCAACTAAAAAAATAAAAGTACAATAATTAATGATTTATAATTGTAATAATATAGAATAAATCTACTTACACAATGCCAAAGCGATGATACAAACAATTAAAAGAGAATTCATAATTTTTCTACTGAAGTACTATCTTGTAGCTTATTGGAAAACCTCGAAAAGTATAAGAGAAATGGACAATCTTCTCAGCTTTTATAACGATATGTGAGAGTTTTAGCCTACTCAGGATATCACGATTACATGCAATATTTCCCTCTCTCCTCACGACCGAGATCCTAAAAAATCTTTCCTATGGTCTTTTATTTTCTTGAAAACTTTTACCTTTTGCCACATCCGTTTTGGATGTTTAATGAATAAATAGTGACAACGAAGCTAGGACTTTGATTATACTACTTTTCACGACTAAAAGCATTTTCTTCATACCTTAAGAGTTATTATACGAATAGAATCTTTAAATTGTTCATAAAAACTTTGAAAAGTTTATTAAAGTATTAAATACTTGTACTAATATACCTTTTGCATAACACGACGTATTACAATCGATTTTCCTTTCTATTGTATTAGGATTTTGTCACGATTTTTCAACTTTCGGTTGAAAAAAGATATTCCCAACTCTCCGTTTATCCTAAAAATCATTTATATTGAATATTCGACAATTTTTTTGTCTATTTTCTACATCTAATTAATTAGTTTAGTGCATTATTTATTAGTTATAATTTAATCGAAGATGCGCATCTACTTTTATTTATCTAAAATTTGATTAACTTCTGAAAAAGTTGCTCTTATTAATTATATTGAAACACTATGTGAACTATAGAATGCTGAAGTAAAATTTTCTAATATTATATAAGATCATGGACTATTTACATCATGTAAAAGGAGCAAAGTTTAAATCAGGTAGTCAGTCGCTTTTAGAACTTTTTATTTAAAGTATTTTTTGGGCATTTTTGTATGTCATGAAGTGTATCATTTTTACTCTTTTTTCATAATATGCCTTATAAAGATGGAATTTGCCTAAATTTACAATTTATGATAGTCTTAATAATAATTAAGTTTACATCGGCATTCTACAATTGATGGATGTTTCTTAAGTAATCTAGATGGGAGTTTATTACAGTGTTTTGTATTAGGATGAATATAAATGAACTAAGTTTTAAAAATGTTTATTTTTAAATTTTGTATTTGGTAACATAAAAGAAAGAATTTTAGAAATAAGATTAGGTAAGAATTTTACAAATATATTTTGCCTTGAATAGTTTGTTTTCATTTTCTTTAAGCAATTCCACATGGTTCATCCATGCAGGACAAAACACACCCAAATCTGGTAGAATCTACAGAACCGTAACCTTGGCTGTTTGACGCATATCCTGGAGCTCCTTTGAAGCCTTTTGGTCCTAAAATGCCAGAATCTCCACGATCTCCGGTGTAACCAGTATATCCAGTTCCGCCCATTCTACCATATCCCGGTCTTCCATTTAATCCGGTGGCGCCTGTACTACCATGTCCTCTTGCTCCAGTCGCTCCAGTAGGTCCTTCTGGTCCAGTATCACCGGTATAGCCTTTTTGACAATTTGAGCCGGCAACTGTAATTGATTAAATATAGAAGTAATAAATAAAAAAATAGAAGTATTACTTACAAAGGATAAAACCTAAGAAACAAAAGAGAAGTACAGAATTCATGGTGAATTATACTTGAGGTTCTCTCCTGCTAAACACACTGAAGTATGAGGCTAAAAGTTTATTTCAATTCTTTATATTTCGATAATATGCAAATTTTAACCCAGTTCCAACTCACGAACTCGTTCAGCATATATTTATCGCTCACGATTCGACCTTTTCTATAACAATCGGCGTTGTTGATTTACCTACATTAAACCTCAATCTCATTTTGCTTTGAATATTATTTTTAAAGTAAATGTTTCAGTCTTTTATAACATCATTATTTACAGATAATATTTAATGCAATAAATTAACATATTCGTTAGGTTTATTTATTTCATATCTGAAAAAATACAATATCTATATTACAAAACAATTTTTTAAGTTTCTTTTAAAGGGTTTAAAGAATAACTATACAGAGGCAATTAGCAACAGTATCACTCGTTACATTAGATATATTACAAACTTCAGGATTTAACCATAATTTTTGCTTTTTAAAATTAAATTAATTTATAACTCATGAAAACTTCCAACAAATTCCAACATTTAACAAAAATGTAGGGTTATCTACATAAATTTTCTTAGACGTTACTCCTAATAGTATATTACAAATAGACTTTTTGCCAATGGTGATAAAGTCTAACTTTAGGGTGTATTTTCTTCTTACTTGTCAGAATAGTAAACAATATAAGCAAAAATCGTTTTAAAATGTTGAAAATTGTATTAAAAGGCTTTTTCTGATTTCTAATATGAACGAAAAAATTTTCATACTCTATAAATTTGCTTTGGCAACAGTACTTTATTTAATAACTATCAAAACTAGTCAAAGTTTGTAATTTTGTTTAGAATTTTGTTTATTCAAGACAAAATATATTCAATACAAATATGTAAATAAAAAAAGAATAGAGTATGAAACATCATGCTGTAGAGTTTTTCTTCATATTTCCAAATTAACTTTGGGTTTCGTTTTTCGACTTTTATTTTTCCAACACTTGAATTACAATAAATCACAATCATTTTTCAGGCATTGAAGGAAACATCCAACTCCTTGTGATCCAGGTTTTACACCATAACCTTCCAAAACAAATATTATATTTTAACTTTTTTATTTTTAAAATTTACACTTTCATTCATACCTCGCTCTGGAGTCCAAGCGAAAGAACTACTGCCGCTAAGTGTTTCACCTGGTGAGCCTCTTTGTCCTACTGGTCCTGGCATTCCTTGTGGTCCTGTTGCACCTTGTCTGCCATCAAGTCCTTTTGGACCTCTGTACGATGGTCCAGTGTTTCCAGTACTACCTGTATCGCCCCGACCAGGTCGACCAGGTTCACCAGTTGCACCAGTTGGTCCCATTCTTCCAACATCACCCCTCTGGCAGCTGGACAAGGCCACTGAAAGAATCTTTATTAATATTGAGAAAATAACGTGCAACTTTTTTTCATAAATGATTTAAAGTTTACCAAAGGCTGCCAAACAAATGCCAACAAATATTAATGATTTCATACTAAGTATTAATTTACGATTGAACCTCCCTTGCAGCTCTCGATATGAAACGAATAAATTTCTGCCCTTTTATAAGACGATAGGTCTTTGTTTGGCCTTCCTTTCTAGTCACGAAGTGTAGTCTGTTCACGATTGGCTCTCACGACACTTAATTTTAATATGCTTTGCATATGTGAACGAACATGTAACTGAAACTACAAAATCTTTGTATTTATTTGCTAAACTGAGAGTTGAAAATCTCGAAAGTTAAGTACGGAATACCAATTAATTAACCTTTGAAAAATTATGTATTCTAGATTTCTGAACTATTTCTATATTAATTAAAAAATATAGCCCAAAAAAGTATTTAACAAATAAGAACACATTGTAGACACAGTACATCTTTCAGAAATACTTTTCAGATATGTGTTCAGTACTCTGAAAATAAATAAATACATTTTTTAATAGTAAATTGTTAAATAATCATTTCTTGTTTATACTACATAGCATGATGCTCTATTATGTAATTTATTCAATAAATGTTGGATATTTTTTGACCAATCCACCAGAAATTTTATATTTCCTTATATTTTTGAACAAATTAAGTATTCTATTTCTTTGAAATTACACTTTATTATATCTTTATCTCTCTTATC